ACCAAGATGAACTCTTTGCTCATTATCAGTTTGTCATTATTTTGAAAGCATGAGAACCTTAATACCAGTACAATAAATCTCAAACCTACATGTAAGTTGCTTGCCTCTGTACAATCATACTAAATCTTAAATGATTTCATACGATCTTAGTGGATCTCAAACCTAAGTTTCTTAATGATTCCATACGATCTTAGTGTATCTCAAACCTAAGTTTCTTAATGACTCCATACGATATTAGTGTATCTCAAACCTAAGTTTCTTAATGATTCCATACAATCTTAGTGTAATTCTCAAACCTAAGTTTCTTAATGATTCCATACAATCTTAGTGTATCTCAAACCTAAGTTTCTTAATGATTCCATACAATCTTAGTGTAATTCTCAAACCTAAGTTTCTTAATGACTCCATACAATCTTAGTGTATCTCAAACCTAAGTTTCTTAATGACCCTATATGATCTTAGTGTATCTCAAACCTAAGTTTCTTAATGACCCTATATGATCTTAATGTATCTCAAACCTAAGTTTCTTAATGACCCTATATGATCTTAGTGTATCTCAAACCTAAGTTTCTTTATGACCCTGTATGATCTTAATGTATCTCAAACCTAAGTTTCTTAATGACTCCATACAATCTTAGTGTATCTCAAACCTAAGTTTCTTAATGATTCCATACAATCTTAGTGTATCTCAAACCTATGTTTCTTTATGACTCATTAGATCTTAGAGTATCTCAAACCTAAGTTTCTTAATGACTCAATACGATCTTAGTGTATCTCAAACCTAAGTGTCTTAAAGACTCCATATAATCTTAGTTTATCTCAAACCTAAGTTTCTTAATAGCTTCATAGTTACAATCTTAGTACTGATTTAATAGTGACCACTCGTTCACTGTGCAGACCATGATCAGTCGGCATTATGGGATGGTTCAAGCTGATCTTGGTCTGCACTAGCCGCGTTGGTATATTTAGTTGTAGCCAGCAGGCTTGTGATACAAACTTGAATACAAACTTGAAAAATCCTAAAGCATAGCTTACTTGCCTTCATTAAAAATCGATCAATCTCATATGTATATGTTATTAAGGTTTTAATAATTTTATAACCTTGAAAAGTTTCAAACTGTGACACGCTTGACACCATATGTTACAAATAGTCTTGAGTTTGCGCATTGAATGCCTTAATTCATGATGGTTTTTTTTATTCGGTATTTATTCATTCAAATATCATCCGATGTTATGGTGAAGTTTTTATATCTTTTATCCATCTGTTCAGTAAATAAATATGTGTTTTATTAAGATGATTTTAATGGCACATTATTCCTAAGAAAATGAATAAAATTTTCACTTCTTTAGAAATGGCTATGATGAATGTAATAAGGTTGAAATAATTGTTTTAGAGCATGTGGGTTACGGTTAAGCTTGTTACCTGAAGAAATTAGCTCTTAAAATGTGAAATAATTTGTCATTTAAATAGCAAAATTTAAACAAAGTAGTATTTTGACTTCCATACAAAATACTCAATCACTGTAACTGTACTAATTACCAAAAAGCATCAAAAGGAAAAGAATGATCAGGTATTTATTGACTAATGAGTAACTTTTTTGAAATTATAAAAGTACACAAAAAGAAAAGTTTTTGGAAAATAAAACTTAAAAGCATTTCTGGGGCATAATGGACCTTAAATGGTTGTTCAATGTTATAACTTGGATATTGAATCTTGATATTAAATTTCAGATTCAAAAGCTGAACATAATGAAAAATTGTAAGGTAAAAGATTACTGAAGGTTACAAGTCTTGATTATAATCATTTCCAAGAAATCAACTGGTTTAAGGTCAGACAATTATAATATATAAAAATCCTTTCACTTCAAATTTGCATGCTCTTATAGAATAACATCTTTTGGTGTGTTTTTTCCGCTACATTGTTTCCGGCTCTTCGATGGAACTGGTAGGAAAATAAATGTCATTGACATGACTTACCCTCAGGAAAAGAGAGAGAGATCTTCTATGAATATTCTGTTATGGCAGCAAGAATATATGGGAATATTTTCATTTTATGGTAATGAATTAGATTTATAGTCTATTAAGAGTCTGACATATGAGCTTAAGGATAGACTTATTTGATATATTCTCCTCGAGCTAATTCCCCCAATCAATAGAATGGATTAACGAACGTATGTTTCACATAATGAACATCATCCTAAGTCAGTAAACGGAAACTACCGATGATGCTGATTAACAAAAAGCCGGTAATTATTTGAGGTTACTACGTGTACCAGTTTATTTTTTCATGAAGCAACATAATCTGTTATACTACGATATATAATTATATTTTCTAGGTATTTTCGTTGCAAGAAGAATTTGTGTTAACGAAATTTTCTCTGGCATCTCTCTATGACATTAGGAACAGTGCGTCGTTAATTCCATTGATTTTAGAGTTAAGATGCTTCCCAAAGTCTCGTGCAGCTGAGTGGGTTGGCTTTTGTATGATGCGACACGCTGTTGTAGATAATTTCAACAGACGTATAAGGACTTTAGTCAGGAAAGCCTATTATAAAGTAAATGATCTGACAGGACACCGTGCCTGTCAAAGATTTAAGCCAGTGAATAGATAGTCATTACCAACATGACCTTTTTAGTAGGACAAGTCATGCAAATAAACCTGATTAATTTCTGAAATGAACTCGTACAGCTTCCGTTTCCAGAACTGACCATTATCTGTTTTTTATGGAATATCAAGACAGAAATTTAAAGGTGGGTCAGCCAACAGTATAGAGACTTGTCAGACTGCTTGGTAAAGCAGACTGGCCTGGCTCTATACTGGTGGCAAAGGCTCTGATCACTTTTGGTTCCATTATTACTTGACATTCATTTTGGCTTATTTAAGCTTATAATTGAACCTTTATCAAGTTTAATGGCATCATGTTGTGTGCCAAATAGGGCTTGTTTGCATGATCCCTTTGACATTTATTTGAAAGCTTGCATTGGCCTGCAGACTACAGGTGTTTTTTTTTTAGCTCAACTGAGCACATGACCTTTTGCGATGGCATTTTGCCTGTCATCACAATTAGTCTAAATAGACTTACATAGTAAAACACAATTTAATCTTCTTATGGGAAATTTCAATGTTCAGAACTTTGATATTTAGGCATGTAGTACATCTAAATACATTAAATCATTATGTAGCTGTATAAAAACATTAAAAGTTAGCAGCAGGTAGAATAGTTTGGTTAGACTGAAGGTATAATTATACAGGCTGGCCGTTAATGTAGGTCTTTTATGATTGATACAGATTTATAAAAAATTATTTATCAGCTGAAAAATTCATGGCCGGCAAAATCTGATTTTGACTTACTTGACCATTTTTGAAGCATTTCTTAATATTTACATAGTAAATTCTTAAAAATTTCCACTTATCGGCTGTGTGACATTACCCGGGCAATATGACAATCGATTTTACCAGCAGGCTTCGGCAACAACAAAAAGGCCAGTCAAAACACTAAGGCCAGTATGATCTGCTGGTATGACTTTCTTATTGAGACAAGAAAAACTGCAAAAGAAAAATCTGTCCTTTATTTAAACATAACGTTTATTCAATGTAAACAAATATTGCACAGTATTATTACTATACATTGTATATGACAATGATTATTAAATTGAGCATTTTATTAAGTCAGCGTGACATAAATGATCCATTGTTTACTTTCATGATTAGCAAATGTCCCGCAATAAAAAACAATTGCAAAATCACGCATAAGTTTATATTGTATGATTACTGAGGGCGGACAATGAATAAATATTGACATACCAGCATTTGAAGTTTGTCACTTAATACTTTTTCTATACCAGATGCAGTGTATGCATATTTGGCAAGCGAGAAAGATATATCAAATTTCGGCTTTAGAGATATGACACAGTTTTAAACAACCTTTCTGCGTCTATATTTGATTATATGGGGGGAAAGGCGCACAAGTGGGGAATAAAAGCATTTAATAAGGAAATGTAAAACTAATGTGTTTAACTGATTGATATCTGGAAATTTTAATGATGACATATACAAGGTTGAATATTTAAGCAGCAAACTTGGATGATATTACTTATAAGGAATTTTGTAAGTGTTACCATGTGTATGTATGTGCTTGACGCGAAAAGTTTAAATTTAATTTTAGGACTGCACGCACATGTATGTTAGATTCTTTTGATCAGGAATATAATGTTTCTGCTCCTTTAATAAATATCACACAGGATTAGTTCTTATAGTTATTGTGCAGTTTTATTAAGTAATTTTGAATGATTGCTGTTGATTTATTGATCATTTGAATTCTTTGATCATGTATGTTGCTGACTTAAATTATTGATCATTTGATTCTTTGATCATTTAATTCTTTGATCATTTAAGTCTTCGATCATTTAAGTCTTCAATCATTTAATTTTCTACTTTTATTGCCTGGATATAGTAACTTTATATGTTACCGGCGTACTTTTTTCTTAATAAGGGGTTAATGCACTATAAGCTCAACAAGTTTCTGGGTCGGCATTGATCAATGAACTATCTAGCTATCTTTGAGATCAAGGTTTATCGATCCAGTTCAAATATTTGTTATAAAATACTTGTTGAATACCAGCGCTGACAATGCTATATCTTAATATCATATTCAAAGTTCTTCAGTTTGGTTTGTTTATTATTCCATACCAGGTGTAGTGTGGAAAGTGTTGATAAAAAAAAATATTTTGAGTAAACAAAAAAATATTCTGATTAAAAAAAAAATTACTTACTTTTCAATCTTTTTCTTTATTTTTTTTTCACATGCAATGTATTAAAATTTTGTGAATTCATGAAGTGTTAAGCAGTTAAATGTAACCATGTGCTTGTTGCAAAATGGTTGTAACTTGTATGATATAAAGAAGGATTTAACACACTTCTGCTGCAAGCCGTTGTTACACATTCTTTAACCTATGAACTTATTTCAGATCTTATGGAATACCATTTTGTGTATTTTCAGGAATGAGAGATGAGAAGAAAACCATGTTGAAGTATTTTGGATATTGAAGTGGAGATGGGACACTCTGTGTTACATTATATCCTCCTTTATCTACTGGGGCTTATACCTGCAGCTGCTGCTCTAAGTTTTGGTACCATAGGAAGTGGAGGTCTGTATTATATAAAGACTGTATAGTAGCTCTTTTATAGACTTTTGAAAGTCACTTTAAAGCATGCCTCCAGATGAGCCAAAATATTTCAAGAAACTTTAACTTTGGAAAAAGGTAAAAGATTGTAAGAAAAGTAAAGTTTCAAGTATTAATTGACATCTGATGTGCGATAAATGACTGATTTTGCTGTATAAATCACCATATTTCTACTTTGTGACTAACACAAGAAAGGCTATTTCAACATATTTTGGTCTGTTTTTGGTAATTTATGTGGATTGTAAGTGCCATTAATTTTGCAATGTGTAAATTACTTTCTTTGTTCACTTTGTATCAATCCACATAAATTAACAAAATAAGGTCACAATGTGCACAATTTTAGTCACGCAGTAGAAATATGGTGATAAATACTGCAAAATCAGCCAATAATTGCACAATTTACATGAATTATTTCTGGAATCTTTTTTACTTTTCTTCAGATTTTAGTATAATTTTCCTCAAGTTTGATTTTCTTGAAATATTTTGTCTCATCTAAATGCATGCACAGCTTTGAGACATCAAATTTATAATGATTACTACATTTTGGTTTATATCTGCAGCTGTGTAACATAATTTTGTTAAACAAGAAAAGCACAAAAATTGTTAATCAATTTTCTCTGCACTTTATTTATAATGGATCTTATAATGACTGCAAAATGCAGGATATGCATATTTGATGCCTAATTATATGAAACGTTGCACTTTAAATTTTGTATGCACAAAAATAGCCAAATTAAAAATACTGTCATCTTAATGTCGCAATACAAACTTAATGTTTAAATAGTGGCGCTCGTACAGCATGCAATCAGGACAGTGCAATACTATCAGTCATTATGATTCATGAATGTTTTATATGTGTAAACAGATGCAAATTTGAAATGAAAAGATACATTTCATGGCAATTTTATATGACTGTGTCATTCCATTGAAAGCCAATGTTGAAGACTTGGTGCAGAATGATTGTAACTTCTTCTAAATGTCATACTAGTTTCAACTCATTTCGCACCAAGCATTCAGATTGTATTTATAGTTATAATATGTACTGAAGCAATAATGTTTCCTCGAGCGTTGATTTAGTTAAACCCTTTAACCCGCTAGAGTTATAAGGAATTAGTCTTTTCTGCAAGTTATAATACATGTAAAGCCATGCCGGACTTCACACTCTTGAGCTGCCTGACCATTCTGTAATGTTTTGTTGTTAGACTCTTGTATACTGAAATCCCATAAAGGAGTTATAATACTAAGGTCCTAACGCCTTAAATCTACGTGCCTCCAGAATGATGAGCCAAAATATTTCAATAAAATCAAACTTGAGAAAAATGTTCTAAGATTTTAGGCAAAGTAAAAAGATTCAAGATTCAAGTATATTTTATTTTTATATGTTATGTGTTTACATGCATTTATAACTAAATTAAATTTCTACTGTGTTACCACATTAAAAGCTATTTTTGGATATTTTGACCTCTTTTTGGTGATTTACCTGTGTTACAAGTGCCATTTATAATATGTAAATTGCTCCCTTTTGGTTACTCAACAATACTATACTTTTAAGTACATTTTCAAAATTTTCATAAAAATTAGCATAAATCTGGAGCCTTGCTGCTTTATAACATAAAATTTGTATTTCAAACAAAGATCAACTAGGGCACCAAAAACTAAAAAATTTACAAAAGACAAATAAATACAGAGATAAAGTATAAAATAATTTGTAAATCAATGCAATTATGTGCAATTCTTGGCCATATTAGAGTTCAAATCATTTAAAAGCTTTTCATTTTTTGCACAATTAAAAATGTTATTCTTTAATTAAAATTATTACAGTATTCTTTAAATTTATTATTCTAAGAAATAAGGAGTGAGTGAATAACAATTTGGTTGTGACCTACATCAAAAATTACAATTCCAAAAAAATATTTCTTGTCCAATCATGTTATAAAAACATCAGTGATTGTTCCAAATTTTAAAGTTACACAAATTGTATAAATTGTTCTTGTTGGAGGGTTTGAGACTGCTTGTTAGAATAATGTCAAGTGGAAAACAGACGTTTGCCCCCTCAGAGGTTTTTCCCATGGACATTTACCTCCTTTTCATGTAAAGGCAGACAAATGAGGGACAAATGTCTGAGGGGGCAAATATCCTAGAATTATGTTAAAGTACGTCCTCATGAGAATTTAATGGCTTAGGTGTGTTTTGCTTAACTATAGGGTTCATGGGTTTGAGCCCTACTTGTATCAACAAAATGTTGCCTCATATGACACAGAATTGGTTTGATCCTCAAATTTGAGACCGAAAAGTAATAAACATTATTTGCATTTTAACCAACAAATGAATGTCCAGTGATAAACAAATGCTTGGTGACCTGAGGCATGTGCAAGCCCGGATTTCAGCTAGCCTTATTTAGAGAATTAAAAATAGAAAAAAAAAATTGTTCATGCATGATTAATGGCTATATGCCATCTATAATTTTATATATTTTAATATAAATAGGTTATGGAATTTAGCACCTTGGCTAAGGAATATGCCAAGCATATGCTACAAAAATTTGACAAAATTCTGTTTTGAAAATTACGGAATATTTAGTGATTCAGATTAAAGCTGTATTTGACTTGATCTTTAAAAAAAAGTGTCCAAAATAAACTACAGGCATGCAGACGATATTTGTGCGAGACATTTGAAGGTTGTTTGTCGACCTAATTTATAGGTTACCATTAAATAGGTGCTGACCTGCTTTCTGTTATCTTATTGCGTACTTCAGTACTTTGGTAATAATTCTCTTTTTGGCTCATAGTGAAAACAAGAGATTCTTTTATTAAATTGAAAGATAAACAACAAAAAACAGGATGAAATTTAATAACATCCTATCAGCAATGCATTGGTTACCACAGGACAAATTTACATACCTATTCAAACATGGTTTGATCATTAAAATGTATATATAATTCATGAAAGTGGTTTATATTGTATGATAAATTGGTACAGAATGTTTAGATGTTGTTGTTGTTGTTGTTTATTTCTTTCATTATTTTAAAGACTCATTATTCTATAAGAATGAATCAATTTTTCGTCCTTCCGAAAGGCAAATATTAGTTTTATAACAATATAAATTATGGATGTGCTCATTTTAGATGCATATTTCCGGAAGAAAAGAGCACTGGATGTGAAATTATTTGTCATAAAAGTAGCAAAATATGAATATGAAGTAATATTTTGGATTCTATTCCAAATACTAGATCAATTTATTTTTTGTGAATTGCCAAAATGCAACAGATGCAAAAGTTGGTTCAGGTTATAATTTGGCCAATGAGTAACTTTTTGGAAAGAATAACACAACAAAAATATAAAAAGCTTTTAAGAAATGAAAATGAAAGCATTTCTGATGCATATTGGACCTTTGATTGAGAGCAGTTATTTTGCAAGTCTTATTGTTTGAATATTTGCAGTTGTTCTCCCAAACGACCCGTATATATACATCGGAAAGAACTTGACCTTGAGCTGTAACCTTACAAAGTACAATGAAGTTTACAACTCGAACTATCTGAGCTTTTCCCGGAAAAATGATGAAGTTATTCCATCAGAGTATGTTACCGTGGTGTCAACGAGGTCTATTGTTCTGCGGTACCCGATAACGTCACCGGATTATGGTGGTAACTACATCTGTAAACTCAACCGAACAAATGGACGACCAGAAATTATCGGAACCCAGTTTGTAGTGGTTGAATGTAAGTGTTTCTTTTAAAAATATTTTTTTTAAAATATTTTTTATTCATTAATTTATATATAGCTTGACTTTATATAAAACTGTAATAGGAAGCGCTTTTGTACTTTACCCCGGTATTGGCGATGCCGTCACAATTTGGTTAATTTTTTGCGTTCAAGTTATTATCTCAAGAACTACTGAAGGGAATGGGTTGAAACTTCACACATTTATTTTAAAGCGTAACAGCTCACTGTCCAAGGCCCATAACTCTAAGATGGATTTTAACAGAATTATGGCCCTTTTTGAACTTGGAAAATTCTATATTATTCAGGCTTTTGTTTTACTGTCAAGCATTGAGAAATTAGCCTAGCATGTGTTGGCCTACTGACAGTTCTTGTTTTCTTAATTGTCAGCATTAGATTATTCTATATGCTAATATTTTGCATTCAAGTAAGGTAAATTTGTCATTTTCAATAAATGATATTCAACTTTTTTCTTCTTGTGTATCAGTACAAGAGTGAGTTAGCAAAATTTTATATTGCTACTGGTAAGTAATTTGATCTTTGACATGTTTTTATGCAAATTAAATTTAATGTACCAGTATAAATATGAATAGTAAATCTGAATTAAAATTTTCTGACACTTGATTGGTTTGTTTTGATTAAAAGAAGCATATGCAAATCACATTGCGACGGTAATTTTTTTGTGCAAAATACGAGGCATGCTGTTCATCCACATAAATTGTTGAATCATGCCTGCTTATATATTAATTAAAGACAAAAATACAACAACAACAAAGCCCTTAAAAAATTTCAACTTTATTTGGTTTCATGTCAGACATCTAAAATTTCCTACATTGATTTGTAATTTTTACAGCTGATAAAATTATGCACGATACTTCATGAGCAAGTGCAGCTGTTTTATCTATTTTCTAAGGTCAGTGCTCAGTGGGACATTTTGTCATAAATTAATATCCTTATTTACAATATGTCGGTTATTATCTCTAAGTGAATAAAATAAAAAAAATTTGCACTAGACGATACTGTTTGCTGCATGGTATTTTGATAATATGAGATAATTCAGGTATGACACAATCTTACCTAAATCAGGTCATTACCAGCGCTTCACTACATTCTATTTACATTGGTACATAGAGTATTTGAGTGAAAAGTAAAAGAGCTGATGGGGCGTCCGTGGCCGAGTGGTTAAGGTCGTTGACTTCAAACCACTTGCCCCTCACCGCTGTGGGTTCGAATCCCGACAGGGACTTTGGATTCTTTCATGTGAGGAAGCTATCCAGCTAGCTTACGGAACGTCGATGGTTCTACTCAGGTGCCCGTTTGTGCCTGAAATAATGCACGGAAGGGCACCTGAGGTCTTCCTCCACCAGTAAAGCTGGAACGTCACGATATGACCTATACTGTGTTGATGTGACGTAAAACCCAAAACAAAACAAACAAAAAAAGAGCTGATTCAAGCTTGTATATACCATCCTAAATTTCTGAATTGGCATTGTCCATCTTTCAAACTAGCCAAAAAACCATTCATCATTTTAAGGGAAAATTTCAAAGATACATGTAAATACCGATTGTGTAAGTAGTGAACAGTGCAGACCATGATCTGTGCCAGCTGATATTCGGTCTGCACTGGTCACTTTGGTAGATTCAGTCACCCCACCAGCAGGTGGAGGGTTATGCTCCTTTAGCAGCTAATTGATTACACTCCTGTTACTTCAAGTGAACAGTAACAGAACATTAGACAGATGGGTTGGAGAGTAGCTAATGGTTAATGAGATTCGTTATGATGAATCTATTGGTCTGCACTGGTCACTTCAGTCACTCCACCATGCAGCAGCCAAAGGGTTACGCTCCCTTAGCAGCTAATTGATTACACTCATGTTATTTCAAGGAACATTCAACTAATGGGCAAGAGAGTAGCGAAGGGTTAACCAGATTTGTTATGATAATCATCATGATTTTTCATTGGATAATAGTATTAAAGGGAATGATAGGGGACCTAGTGCTTAAGGTGTCCGCGTCTTCAAAGAGAATGTTGGTTCGTCACCATTTTTGGATCAACGTTTAACTCCAGTAACTTTTTTAGCTACTTTAAAAAAAGGCCCATTGGCTTAAATTTGAAAAATAAAATTATACAGCATTTTAGGAAATAAGTGAAATTTTAAAAGATTGAAATGTCTGTTTTTCTTCATTAGAAACATCTAAAAAAATATGGTTTTGTAAAAACTTGAAACAGTTAAAAATAATGGAATGCTTTTGGGAATATTTGTTAAGTAGAAAAATTATTCTGCATTAGGAATGGTACCTTATATTTATTTTCCCCTGTCTCTGTGTTCACTAAGAAAAGATCAGGACTTGGATCAAATGATCTTGATTTTATTTTCATTGTTTAACATGACTAAAATTGATCGTATTTGGCTAGCATTAAATAGCACATCTTCAACATGTAAAAATTGCTGATTTGCAAAGGAACAGACCTACTTTGAGATAAAATCTAAACACTCTTAATTTTTTCACATACTGGCAATTGTGAAGTATTAAAAATTCATTAAAAAGACTTTTGATAGGTTATTTAGCCACATATAAAGGCTATTTTGTTGCATTATGGGTACAAACTATGAGCCTTTTATCCTGGATCAAATAACCTTTCAAAACCATTGAGTAAATTATTTATTCAAAATGAATGATTGTTGTAATTTGAGCCGTGTCATGACAAAACCAACATAATGGGTTTGCGACCAGCATGGATCCAGACCAGCCTCTGATCAGGATCCATGCTGTTCGCTATCCGTTTCTCTACTTGTAATAGGGTTTGTAAGCGAACAGCATGGATCCTGATTAGACTGCGCGGATGCACAGGCTGGTCTGGATCCATGCTGGTCGCAAACCCATTATGTTGGTTTTGTCGTGACACGGCTCATTTGTCTTCATGAATGTTTCATCTGTTCTGTTTGCAGATGAGCCACAGCCTGTCACGGAAATAAATTGTCGAGTTTACAATTGGCAGAATATGACATGTACATGGGACCTTGGTGTACAGTTTATTCACCCCAAATTTATCGAAATAGTGCTGGTTTGGACGAGATTGTAAGATATACTTTACAAAATGTGTACAGCATTGAAAACTACTTAAAAATTCATGAGATACCTTTAAAAGACCTTCAAGTTAAATTTGGCCTTTAAAAAAGCCCTTAATTCCAACATTTGTGGCCTTAAATTTTGTTTTTTGACAGCATAAGTATTTTTTAGTCAGTCTGAATAATATGCTATAATAGGAGGAACAGAGGCATGAAAATTTATTTGTCTTTAGCAACAATAATAAAGTCATTTTGGTAGTAACCACATGTTTAAGTATTAACCAGAATCACAGTGTAGATTTATATTTACTTCGGATCAGGTATCAGACCTGATTGTAATGATTTTATTTTCAGGAAATCGCAACACGACTGTAAGCGACAGACATTAACTTCGTGTTCATGGTGGGAAGTTGACGGAGATGACTCCTTTATGGAAGATCTTGTCTACAATATGGGCGTCAGTATTGAAAACACTGCGACAAAAACATTTTACCCGAAGAAAACTAAACCCATTACTGTTGATACTTCTAAGATAGGTAAATTGTTATTTGTTAATTTAGAAAAAATCAGTCATAATGACTGCTTTCAAACTGCAGAAATAGATTTATTTTTTCATGAAGACAATTTTTATGTGAAAAGTATGTACATACATGTGAACTCTCACACTTTTAGCGGGAGACTCCCACTTTCTGCAGCCATATTTTTATAGATTTTTTTTAAAATAAGGGGTATTTTCACAAATTAAAGAAATCTTCCTATTTATGATGTCAGAACTTCCTTCTTTGTTTATTGCAAATTCTAAAATATCCGTCTTTTTGAAGAAAAATCTCCCACTCGATCATCAAAAAAAGGTGACATGTATGTTTGTAGTTAGGTTTTGTCTAAGCAAATTTAAGCCATTCCATTGGATAAAAATGTAGGGCAGTATTCGAGTTAACAAACTTTGACCTGTTTCATTGTTAGATTTATTTTTTGTTCAGTTGAGCCAGCCCCGGTGACATCTATGAGTTCAGAGAAGAATAGCACATGTGTAACATTGTCATGGCAACATGAACAGACAAGAAGGAATAAGGTTTACAGGGTAGATTTTAAACAGGGCATAGATAGACATTGGCAGGTGAGTTGTTCAACATAAATCGTTACTTTTGATTTTGAAGTTTAATATTCCTTAACCGAGAACAAACAAAAAAGAAGTAGGACAATTTAAGATATTTGTTGCAAACACTTAAAGTATGCTTGCTGTAAAGTCTTAAAAGCCTATTTGAAGTGGTGATCATGTTTATGACTTTTGGAGAGTTTTAATAATTTATTGCTGTGTTATGAACTGTTACGTTATGATTTAAAGCGTTCAAGGCGACAAAGCTATGACTGGCAAGATACGTTATTAATGATTCAAAACTTTACAATCGTAAGTGCTGTAACCTATTCAGGAACACTAAAGTAGAGCAATACATATTTTGAATTTATTGACTTGTCGTAGTTCAAATTTTCCATTTAATATTTATTATTAATATTTCATGCTGAAACATGTTATTTAGAAGCTTTGACTTCAGTTGCAGACTCCTCATATAGCATACAACTTGTTGTCAACCAATTAGGAGCTCCACTTAGGTCAAAAACATAAAAAAAGACACACAAAAAACCTTAAAATTTGAAATTCTTGCATTAATCAAGTCATGCTTTTTAAATGGAAAAAAATATAAACAAAATAGATGTGTATACTCAAAATTAAATTGAACTTTGATTTTTTTTTTGCACGATTTTTAGCCCAGTTTAAGTGAATAGCATTGCAAAGTTTTCATTTTATAGTCATTTTGCACAATAAAGATAATTATTCTGAGAAAACAGAGTGAAGGAATGATCTTAAATTTGGTAGGCAAATAATAAAATTATAGTCTACCCTTCATTAAATGGTACATAAGTATCAAAAAAAATATTGTTAGTCCCTTCATGTCAAAAAACTTAAGTGGAGTCCCTTTAAATTTTTTTCCAGAAACGAAACTGTGTCACTGACATTAGATTTTTACGATGTTAGTGGATCATCAGGCTATTTTTTTGGCTGTTGTGTTTGTTTCTGTTAACATGTGATGCTGTCAGAAAAATGGCGTGTACTGATTGAATAATATTACCGCAGGCACACTTTTTTGATAGGTGCGTTGATATACTGAAACGAAAACTAGAAAATTGATCTGAAGCAGTGCATTTAGATATATTTGAACTTCAACGAATCATTAAACCCCTAAAAAATGATAATTTGATATTCTTAACACTTATGGTTTATATCTTGAGAGAGTTTTAGTAAAATGTGTCTGTTATTTTGTGCACATGTGTTATATAGAATTCCACATCCATAGCATATTAAATTGTAATTGCAAACAGGAGAAGGTGACACCTTTTGCTTCCTTAGTTTCCATATTTATGTTTCAAATTATCTTTGACCCACATCGTTGAAATAAAAACATGACATTATATAGGATGTTATGCGATTGAGGTCAAGGTCAAATTTTGGATATGGCTATGTCCATTTAAAAATGTGTTTCTGTGCATATAATTTGACAAATTTGAAAATAAGAGTTCTAACATGAACACAAAATTTTTTAATAGGTGTCTGTCATGCAACTTTTCCTTCCAAAATATTAGATTTTTTTAAATATTAAATATTCAAGGTTAAGAAATTAGACGAGACTGTTGCATGCACATAAGTTTTCACTTATATAACAAAAAAAAAATATTTACATCCAATTTGCACTATGCCATCAGTTTTTAGTTTTACTTCTAGAGCAGGTTAATTATAAGCTATGGATGCTAGCATACTAACTTTGTTATTGCTCAGATTTTTTTGCTTACTTAAGACAGAAAAATTGATTATAAGACTTAAAATTAGGATGTGTGTTTGTCCTTGTGAATGCAAATTACCATGTTCATCTTAATTACAGTGCTCATAAAACATGACCCTCATTAGTAGGACCCTTGTTGTTTTTTTTAAATAAGAGTTGTGATGACCCTTAAATGATATTTCTTTATGTAAACCCTGGATAAAAATTACTTTTTCATGTACATAGGCATTATGGGATAGTCAAAATTTAAAACTACTGCATGAACTTAAATAACTTAAACTGATGTGAGATTTGTTCTTTAAAAGAAAAAAAAAGAACAAATTGAATAATAGTTGTTCTAAAATTTCAGTTTCTTTTCTAAAAGTTTCTGAATTTTTTTAAGGGTATTAGGTTACAGTTACATAACCAGAAATGTTAAATTAGAAGTTTACAGCAATGTAAAGATATTCACTGTAGTCATGAAGTAATTTGTAAAGATGTTATATAAAACCACTCATTCACATCCTAATTTAAGATTAAAGATATTGGCCGTCTGCATGTTGTTATCATTGAATCAAAGAATGTTATAATTTACCATATAGAACTTTAAGAGCTCATTGAAGTCGAAATTATAACATGTATTATAAATAAATGTGCTGTGACACAGATTTGGCAAAGAAGTTGAAAAGTTGAAGGTTATTCTGCGTCGCGACGCAGTTGAAACGGTTAATTTAAGAAGATAAAGATTTAACATTATTAGGCAATTATTTGTTATATGTTTTCAAGTTTTAAAAGTGTAGTATAAGGTAATGGGATGGGTGGATAGTCTATCATTTATGCAATAGGGAGGGGTTGTTATTGCTTTTTTTTTTTTTTTTAGCTCACCTGAGCTTGCTCAGGGTGAGCTTTTAGGATCGGTGAATGTCCGTCATCCGTCCGTCCGTCGTCCGTTGTCTGTCGTACGTCCACAATTGCTTGTGAACACTCTAGCGGTCGCATTTTTGCCTCAATCATCATCAAACTTGGTCAGGATGCTTATCTAGTTGAAAGCTCGGATGAGTTCGAACATGGCTCATCTCGGATGAAAAACTAGGTCACAAGAGCTAAAAATAGAAAAACCTTGTGAACACTCTAGAGGTCACATTTTTGACCCAATCATCATCAAACTTGGTCACGATGTTTGTCTAGGTGATAGCTCAAAAGAGTTCGAAAATGGGTCATCTCGGATGAAAAAGTAGGTCACCGGAGCTAAAAATAGAAAAACCTTGTGAACACTCTAGTGGTCACATTTTTGAACCAATCTTCATCAAACTTGGTCAGATTGCTTGTCTAGTCAATTGCTTGGATGAGTTCGAACATGGGTCATCTCTGATGAAAAACTAGGTCACAGGAGCTAAAAATAGAAAAACCTTGTGAACACTCTAGTGGTCACATTTTTGACCCAATCATCATCAAACTTTGTCAGGATGCTTGTTTAGATAATAGCTCGGATGAGTTCGAATATGGGTCATCTCGGATGAAAAACTAGGTCACTGGAGCTATAAATAGAAAAACCTTGTTAACACTCCAGCGGTCACATTTTTTCATCAATCATCATCAAACTTGGTCAAGATGCTTATCTAGTTAGCTTGGATGAGTTCGAACATGGGTCATCTCGGATGAAAAAGTAGGTCACCCGAGCTAAAAATAGAAAAACCTTGTAAACACTCTAGCGGTCACATTTTTGCATCAGTCATCATCAAACTTTGTCAAAATGTTTGTCTAGGTGACAGCTCGGATTAGTTTGAACATGGGTCATCTCGGATGAAAAAGTAGGTCACCAGAGCTAAAAATAGAAAAAACCTTGTTAACACTCTAGCGGTCACATTTTTGCATCAATCATCATCAAACTTGATCAAGATGCTTGTCTAGGTGATAGCTCGGATGAGTTTGAACATGGGTCATCTCGGATGAAAAAGTAGGTCACCAGAGCTAAAAATAGTAAAACCTTGTTAACACTCTAGTGGTCACAATTTTGACTCAATTGTCATTAAACTTGGTCAGGAAACTTGTCTAGGTCATTGCTGGGAATAAATCGAACATGGGACATCTCGGATGAAAAACTAGGTCACAGGAGCTAAAAATAGAAAAATCTTGTTAACACTCTAGTGGCTACTGTTGTGATCCAAATATTCTGTTAATTGGTCTGAAAGTTTGTTTTGATGATTTCTAAGTCAAGATCCAACATGGGTCATCTTGGATGAAAAACTAGGTCACACCGCCCAAATATGGAAAAACCTTGTTAACATTCTAGTGGTCACATTTTCGACTCAATTATCATCAAACTTGGTCAGGATGCTTGTTAACCAGGTTTTCCGAAGGAAAAAACTGGTTATTAGATTGAGGTATGTCGGCGGGCGGGCGGGCGGATGGGCGGACGGGAGGGCGGGCGTAAACAATTTCTTCTGTGCGCAACTCCTCCTACAATTCTCAACGGATTTTGACCAAACTTTCACAGAAGCTTTGTCATCAAGTGCCCTGGCGCATATTGTCGGGGTTTTGCGATTAGATAATATTTGACCTAATTATGGCCCTTTGTTTTTTTTCCTTATATAAAATATATAGTGAACAATTTCTTCTGTGCGCAACTCCTCCTACATTTCTCAACTGATTTTGACCAAACTTTCTCAGAAGCTTTGTCATCATGTGCCCTGTCACATATTGCCAGGGTTTTGCAATTGGTATATATTTGACCTAATTATGGCCCTTTGTTTTTTTCCTTATATAAAATATATAGTGAACAATTTCTTCTGTGCGCAACTCCTCCTACATTTCTCAACAGATTTTGACCAAACTTTCTCAGAAGCTTTGTCATCAAGTGCCCTGTCACATATTGCCAGGGTTTTGCAATTGGTATATATTTGACCTAATTATGGCCCTTTGTTTTTTTCCTTATATAGAATATATAGTGAACAATTTCTTCTGTGCCCAACTCCTCCTACATTTCTCAACGGATTTTGACCAAACTTTCTTAGAAGCTTTGTTATCAAGTGCCTGGCACATATTGTCGGGGTTTTGTGATTGGATAATATTTGACCGAATTATGGCCCTTTGTATATTTTTTCCTTAAACAGAATATATAGAGAACAATTTCTTCTGTGCTCAACTCCTCCTACATTTCTCAATGGATTTTGACCAAACTTTCTTAGAAGCTTTGTTATCAAGTGCCTGGCACATATTGTCGGGGTTTTGTGATTGGATAATATTTGACCGAATTATGGCCCTTTGTATATTTTTTCCTTATACAGAATATATAGTGAACAATTTCTACAGTGCGCAACTTCTCCTACATTTCTCAATGGATTTTTTACCAAACTTTCACAGAAGCTTTGTCATCAAGTGCCCTGGCGCTCACTAAATTCCCATGTTTCTTCCAAGACATCATTCAAGTATTTTTTTTAAATTGTTAACATACTTTTCTTGCTATCGCACAAAACACCACAAGCCAATATTGTTGACAAAAGAAAATGACAAGAGACGCAAAAATGCAAAAATTAAGCAAAAATAAAGTACTGTTTACCTTTCTAAAATATTTAGGAAAAAAAGGCGAACAGACAACATAAAATTTCTCAATCATTTTTGTTTGAGGAATTTTAAAAAACCATAATTCCTCCTAAAAGTTCAATTAAAAACAAATGCCCCTTCATGACAAAGCTTCTGTGAAATATTTTGCTGAAAACCTGGTTGCATCGCATTGCGATGTTCCTTGTCTAGGTAATTGCTTGGATGAGTTCGAAATCGCATGTGAAACTAGGTCACCGGAGCTAAAAATAGAAAAATCTTGTTAACACTCTAGTTGCTACTGTTTTGATCCAAGTATCCTGGAAATTGGTCTGAAAGTTTGTTTTGATGATTTCTAGGTCAAGTTTGAATATGTGTCACCTGGGTAAAAAACTAGGTTGCACTGCTCAAATATGGATAATCCTTGTTAATACTGTAGTGGTCACATTTTTGACTCACCTGTCATGAGACTTGGTCAGAATGCTTGTCTAGGTAATTGTTTGGATGAGTTTGATAAGTCAGGTGAGCGATCTAGGGCCATCATGGCCCTCTTGTTTTTTATTAAGTTCAAGTTATATGAAGCTCCTTTATTATTTAACAATGATTGCTTTTTAGTTTAATTAAGTTCCATTCAGATTTCAATGATATAAAAAATTAGGACAAATTTGCATTCTTTTTGTTGCTTTCAGTGTAATTTTTATGACCTTATTAAACACAAACATTGTTCATGATATCCAGGCTATATTGCAGTGAATAAGTTTGAAAAGGTGTCTTTGATCAAATTTATATATAAATAGAAAATAGGTCATTGCAATGTTCTTTACAATTCATGTGTGTTTTTTTACCAGACAGAGTTATTTGCCCTTTACTGGCAAAATGGATATTAACTTCATAAATTTTAACAATCAGTTGAAGTACCAATTTCTTTCAGAAGCAGCAGACTTGAATGCTATTATATTAAATTTAGTTTGCCTGTAATACAAAAAAATAAAATAAAGCCAAGGTTAATCATGGTAATACATAAATCATGTGTTTTGTTTATTTCAGTCCAAATATGTCGGCGAGTCAGAGATGTTGACATTGTGTGGTTTACATCGTAACACATTGTATAATTTCCAAGTACTTTGTAAGCCAAGAGAAGAAGGTTTCTGGAGCAAGCCAACATCTCAGCTAGTCAAAACAGATGAAGATGGTAGGAATCTTATACATTGTAGTATTAAAGGGACTCCACTGAGTGTTGTTTTTTTGGATGCAATAATTGTTCGAGGTTAATCTCCTATTTGATGAAAAACCCATACCTTTTGTGCAAAATTTCAAATACTAAATTGCGCACCCTTTTTTTCTAGATTGATTATTTTATTTATGAAAAATGACCCTAAATTGAAAAGCCTTTGCAATACTTTTCACTCAAATTGGACTAATAATAGCACACAATACGATTTTCAATTTATTTTTGACACTATTTCTTAATTATCTTTTGCATATCTTCCTGCTTAATAATATATGTCCCAGAAATTAAAATTTTATGTTTTTAGACTTATGGACCTCAGTGGAGTTCCCTCTAAAAAATTAATTTTGTTGTTGTATTTAAGTCCCCCTTTACCCCTTAGACATGAAGTGAGAGTACATCATTCGGTAGATGTTGGTGGGATGGTCATTTGACCTTGACCTTACCATTTTAGGCCTTATTATTGTGATGTTAACTGAGCCACAGTTCTAAAAACTATCAACAGGCCTGCTTGTCATGATAAATCAGAAGATCTGTTCCTAGCGTACCGGTGCCAGCCCATTGTGTGGTAACAAGGCTTCTGTCCATGGAACCCTATTTTTCCTTGATGATTTAAAAAACAAATCAAAAAAGAAACAATCATAACTGTGAATTGGATAATAATTAAGACTTGATGATTTGTTTTGAGAAATTTATTACAGCTTCTTGTGTTGTTAGCAGGTTGTTACTTGTACAGTATGAAGTAAGGAATTTACTATACCTGTGACTCTTTATACAGAATCTAGATAGGAATAAACCATAGATATATTACCCTTTATGTGAACTCGACTTCAAATAAAGAAGACATGCAGTCTGCTGTTACTTAATGCTTTTACATTATTTGTGTGTAAGATATGTCAACAATATGTTTTCATATTTTAGTTCCAGCGAAGGCTCCAGAGCTTTTACCAGGGAGTTACATAGAGAAACCAATTCACCACAATACCTTGAATAGAGTTTGGATATACTGGAAGGTTTGTATGCTAACTTGTCTCAATTCTCAGTAACTGTTGCCATGGAAATGAAGCATTGCAGTTTCTCTGTACATCTGACTGTCTGTCAATCTGTGTCTGCATCTGTCTGTCTGTTCATCGGAGTATCTGTCAGTGTTTATTAGTTATTCTGTCTCTGTGTGTTTGGTAAAGTGTGTAACTTGAAAAACAGTTTTACATGTGCTACAGTTTATTTTTTAGGGGGAGTGGGGGCTTTTAACTGCAACTGCTGTTTACTTATACATATTTCTCAGTTGAAAGAGGAGGCAGTGAATCTTTAAGTAAAACATATGAGCCGCGTCATGAAAAAAACCAACATTATGCGTTTGCGACCAGCATGGATCCAGATCAGCCTGGGCATCCGCGCAGTCTGATCAGGATCCATGCTGTTCGCTTACAAACCCTATTACAAGTAGAGAAACTGATAGCGAACAGCATGGATCCTGATCAGACTGCGCGCAGGCTGGTCTGGATCCATGCTGGTCGCAAACGCACTATGTTGGTTTTGTCATGGCGCGGCTTATATGTGTCTGAGATGAATTTGTCAAATATAGATTGAATGTGGTTGTGTTAAAATAATAGCACTTTTAGGGCTTAATGGGCCTTTAAAGTAATTGTATGTACAGACAGATAAGTACATCTGTTTCTAAAGCTCCTCTCTTACAGAGAAAAGCAATTAAATAATGGAGGAAATCAAAACTTCAATACTTTAAAAATTGGTCTGTAATTTGTCTCAGTATTTGGTAAGTGAAATACTAGCGGAAATAATCTTTTGCCTATGTCTCCAATAATTATGGCCAGGAAATATTGTAAATCTTTGCAGTCTGAACTGACAGTATTGTTGGTTGGTTGCTCAACTTTTTCAAAGTGAATTCCCTCAAATTCACAAAAAAAGTAGTTTCTTATGCCCTAGAGATCTATACATAAATTCACTTGTGAATTGTGTGCTGCCAGAAAATAATTCTAAATTTAAAGGGTGCAATAAGCTACTGTACAAAAATCACATTTCCTTTAATAATGAAATTCTAATATGTTAACTCGCAGAAAATTGATTTGTTACACACCAATCTTCTACTTGTTACATGCAATTATAGTTGAAGTTTTTAAACAAGCCCGGAGCCAATTCAATAAATAAGAAAAAAGGAAATATTAAGTTGATAGTGTGAATTATAAACTTCTAATTGATGAAGTGGTGAATATAAAATTCTTAGCTACAACATTTTCAAATTTCAAGCGCCTTGGACAAGTAACCTAAAGATTGCTGGCCGCGTGGGGTAAAACCCCTGAGGAGTGAGTTGTTTCTTTGAGCAAGAAACTTTACATTCATTGCTCAGTACTGGTTGGTTCCAGGAGCGGATTCGAGAGTGTTTCAGTAAGCTTATACCTTCCAACACAATCAAACTAAAACATTTTCAAATTGCAGGGTCTTATATTAACTTTTTATCAAGTGATTACTATAATTATAGAAGTTTGATCTTGTCAGTGGTTTAGAATATTTAGAGGGAAATTGGAATTCTGTCATGGTAGGGAATGATTACGAGTCCACCATGCGGTCTTTCTATATGATCTTTAGCAGTAATGGTGCGACTTGCAACTAGGCACAAAATAGATTACACTTTATCTTGTACTGTGAAAAGTTGTAGGATTACCTGATGCCCGTGGTTGACATTCTAAATGTACAACAAGTACTTAAGGACTAGAAAGTTCAGAAACCTGTTGAATATCAAGTTTTTATGGTTATTGGAAAAGCAGTAGATGCCATTTTTTTATTGGCATTTTGTTTCGTAAAAACATTGGTAGTAATGATATACATTGTAGTTTACAAGTTGCAACACATGGTAATCATTAAATTTAATCTTTTAAAATGTCTGAATTTACAACAGATGTGTTTTTAAATGGTGCTTATTTTTTGCATAAAGAGACGTTGCACATATTTTTGTGCATGTATAATATCTTGCACGAAACAATGGTAATATTGCAAACAGACTTTCGTACACTGCCATTCACCTCATCCAAAATGGATGTAACAAATTTGGAATGTGACACACCTTCCTTAATATGTACAAAAAATGTGTACACGGTCCTTAAAAACTCGTAAAAAATCCATATAAAGAATTTAGAATTCAAGATGATTACTTAATTTGTACAAAAATAAAAAAATGGAAAAATTACTTCATAAAATTACAGCAGCTGCTGTGGACATGTACATGTATATGGATCATATAAGCATCATGCTTATCCAATGAGAAAAGACATTGCAAACGTGCAATATGATGATATTTTAAATCTTTTATATACTTATTATATTATGTTTCAGCGGATCAGTAGGGAAGATTCAAACGGTAACATAACTTACTATCAAATAAAGCATCGAAACTGCGACACAGGGTCGAAATGGGAGACAACTCAGGTGAAAGCAGAAACGCAGGACATACTTACTCTGGTTGCCATGGACACCTACGCTATACGTATTGCAGCTGCCACCTCTAAAGGATTGTCAAAAATCTATTCCGAAATATATCTTCCAGGAAAATCAGAAAGTAAGGATGTTGATGATTTACAGATATTACAGGTTATAGGTTACATTGTATTAATCATATGGTTTATTCAAGGCAATTATTACACCTTTGTAGATCTATTAAGCATGTTAGTTTTTATCCATTTTATGGAAAAGCAATCTTTCTACATTCTGGAACATCTGTAGTTCTACCTAGTTGCACTCGAGTGCGTTTGATAATGTCAATTGAGACACCTGAGACCTTTCTCCAACAAACGGCACAGCACCTTAAAAACCTAAAATCATAAAATTTGAATTTATTACAATAGATCAGCTGGGGCAATTAAAACAGAACGATATGCAAAAGAAAATTAAGAAATCTTCTCAGAAAATTGATAATCGTATTCTTGCACTATAATAAGACTGATTTTCGGTTTAATTTTTCCCAATTTGAATAATAATTTTAGAAAACAGAGTAAGCGAATGATCTGAAAATTTTGCATACAAGTTATTGTTCTAGACCTACATCAAATAGAACTTTAATCACTGAAAATTATTTCCATTCCCGTCATAGTCCTTTTTAGTTAATTGAACTCATCTTCAATGAATTTTCAGTTGCACCTTTCAGATCATATGACATAATTTCCACTTTTACTAGGCTAAATGGTGACTTCAAACACTATAAAAATAACTCGTAAATCTTCGTTACAAAACACACTTTAAACAACCTGTTATTGGAGAAAACAATGTCACCAGCTATTATTGAGTGAAACAAAAGGTTCAATTTCCTGTTCCACTTATTCCAATACAGAATTAGGCCAACTGTAATAAAAGAGAAATCGGTATATTTGTTTTTTGCTAGTAATAGATATATATAGAAACTGGGGCTGTTCATGCAAATAAAGCCCAAATAAATCGAATAATAAAACATTTCACCTAGATCTTGAATATTTATACAATTCTTAATGCTTTAAGTGCAGACTAATATCAGCCATCACATCCTTGCCCTTTGATCATGGTCTGCACTGTTTGCTATTCAGTCAGTAAATAATTAAAAAAATTCTCTAAAAATGATCAATGGTTTTGTCCAGATTGAAAGATGGGCAAGTCCATTTAAGATATTTAAGCACAGTAGACCACTCCTGAATCGAAAAGTGTGTTATTTGTATGGAAGTATTTTGAATTGATGTTTTGGTAGTTCTTTACAAAAAGTTTGTTAGGTAAGCTCGGTATTATAAGAAGATTTAACCTTGTACCAGCTGTGACATTATATGAGCCGCGTCATGACAAAAACAACATAGTGCGTTTGCGACCAGCATGGATCCAGACCAGCCTGCGCATCTGCCTTTCTGATCAGGATCCATGCTGTTCGCTTACAAACCCTATTACAAGTAGAGAAACTGATAGCGAACAACATGGACCTGATCAGACTGCCCGGATGTGCAGGCTGGTCTGGATCCATGCTGGTCGCAAACCAATTATGTTGGTTTTGTTATGACACGGCTCATATACTGAAGTATGCTATTTTTAGTTATGGTAATAAAGTATGGAAAAGGTAAATGTGTGGTTGAACAATTATTATTTAATGTCATATCAATAGAGTTACCCTATATAATGTGCCTTGTTAGCTGGTTGAAATACGTGGAGAAAATTGATTAAACCTTTGAAGGCAAATTACAGCTAGAGCTGAGCAATTCCTACCAATACTTATGTACTCTATACTGCTTGCTGCAGACGGCATTCTGTTTCAGCCAGTACGCTTCTGTGTTAGTCCATTTAAGATTTTAATCAGGATGAGGGCCAGAAAAGTTGGCTGCTTAACATTGTATTATTTTATAGCAATCCTTTAAATTAAAGGTACTCCATTGTGATCAAAAAGCCTAAAAGATAGAATTTGGATTTCTTACATGGATCACCTAGGGCACATAAAAAACAGAAAGATTATGCCAAAAATAATAAAGAAATATACCAAGAAATATGAAATTCTTTCTTAAAGCAATGATATGTCAATGATTTTCTGTAATATGTATAAAGGTCTTCTGATCATTTTTGTTTCGTATAATAAATGATGTAACATCTGGAGATATTATCCTAGTAAACTTGCAAATAAAATATAAAAACTGCCCTCTTTTATGTATTGAACTTCATTGACGAACATTACGTAACATAAATTATAATTTCTCATTGATCAATCCTTCTTACACTGAATATATGAAATTGAATTCAATCTGGATAAAACTTTTCATCAATTATAGATGCTTTTCACATAACAATTATCACCTCCCCTGGCCACAAATTTGAGGGTTTTTCTAATATATTATATGCTTAAAGCAGCACGCCTCCATATTCATGTTAATTTCCATAAAAAATTTGGAAATGTAGACTATTTAATAGTAAAAAAATGTGAGGTGAAGAAATAAAGTAATTAACATATTGCAATCCGCACTTACAATCTACGAAAATTACCAAAATTTTAAAAAGCAACATGTGCAAAAACAGCCCTTACTGTGTTAGTAACGCTGTAGAAATATGGTGATAAATTACTGCAATATTAGTGTTAAATGGCACATAACATGTAAACTATAACTTGGATCTTGAATGCTTTTACCTTTCTTAACAGTTTAGTGCATTTTTCTCAAAATTGAATTTCTTGAAATATTTTGGCTCATCTGGAGGCGTGCAGCTTTAAGATAAGATAAAAAATCTCTCCTAATTCTATCATCTTCAAGAAAACTGATAAAAAATCTTTTACATAATGGTACTTATAATAATTAATTTTTTCTTCATATGTATAAAAGAATTTGACATTTCACCAAAATCAGTTTTATAAGGAAGTTTTCATACTATGTCAGTTTTATTATATAGATAAATGACCCCCAAAATGTCTGCCACTATTGCCAAGGGAGGTAAATATTGTAAGAATTGTAAACTATTTTTAGAGAAAATTTCAAAATATGTACAGAATACCGTATAAGTACATATTTCGTGGGCTTAAAATTCTGCGATTTTGGTTAAAATAAGGGGTTTTAAATTTCTGCATATCTTAATGATGCGGTGTCATCATTCTCGCATTGATGTTTTTTTTTGTTTCTGCGTTTTAATTCAGAGACAACATTTCAAGATTAGTTAATGTAACATGTACATTACTTCTGGTGAACATGCAAACGACTTCGGTGCGTTCATTGAACGCCGCCTTTCCTTGTTGATCTTGTTTATCATATTTTATAATGTGTGTAATCTCCATGTTTCGGTATATAAACGTAAATAAACAAAAATCAACAACGTGCAATGACAACAACTAATTGTAATACTGCATGTGTATAAATATGAAGTGTGAAAAATAAACAATGGTAAAATCGCACATAGACACAATATATTGTACAAATACAAAAGGGTATGTTTATTGCACCTGTCAAACTATAATAGTTTTATTTTAAAATAAATCAAGTTTCTTAGTGAGCGAAAATCATACAAACATGATATTTTTTAAACAAAATGAACAAGTAAAGTAACATTTATTTCTAATGTTTTATTCACATAATAGTCCAGTCAATTTGTAACAAAATATGCTAAAATACTTCAGAAAATGGGAAAAGCATGAAACTTGGCACAGACATTAATAAATGCAAAAGAAACATTTTGGGCATGGGACCCATTTCATATATGCCAAGATGGTTGCCATGGCAGCCATTTTTCAAAATGGCCGCCATTACATGGAATTATCAACTTTCTATTCCAGTAGAGGCTATTTATAGTTACAATTATACTAGAAATTACCCCAGTTTACACTTAACATGAGATATTTGCATTACTAATAATCAAAGATATAAGTTTACAATTATAATGTTATTAATTGTTTCTGTTTCTATGGTAACAAGTTACTGAAATTACTAAATAGTCTATTTCTGTACTTTGAAATATTTTTTGATTATTTTCTCATATTTAGTTTATTTGTTGTAATCCTCAGTAGACGATCATGTGAAATAACTATACAATATCATGCCTAAAATGCTTTATGTGTAGATTTACCATATAAAAAGTATTCAAATTGTAATGTCTGAATTTACATAATTTACAAACAGAATAGGATGATTAAACATATTCCATTATTATTTTATATTTCCTTCAGCTTAATCAACAATATTTTGCTAGCACCAAATATTACCTATAAATTCAATGTTAAACAAATCTTATAATACTATGAAAATGAAAGAACAAAAGCGTATGTATCCAAGGTACTATATAGTGCCTGAAAGGATTGGATTAGGCATAGAATACACACACGGCCCTGTAGGCATTGAGCTCTCAGATCTATTAAATGTAACACCACTTTCATGTTGGATTATTCATAATTCAATTTTAGAGTGATTACAACCACCGTAAAGATGTAACCCAAATATTTATTTTCATGTTTTTAAAGGGAGACACAAGCATTATTTTTATTTCTTCGTTTTGAATTTTTCATTCATTAATCTGTTCATCCTCAAAATATATACAATTGACAGTCATCGAGGATTTTGCCGGCGGCTAAATTTTGTTTATATTTACGCTTCAAATTCAAAAATAAATAGAATTGATACCAAAATTTATGCTTGGACTTTTACAAATGTCATTTTAGCGTGATTTGAGTACATAAGATAATGTTGGTATTGTCATTAATTTGCATGCGTATTCCTTAAAGGTTTTTTTTTAATTTCATCCTTTACATTCAATATTAAATCTTAGTTTTTGCGCTTTGCAAGCTCTATGCATATTGAAATTCTATTGTTGATGCTGAGTGTCCTATTTCATGTATTATAATGATATCAAGTATCTCTCTAGTTGACGGAAGTCTATCTGAGGTAAGACTTTATCTGAATGTTTAACATAGTCCTGAAAGGATTGACAGCCTTAGACTTGACAACAATAACAACCGTGACTTAAAATGCTTTATCAATCACAGTCATCTCAAAATATGAATACAACAGAGACCAACGTTCATCGAATGCAGTCCTGAAATGTTATGTCATATAAATTTGTTTATCAGGTTTCAACGAAAAGCGGTAATTGTTAAGCCGAAGTCGGCAGGCGGGCAGGTGAGCGGACGTCAACTTTTGGTTTCCGCTCAACTTGAGTTTGCTTTTGCCTACAGACATCAAACTTTGTGTGTTTGGGTAGCTTATGTCAAGAGGCAGCGTTGGATTGCACCCCAGATGTTTGTGATCAAGTTCACTGCTGCTAAAAATAGAAATTCAGTTTTCGCTCAATAGTTCGAGTTTGCTTTGGCCTATTGACAACAAACTTGGTGTATGGGTAGCTTTATCAAGAGGCATCTTGGGGTTGCTACCTTGGTGTCTGTGATTAAGGTCAAGGTCACTGTTGCACAAAAATAAAATTCAGTTTCCGCTCAATCTCTTGAGTTTGCTACGGCCTATTGACATCAAATTTAGTATGTGGGTAGCTTATATCAAGATGCAACTTTGAATTGCTACCAAGGTGTGTGTGCAAAACGTAATGATCACTGTTGCTTAAGAAATAAACTCAGTTTTTACGTGTTAATTTGAGTTAGCTTTCACCTATTGACTCTAAACTTGCTGTGTGGTTAGTTATATTAAGATGCAGCTTTGGATTGCTATTTAGATATCTAGGAGCAAGGTCAATGTCACTTTTTTGTCAAGTCTGGAAACTGCTGAGCTTAACAACAAAACCCAGCACAAAATACTGACAGAGACTCTCAATAATAACAAACAACACATTTATAACAAAGACTGTTCTCATTAGCATGACCAAGAGTTGTCAGAATTAAGAGAGAAATACCCTAGGTATCTGATGTTTTATGGGCAGCAAGGCATACTTATATTATTTTCAATGTCTGTCCCATTCGTTCTAAACCTTAGACGTGCATGGTGACGTATCTTGAATTTTACAAACATTTGAGGCCCTCAGAAGAAAAACAAAGTCAATATATGGCAAATTATCTAGCACGTTCGTCCATTGTTTTTCTTGATCTGATAATAGCGCGGAAATGTTGAGTCTTCATATAAAGGGCTGTTTGTAATATCTAAAAATAAAAACTTGTAAGAACATGCCTTTTGGAATTTAGTTTAAAAATATGAGAAAACATGATTGCAAACATGAAACTCAGCAACTAAATATAAAATTTTGTGGCACAGGGCACCCATAGGAACACCAAAATGGAATTTGACATATAATTAAGGGTGATGGTGGCATTAAAGAAGGAAGAGGGTATTATGTCAATTTTTGATACATCCCGAAGGTAAAAAAGGTTGATGTTATTTACAATAATGAGTTATAGTGAAGCTTCTAACTAGATTAGTATTGAAAGTTGATGTCAAGTTAGCAGTTACTCAATCAAAACCAATGTGTAGTGTTTAAAAGCAGTTATTTCATCAAAGGTGTATCAAAATCTTAGCCTGCAAATTGCAAGTTTCTACAAAATTATCATTCCATATCAACAAATGGACAGTCATGTTCTTTCATATGAAGAAAAGGGGTAGTTTAGAATTAATTTATTTTCTGTAACGCATACTTTGACCAGAGACATAGATAACATCTACATCTCTGCTTTGACAAAATGTACATTATATAAACAAAATGTACATTACATAATTATGTCTGCCAGGTTTTCATTTTTTCTCAATTTACATATTCTAAAAAATGCACTTTTATAAAGTTTCATTTTTTTTATTTGATATGACAATTCAAATACCAAATGACTGTTAAAATTTAACACATGTAAGCTTATAATTCTGTTATTCACACATGCAAGGCGTACACCTGACTTGACGGGCAGATATTTAATTTTCGTTTGCTTGAGTTATGCTAGAAGTTTTGAATACTTTTGTTTAATCTGTTTGATAAGTATTTCCTTGTGATAAATAAACATTGTAAACAAAAAGAAATGTTGTAAAATATGATGTCTTAACATCTTAAGGAGACAGCGATGACAGACCTCTACAATAATTTATTTCATCTGATTTTCAGGGTCGTGAAAACTAATGACAAACAGAAATAATAAAATATGTTAAGTGTAATATAGCTTTAAAAAGACAAAGTAATGCTTAAATACTAAAAACAACTATTTTTCTGATTACAATACCCTAATATGCAGCTATTTATCAAGTTCTCTTAGTAAAAGCAAACATTTTTGAAATTTTCAACACGTATGGCGGCCATTTTGGATTTTTTCCGCCATATTGGATTTTAAAAAATGGGTCCCATGCTCAATTTTTCTTACATATATCAAAGTTCATTTGTACCAAGTTTGATGCTTTTCCCATTTTCTGAAGTATTTTTTCACAAATTGACCTGACTATAACCGACAGATTCATATTGAAAAATTCCCATCTACCAAAGCTGATAACAGTGCATAGTAATGTCATTATACAATACAGGTAGTTGACATATTCCTACATAAATGTAGACATAGCGAAAGGCTTAATTTTCTGCGGTTTTTAAATCTGCGGTGTCGTAATAAACCGCAGAAATAGCAGAAATAAAGTTCGCGCAGAAAAAAGTACTTATACGGTAAATAGCAAACTTTGCATTCGGCATGTTTTTAATGATTAAGCTAAGTTGGCACTGGTTGCATGAGGAAGGGGTGGGGGGGTGGGGGTGGAATCAGGCCACCAGCTGGCTAAGGGGAGTGGGGGAGGGGAAAGGTTAAAGGCATATTACAGTGAGGTTAAATTGTCTTTTTCGGGTAATCTTCAATACATTGTTGTAGTTTTAGTATAAATATGAATAATTATAAATTTCTGTCTTGCAATACTATAAGAAGTTACATATTTTACATTAGAAAAACCTCATTCAGGTGAGGTTATATGTTTTATTTATTTTACATCATTATCAGCAATATTTGCATAAATTTCTATTGTAATATTTTCAGAACCTAAGATTCCAGATTATATTGTTGAAGCTGACAATGCCTCGAAGAATACAAAGGTTACTATATCGTGGAGTCCAGTGAACATGTGGTCATCAAGTTACTGGAAAAATCTCACATCATATACAGTGTTCTGGTGTAGGGGCTCAAAAATAGAAAACTGTCAGGTAAAACATACAGTCTGCGCTCCTTTTAGATGTTTAATAGCTCTTGTTTGAAGCCAGTGTTATATCCCAGATTATGTACCAATGGGCTGTCCTAAAAATTCACAGAATTATGCTAAATTATTTAATGCAAACATACAAATTGTGTTGTAAATGTTCCTTGCATCAACAAAGTAAGCGACAACGTTTTGTACAATTTTTGAAATTCATCCGATAATTCAAAATGATGACTGCTTAGTTGCATGTTCTTAACATAAGACTAACTCTCCTTTTTTACCAAGTTACTACATGATTTAGCAAATATTACAAAGTAACAACCCTTTATTGCCTCAGTTACAAACCTTTAGTTTCAAGTACATCTATTGTGGCTAAGTTACAAGCCTTCTTTAGCCAAGTTACAATTCTTTATTGCTTTGAACCTTTATTACTTAGTTACAAGGGGTGTCTATGGCCATGTGGTAAAGGTTGTTGACTTCAAACCACTTACACACCTCACTGCTGTAGGTCCGGATCCCAACAGAGACTTTGAATTCATGTGAGGAAGCTATCCAGCTAGCTGCAGAACATCAGTGGTTTTATTCAGATGCCCATTTGTGTCTGAAATAATGGTCACGAGAGATCATCCTCCATTAGTAAAGCAGGAAAGTTGCCAATTATGACCTATACTGTGTTGGTGCGATTTAAACCAAATAAAAAAAAAATAGAATGAAAAATTTCGACCACTTTGTCCAAATTATAAACCTTTTGTCTTTTGCCCTGTTGTCTTGCTTCATACTTCAGCAGACATTAATGCACATTAAAAGGTACTCTAACTCTCTATTGCTAAAAACTGAACTGCTTTTTTTCTTGAACAGTTCTGTTGTTCCTCTTTTAACACTGGGCATCTGTATTAAGTTGGCATTAACTATTGATTACTAGATGGCAGTCTAATGTATAGAAGAAAGTTGTTTACTTAGTATTTAGTGCGAAAAAAAAATGTCAAGATTCCGGTGTGACATCTGGTTTCACCTTGATCAGTAAAATATAAAAAAATAATACCTACAGCCAGAACTGAATATGGTATAAAGTAAGACACGGCAGATGTTACCCTATTTGTATGACTTCACATTTGTCTTACGTTAATGTTGAGACTCGCTTTAAATGGGTTATTGGATAAGTACAAGGGATATTTTGTCTGTAATGTTTACAGACTAAACTGACAAACTGATGTTACGTTTGCAGCAAGAAATCATTCGACCTAGTGTCCATGGATGAATGGTTTAATGCTGTTGATATCAAATCCCTTGCCTCTCACCACTTTGGGTTCGAATACTGTCAGTGTCTTGGATTCTTTTATATGAGGTAGCTGTTCAGCTAGCTTACTGAATGTTGGTAGTTCTACACAGGTGCCTGTTTGTGCCTGAAATAATGCAAAGAAAGGATCCTGAGGTATTCCTCCACCAGTAAAGCTTAAAAGTCTTCAACATAAAATCCGACCAAAAAAAAAATACCTGTATTGATCAATACATATTTATCACAATATAGAGACAAATTCACAGAAAAAAAAAACAATAACACTTTATGCTTGAAACTAACAGCTACAATGTGTATAATTGCCACTTTTTACAAACTAAACTTTAGTTCTGTGATCATAGGGTACAAAATCAATATTGAAAAATTTCTCACACTTGTGGAGAAGTTGGTAGTAAGTCAGGTTAGATATCGAGGAAAACTTCTTTATGGTAGATTGACATCGGAGATATGAGTAAAACATGTGCTAAAAGACAAATAATCAAGAATTTTTCACAACTACCTCTTTTAAGCAATACAGATTCTCATGTTTCATTCACAGGATGCGATAAAGTCTGCAGAGGTGGATATACACAGTACAGAATATGTGTTATATATGACAGATTTCCAGCTGTACATGTTTGGTGTGGCTGTGAATGCCATGTCAACTAGAGGCAAGATCATCAGTAGTGGGTTTAAGTGGAACACTTGTATGTACATCAAAAATACCAGTAAGTGTGGATCATTTTCTTAGGTAACATGATAACGTGACATGATAGGGTCAATAGTTAGGTGACATGATATAGTGACATGATGAGATCAATAATTAGATAGCATGGTATAGTGACATGATGAGATCAATAATTAGGTAACATGGTATAATGACATGATGAGATCAATAATTAGGTAACATGATAAAAGTGGCATAATGAGATCAATACTTAGGTAACATGATAAAAGTGACATGATGAGATCAATACTTAGATAACATGATAAAGGTGACATGATGAGATCAATACTTAGATAACATGATGTAGTTTCATGATGATGAGATCAATACTTAGGTAACATGATATAGTGACATGATGAGATCAATACTTAGGTAACATGATGTAGTTTCATGATGATGAGATCAATACTTAGGTAACATGATATAGTGACATGATGAGATCAATACTTAGGTAACATGATGTAGTTTCATGATGATGAAATCAATACTTAGGTAACATGATATAGTGACATGATGGAACAATACTTAGTAGCATGATATAGAGACATGATGAGATCAATACTTGGTAACATGATAAAAGTGACATCATGGGATCAATACATTGGTAACATGATGTAGTGACATGAGGAGATCAATATTTAAGTAACATGATATAGAGACATGATGAAATCAATTATTGGTAGCATTATGTAGTGACATGAGGTGATCAATACTTAATTAGGTTGCATGATAATGCAGCTGTCGTGGTTTCTAGCAAATAGAAAAATGAATCACTGTCATTAGTTTGAAAAGATTTTTTATCTTTTTATTGATAGTTAAGGATTAGTTGTTTTTTTACTGATTCAATACAGAAATACTTTACTGTAAAAAACCATATCATGGCAAAACCACCCTGCAATTACTGTATCACGCTGCCTACCTTCATTATGATTATTTACTATATTTAGCATAAACATATGATGAATATGCAGTTCAAATAATGATTCTGATGCACTGATTTACAATGTTTGTTTTGCCCGATTGAAATGTAAGCAGGTAGTGTAAAATTGAAATTATCAGGTCACTTTGTGAAGTCAAATTTAAAAATTTCATTTCAGAACCAGAGGTGGCGCCACGTAATTTACATGCTGCAGTATATCAGCCAGATAGTAGTTTGAGTATTGAATGGGACAAACTGTCATGCGAGGACACTCGTGCCTACATTCATAACTATGTTGTCTATATATGTCCTTCTGACAAGGGAGAAAACTGCTCAGGTTTGATTTTATTTAAATATGATTATCATAGTTGTTAATAAAAAAAACTATTTTATATGACTTAAAAAAGTCAAACACTTAATCGGCTAAATTTTGTAGATGTACTTCTATGTTTGAAACTGTTTATCAATTAATGAGAATCAAAATAAATCCTATTCAGAATGCACCATGGAGTTTAATCTTTGATGGTTGTGTAAGAATTTATAATATCCGGAACTCGGCAAATATGAGTTTTTCCAAGCTAATACATGAACCCCGGTACAAACAAACTTTTACCACTATAGCTTCACAGTGCATTACCGGTCACAATAGGTTAGTCAACCTGTTGCGCTTATTTTTGAAGCTGTAGTTGTAAAAGTTTGTTTGTACGCCTGGATTAGCTGGGGAAAACCAATTCCGGAGTTAGTCTATTTTACATGCTATTAGCGTGAATTCTTGATGACAGAAGAGCAGTTTTCTTTGGTAGTTAGTAGACATAACTGATAAAGAACTTAAGATGCCTAAGGAAATTTCTATAAATATCCATTGTTAATTTACCTGTAATGTTCAATTTATAAAAAAGAAGTCATCTACATGAAAAGTTAATATAAGTTTTCTGCATGTTTTTTGTTGCAGGGGAATTGTCAACGTTCACAGTAGACAAAGAGGAAAATGTGTACACCATACACGAGTTAATAGAGGGTACACGTTACAAAGTCTGGGTGAAAGCGCAGGCAGCTGGGGGTCTGGGACCAAGAAGTGATTTCATTTACAACGTGGTTATAGACAGAAGTAAGTTGTCTTGCTTGCTTAGATATATCTAACGAAAAGGCTTTTAATCTGTATTTGACAGGGTTGTTCCTCTTGTCTTTATGTCCTTGTTCAGTGAAATAGTACTGTGTTTATGTCTTTGACGCGTGTGATTGCTAGATTCCTTCGCAAAGTTAAATTAACCCTTACAATACAAAGTGTAATCTGGCTAGCAGGAAAAGTTATCATATCTTCAAATTATAATTCAGTTAATTAAATCTTTTTCCCTATTTTTGTAATATATAGATAATTTGTAAGTATAAAAATAATGTTTTTCAATGAGCAGGCCATAACAGTTAACGAAGAGAAATAAAAAAACATTTTTGAACAGTATGGTTAAGAAATCTGGAAGAATCATTACATAATTGCATGAAATTTTGCACACTAGGTTTGATTGAGTTTGTACATGTGGGATCATGAACAAGTGCAACATCTTTCACGCTCCCTAGCATCAGCTTGAGTGGTACTCAATTTTCCACACTTAAAACACTTAGAGCCAATCTCATTAAAAATAGATCATCATTTTTGCTCCATTAACTCTTCGCTATGAAGAGTAGTGGAGTGACAATTAGGATATGATTTTAATGAAATTGAGTAAAGAGTGAGACCAAACATCTGCGTAGTCCCATCTGGCTCTACTGCAGTTGGCTGTTTCCAGAATTTATGTAAAAACTGTTATACTTGGCTAAGTCCCATTTTACCAATTTGGGGTGTATGAAAGTTAAAAGATACATTGAATAGTTGGGGTTTTTTTTGGGGGGGAGTGAGGGGGTTGTAATTTTTTGTAAAAAGGATATTGATTTAAAGATTTTAAGCTATTTTCGTCATGATGTCAGATTTTAATTTGTCTGTTTTTATTGTCAAGGTATTTCAGAGACAGCATATATTTGCGTAATTTTGAAAAAATGAAAACTTTGTTTATTTTTAGTTTTTGCCTCAAGGGATAGTGAGCTCCTTGGTCTTGGTTTGTCATGTTTTTAAATTTAGGCTTGCCTTGTAAATTTTTTTTCTTATTTTTTTTTTCATAGATTTAATTTTAATACACATTTTTTTGAAGATGTAAGCTTAGATTATGGATTGCTATGCATTATTGTCAAAATATGTTTAACTTGACTTGTGTATTTTTTTTACTTTTATCATTATGTTGATAAATATTTTCACAATTGAGAACAATTCCTACAGAAAAAAAAATTGGCTGCCATGTATATTTAGTAAATAAATATACTTATATATTTAATTAAGGGCATGTTGAAGGAAAAAATATGAAATTATCAATATAAATAACGAGCTTTAGTGTGGCTGACTAAATGTTGCATGTATGTTTATCAAGGAAAACTCATGCATGAGAATTTATGTGTTATTAACAAATATGTATTGTAGTAAGAAGCGTTTCATGTTCATTGTATTTTATTTTTATTTTTTTTAAAACTAGTTTATTATTTGATATGAGCGCTAATTTTAAGAAATGTTCATAATAGGCCGGTTTTCGGTGATATTCCCGTTATCAGTGATATACCGGTATTCCGGTTTTCAGTGATATAACGGTATTCCGGTTTTCAGTGATATTTCGGTTTTCAGTGATATACCGGTATTCCGGCTGACCTTCACCTTCGTAATGTCTGTATACGATTCTAAATTTTAGTACTTAGACATGGAAATTCTTTTTAGTGACAAAGGAGACCAGTGTCTCCCATAAATTCAAGAGTCTCTTTGGCAAAGTGGAGAACAGTTCTGGCTCCAAAACATTTGTACATCTCTGATGACCTGGGTTTGAATCCCACCAGGCAGATTGGACTCTGAATTGAAGAAGCTATTTGACAAGCTTAGAGAAAGGTCAAAGGTTCTACTTGGGTGCCGGCCTGTGCTTGGAAATAATTTTTAGGAGAGCTTCTGAGTTCTTCCACAACCAGTAAAGCTGAAAAATTGTCGTATGAATTTTACAGTTTTGGTTCGACTTTAAAACTCAACCAGTGGACATATTCTATTTTGATCTGTTATATTAGTGCTCATTACTTTTATTGTTAACACTTCATCTGCTGAAACCGAAAGTGATTTGCCGTTGTCACTATTATAGAGCATGGCAAGTATGTACATCCATGCAGTCTTACCAACCAGGCTCTATACTGTTGGCTGTCTAACTTAAAATTTTTAACTTTGTATCTCTAAATTTTTTAATGAACAATTCAAAAAAATGGAAACTGAGCAAGTACATTGAAGAAATTCAGCAGATATTTAGGAAATTATCAAAATACTTGTGGTCAAGTTTATGTAATAACATAGCTTATGATATGTTTACTAAATTCAAACACTTGTTGTTATATGTTGCTTGTATGTATATATATGTGAGTGCGTATGTGTGTGTTTATATATGTAGATGAGAATCAGGGAATTATCGCATCACTAGTATAATTTTATTATTTAAATGTACTATCAAGTTGTAACTTTGTATTGAATCCTGAATTAGTGTCTACAGAATGCTGTTATTTCATTGTTATTAGTCCCCTACCGGTTTAACCGGAGGGGACTTTAGGTTTACCCTCCGTCCGTCTGTCCGTCTGTCTGTCTGTCCGTCCGTCCGTCTGTCCGTCAGTCCGTCCGTCCACAAAACTGGATCCCGCGATAACGCAAAAAGTACTGAAAATATTTTTATGAAACTTGATATATGGATAGATGGCAGTATGGAGATTATGCACGTCTTTTTTTTTTCTACCTATGTTGAAAATTCTGGTTGCTATGGCAACAAATAGTCTGAAAATATGGCAAATTTAACACATAAACTGGATCCAGTGATAACTCAAAAAGTACTGAAAATATTTTTATGAAACTTTAAATATGGGTAGATGGCAGTCTGGAGATTATGCACATCTTTTTCTTTTCTTCCTATGTTGAAAATTCTGGTTGCTATGGCAACAAATAGCCTGAATTTCAAGATTTCTGATTTAAATTTTTCAGCTTTTTCACTATATGTTCTTTATTTCTTAAGGTGTTTACTTCAAACTTTAAATATAAGTTTCTGGTCATCAACCACATCATATGTGACAAGGTTTATAACTCTAGCACAAAAAATATCAGTATTACCTCCCTTGAACTTAGATTTTTTAGGGGAAAAAATGTTGTCTTTTTTAAATAACTTCTTTATTTCCTAATGTATCTACTTCAAACTTCATATATATGTTTCTTATTATCACTCGACATTTTTGAGAAGGTTAAATACTCTAGCAAGACTATTTCCAGAATTATGTCCCCCTTGAACTTAGATTTTTTTTGAGAAACTGGTATTTTCACTCCAACTTCTTCATTCCTTATAGGATTTACTTTAAAATCCCACATCGTAATAATATGACAAGGTTGTATAAACATAATTTCCTTACTTAAAGCATGGAAACTTAACACATTACTTTGATATAGACAAACTTATTTTATTATGTTTTGTGGTTGATATTTTCAAATACAGACTTCATCCTCAAATTCATTATAAATGGCAATACACAGGAGTGTATGACAATTAAAGAACTCTTTGAGGGACCGGTAGGGGACTACTGTATTGCCCGCAATACTATCAAATGCTTGTTATATATAATCTTTGAATGTTTTTAGTTTGTATATTCCATCAGATTAGTGATGCCTGTGGGGAAAAAATCAACTTCAAAACATATTTTATTATGACGACTAATAAAGGGCAATACTTTCAGTAAATCTGTACATGTATAGATTTATATGAAGATAATATTTTTTATTATATACCTATAAATTTTCTCCAATCATGAAGCACTATTACTATTCAACAGATAAAAAAATAGGTATTATATTATTGACAAAAAATAGACCATATATTATGATAGTGGCAGACTGTTTTTCTGGGTTGGTTTCCCATCTTAGCTGTGCATTGCATAGTATTTGGAAAAGGGAACCAATATGACTGAGGGTGTGGCCTTTTTTAGCAAAATTGATGTATTAATTCGTCATTTCATGAATATTATTTCTTGGCAGCTATTATATTTGTTATAGAAATTAAGTAAAATGATCCTTTGTTTTGTCTTTAAATTTATAGGTATGTAATAAAAGGAAAGGTTTTAAGCTATGTTGTAGTAGCTTTCTGAGGCAGTACAGTGTATTTTACTACTCATAGCCAGTAGAAATCAGATATCTCACATTTATGTCATTCTGTAATTGAGATTTTTTTACGGAAATTAGACCTACATGCCCTTATAGGGGTAGGTTAACCGGTAGCTTACTAAACTGCCTGAGTTGTAATATTATTCGTCTTCATGGCAAATGCTTGTGTTTATCATTGTAAATTTAAGAAAGCTCATCTAAAAAATCTGGTATAAAGCAGTTTGTTTCGTTTTACAGGGTTGAATGCAGGGGAGATTGGTGGTATAGTGGTCGGCTCCTTGTTTGTTCTTATAATATTCCTCTTTGGAATTATACTGTGTACACGGTAAGTTATAACCAATCATGATATAAGTAACAACCAATCTTGACACATTTAGTAACACCAATCAAGACTAAAAATCAATCATGACATAAGTATCAATCAGTCATGACATAAGTTACAACCAATTATGACATAAGTAACAACCAATCATGACATAAGTATCATTACCAATCATGACATACGTAACACCAATCAAGACTAAAAATCAATCATGACATAAGTACCTGCCATTCATGACATAAGTACCAATCAGTCATGACATAAATAACAACCAATCATGACATAAGTTACAACCAATCATGACATTAATAACAACCAAGCATGAAATAAGTAATAGCCAATCATAACATTGTTAAAATCAATCATGACATAATATCACTTTTATAACAACTTATGACAAAAAGGACCAACAAATTATGACATAATTTACAACCAATTATGACATAAGGACCAACAAATCATGACATTTGTAACAACCAATCATGACATTGTGAAAATCAGTCATGACATAATTAACAATCAGTCATGACATTAATAACAACAAATCATGGCATAAGCTACAACCAATCATGACATTGTAAAATCAAAATGTTTCTTTCATACAGTTATGCTAAACGGTCAAATTTTATAACAGGTGAAAGATTGTCAATGTATGACAAGCCTAATAAGATGGTATGAACTAATGAAAGAAATATTTTGATAATGTAGGAGTATATTTATGATATAGGAGTACATTTATGATACACATATGTAAATAAAGGTGAATAACTCAACATCCAGAAGGAAGGAGTTCATAGATGAATATTTACTTTATACTTACGCAACATGATAGATGTTTGTATTAAGTGACCTTTTTGGCATCTGGAGCGGTCTCTAAATACAAGTTTTACCGTATATATTGTTTACTGCACAGAATAAACATGAAGATTACACAGCCACTTTGCATATATGTTGTGTTAACATGTCAATAAAGTATATGTATGCAATAAGTGACATTGACCTTTACACAAAGGTCAAAGCTAACTAAAGTGGTTCATGCAATTGATGTAGGGTAAAGCACATGTAAAATATATATGCTAAGTATTTGGTTTTGTCTGCACAACTTGTAAGACACTGTAATCATATTAGATTAGTAATACAATGTTAATTACATGTATCTAGCATTGCATGTATTTTAATTTGGAGAAAAGGTGTACTCAAATTTGTATTTATAACTGACTGTTTTATTGAATGGAGACTGCTTTAAGCTCTATAGATAAAGAGCATCTGATTAGTAATCCAGGAGTCACTAGTGCAATTCTCAGATATGGCGTATTTTTTCCATGACAATTTGGATCTTGGATATTATGTCTAAATGGTGAAATCATGTGGGATATGTAGTCAGTCACTTGCAGAGATATTGGTAATAACTGGTTAATTATCCAGAAAACCCACTTTGGTGGATAGACCACAGAGTTATGACCAAATATATGTTAAAATTGATGTTATAACCAGAAAAATTAAACGAACATTTAGATGGAGACATATAATATAATTTAAAAGGTTACTATTAAAGCTGGCTTAACCTAAAAAATCAGCCTGTACAGTATTGGATAGACAAAAAATACATGGAGTTCTTATGATAACTTTTCTGACGAACTCCGTGACTGTTATTTCAAGAACTCCTGACAAGTTATCATAAGAACTCCATCCTTAGTGTTACAGTTCCTCCCCTGTGTTTAAGGCTAAATGCACTATTCAATTATAATCCAGGCCCCTGAGTTAACTGTTTAGGGAAGGTTGGGGGGGGGGGGAATGATTCAAGTTTTTACCAATCATTTGTCCCTACACTACTGGATCAATATTGTGGGGTTTTTTTGGTGCCAAAATAGCAATAAATAATGCTCCTTGCTTTTACTTTTAAACTGTCACTGCAGAATGAGGCTGCAATCAGGGGTTTGATATTCTAAAATTTTATCCTCACTGTCCTACAGTGATGGGGGGCAAAGGATTACAATTGAATGGCACATAACTTTTTCAATATTGTGGATATTTACCTTTGCTAGTTCTACAATCTGTACTGATCACATGTTTCTTTCTGTACGTTCAAAAAATCCACTGTTCACAGACTTTCTCTTTGCATGTCCTTGTAATTTCACAGAAAAAATGCTTTAATATGTTGCAGGCAAGTGTTTAGGACAGTAAAACAGAGATACTTTGCTCCAGTCCCCATAGAAATACCTCACACTTCACTGCCCCCTTTACCTCCAATAGTAAGTGGTATCTCTTGCTTGTTCTATTTATAGTAACAGTTCTATTTATAGTATTGTATTCTATTTATAGCCAAATATTCTATTTATAGTAACATATTTTAATCATGCTTTATGAATATTAAAATATTGTTTGTTGGATAGATTAGATTTATTTTGCACTTTTGTAATAGAAAAATAGAGAAACACTCTAGATAATTGGTATTGTAATACTAAAGAAGTAATTTAAAATATTGTTTTGAAATTGATGTAAATACACTTGTTAAGCAAACAGTACTTGTTTGTCTGTTGAACTATAGAAGGCAGCACTATAAATCTAGACTATTGTTGGTATTATTTTACTGTATTTATTGCAAAGTCATAGAAAATGTATTTATTTTATTTATGAACATAAATTTTTTTTAGCCGATGCCTCCGCGCCAAAACTCCCCAGACTCGGACAGTTCAGATGGAATTTATGAGAAAATTATAGAAGGCCCACCAAGCCCCGGCTCTTCAACAGAATCAACAACTGGTGTAGAAGCTCCTCTTATAAGTAACAAATGGAAGTTCTCATCTTTAAAGGTTGTACTTTATAATTATTTTTTATTTTTTTTTTAAACCTTTTATAACAAAATGAGCAGGGTCATGACAAAACCAACGTAGTGCAGTTGCGACAAGCATGGATCCAGACCAGTCTGCGCATCCGTGCAGTCTGACCAGGATCCATGCTGTTCACTATCAGTTTCTCTACCTGTAATAGGGTTAGTAAGTGAACAGACTGATCAGACTGTGCGGATGCGCAGGCTGGTCTGGATCCATGCTGGTCGCAAAAGCACTATGTTGGTTTTGTTTGACGCGGCTCAAATATATTATATGAAGACTTGACCTGTTTTAGTTTGACAATTTGAAGAATAGGGAGAGCTTATAATGTACTTGCCAAGGTGGCGCAACACATGTTGGTTAAATGTTTGAATGCAAGTTGGCCAAAGGGAATGGGTTGAAACTTCAAACACTTATTTGAGAGCATGATAGGAGATAACCGAGTGGTTGACTTTAAACCACTTTCCTCTTACCTCTATGAATAAGCTATCCAGCTTGCTAATTAAATGTTGGTGGTTCTACTCGGGTGCTTGTTTGTGACAGAATTAATACACAAAGGGGCACCAGAGGTCTTTCTTGATCAATAAAGCTGGAAAGTTGCCATATGGCCTATACTGTGTTTGTGCTAAACATAAATGTTGCAGTCTAAGAGAGCTCCATACTGTTGGTAGCTCATTTATTGTATTATGATACTGAAATCTGTAATCTTGACAGTTCTAACTTCAGCAGTTTTAGGTTATATTTTTTCGAACACATTTTCAGCGTTAAGTTAATTTGAGCCGCGTCACGACAAAACCAACATAGTGGGTTTGCGACCAGCATGGATCCAGACCAGTCTGCGCATCCGTGCAGTCTGATCAGGATCCATGCTGTTCGCTTACCAACTCTATTACAAGTGGAGAAACTTACAGGGAACAGCATGGATCGTGATCAGACTGTAGGGATGCGCAGACTGGTCTGTCTCCATGCTGGTCGCAAATGCACTATGTTGGTTTTGTCATGACACGGCTCAATTATTTTATTAAATAGGGTTTATTAGAAAATTGAAAACTTGTATCATCTTCATATTCTTTACTATAATGCTTTTATTTCCAGCAACATATATATGGTCATAGTAAGAAGGACCGAGGTCGACACAGTAGTGACAGTGGGCGGGGCAGTTTAAGCCAGTCAGCTGATACTTTATTGATGAGACTACACCCATCACACCTTAAAAAATATAAGAAAAATAAGAAATCCAACAAGTCAGAGAGTGATTCTGGAGTCATAGTTGATGGGAGGGGCCAAGTCTGCACATACTCTAATAGTAACCAATCAGAGAAGAGCAGGGGTAGGGACAATTGTAGTATAAATACTTATAACTTTAATTGTGCGAACGGGAAACTGAGCTGTGGGGAAGTGAGTCCGTACAGTTGTGTTGATATTGTTGATAAAGTAGATAGTAAATCAGAACAATTGGGTAGAAAATTGTCTTCATGTGATAAATCAGATATATCAAAGTGTAAAGGGAGTACTTTATCCTTGCCACCAGGGTTGTGTAAAATGTCTACATTCATGTCTAAGCCATTAGACTTTAGAGCTCAAAGTGCTGGAAATGACTTAGATTATGATCATCGAAGACTAAGCTCAATGAAAGAAACGAGGGAATTTGAATCGAGTGACATGAATTCTGAAGCTGGTACTCTCGACAGTGTGGACGATATAGAGCATGAAACCACTGACTCCTGCAGTAGCCGGGAACCAGACAGTTCTATTTATAGATCAGATGGGAACCATGCTCCAGGAATGAATTCGTACCTGAAATTTGTTGACAGTAAGAAGATGGAGTCAGTAGAAGATGTTACCGAGATACAGTGTACTTGTGATTGCCACAAAAACAATGGGGTACAAATGATGGTCGGAGATGGGTATGTCACTGAGGCGGCCATGATTTCTCATTCGGAAGACACTTGTGAATGTGTACAGAGGAAGAAAAATCACATTCAGGTACAGGGAGAAGACAATGTGCCAAAAGTGTCGAGTTTAACAGATATAGGAAAGAATGGGTTACGACCAAGTAGTCAGGTTTACAACCTTCCGCCTCATTTCTACGGTTCCATGGGAACTGTTATAGACCCTTCAAGAACAACTGAACTTTAAGATATTCAAATTGTCATACAAAAACAAACCCCCAAAAAACCCATGGTATTATTTTTTTGTGAGCTGGCTTTAAATAAATTCACAAGTATTGTTTGTGATATCATAATTAGTTTGATTATTATTTGATGCTTGTGGATTTTTTGCGCTACAAAAAAATTTTTAATTTTGTTGTGCATTTTATTGTTTTGTCATTTATGTATCTGTAATTACATAACAAGGCTTTTTGTGTTGATTGCATAATTGCATGAATTTGCAAAATTCTGTAATTGCATAATATGGAAAAAAAGATATGAAATAATCATGTATAACAAGATAAGTTAAAAATGTACAAACATTTTTTTTGCGTGTGTGTGCGTGAGTTTTTTATTATTTTTCTTTATTATCATTATTTTAAATGAGATTCATTAATGAAATATGAAGGACTTCTTTTGTTTCTCAAGTCAGATAATATTTCTAGAAGGATAGTTCAAGAGAAATGATTAATGCTGGAAATGTTTTATTATGTTATTTATAGATCTGAATGGGCTTAATGTAACAATCAATTTTTTGTGGAATTTGCATTTTTTTTAACAATATAATTTCTACATCATGATGATAAAGTTAGAAACTGTACAAATAATGTGAGTAGAGGACTAAAAACTCGTCAGTTGTATTTTTTGTTGAAATGACGGAAAGTCGGCCAGTGGAACGAATACAGCTCTGATCCTTACTGTAGTCAGAGTTTGGGCTTTGCCATCAGTATGGAGCCAGGCTAGCCTGCCAAACCAAGTCCACCTTTCACTAACCTTCTCAAAAGTCAAAATCTCGGCTCAAATCTGAGATTTTTTTCAACCTCCGAAACTGAGATTGAGATTTTTTTTCTAAGGTGAGCAAGAATCTCAGTCACTATTGAGACAATCTTAGGTTGAGATTTGTCTCAGTTTTGAGAATGTTAGTAAAAACCGGGCCTGGTCATATACTGTTACAATACAGTTGATGGTCTTTAAATTTAAATTTTCATCACGATATTTAATTAGCAAAATTGGGAATTACAAAATTTTTTGTGAATTTCAAAATTTTAAGTTGGTATTAGCCATTAGTCAGATTGTATGGACGTGCAGGCTTCCTCACACAGTGCCCTATACCTAACTTAAACATACTACAAACATACGTTGTATTTATTTTACACACAAGTTTATTGTTTCAATAATTTGAATGAAAACTAAAATTTATATATATTCATGTTCTAGAATAAGATTTAATGGCATTTTTGTGAACTGCAGACGCCTTGCAAGGGATCACAGCGGTGAAAGTGTTCATATGGCATTTGTAGGTTATTGAATGTAATCAATTTATAGAGATTTTGTGCATAACTTTTTGAAAATTTTCCTTCGAATAAAGTGCAGGTATAATTTCTTTCCATTAGGTTTTTTCCTACATGGAAGTACCATTTTAAATGATCTCAGATTTTTTTCTCCTAATTTTGGGACCAAAAATATATGGGGACGGTAACTTTTGGTCCCAGCTTTCCTAAAATGATGGATTTAATTGTTAGTTTAAAACTTAATCATGTAGTTGAATGAAATTCTTCATTTATGTAGATCTATATCTTTAATTTAACATACTGATTTTGATCTTGAAACTGACCTTGACCTTGAAGGTCAACTCACATATATCACGTTGAACCTGAAAAAGACCTTGACATTCAAGGTCAAACTTTCAAAATTCATGAACTTTAATAATATACAATATGTATACTTGGGCATTAGTGTTAAAAGATTATGTACTGGTGTAAAACTGGGTTGTAATGTCATACTTTAAGACAATCATATGTTTATGGTGTCCCTGTGCCATGTTTGGTGATTACTGTACATGTATAGAAATTTCTTGTCAAAAATATTTGCAGGGAGAGATGATTGTTCAAATATCTTTTTATTTTTTGCATGAAAGTGAGGTGGTTGTCAATTTTTTGGGGTTTTTTTTAGGGTTTTTTTTTTTTTTGCTTGAAAATGTGCCAGAATAGAATTTACATTTTAAAATAGTTCAACATACTACAATCAAATTTGTTTACAAACTGTACTTTTTTTTGGTTTGATTATAAAATGAAGTTGGGTTTAGACTGCCATGAACTATGTTCTACATTCCAGCGAATCATGTTGTAACTAGAGTACATAAAAATACTCCTTATTCTCAATTCCAAACAGTCACTTCACTACATACCTAAACAATTTTTATAGATATTTAGCCAAAGAAACCAAGACCTTTGAATTGTTTTTTATTTAAGAAATAGTATAAGTTTCATGTTGTTTATTGGCTATTTAACACCACTTTGGAGTTTTGACGAATAGGAATTGACCATGAAGGCCATAGGCCTGCGATGATTGATCTTTCTGTATTTTATTATAACCCCACTTTTAAGGGGGGAATATTCCCCCCACTTCTATGGGGGAATAATCCCCCTCTTCTTAGGGGGATTGGGGGATACAGATTTGTCCTTGTTAGTCATGCTGATGATCTGCTGTTGACAGACAAAACACTGAAATATGAGAGCAACTGAGTCCTATGAACACCTTTTCAGTTCACGGCTGTTTCCAACAGTTTGATTTTTTTTCTCCATTTCTTCAATTGTATAAAAACATTCCATGTTATCTTTGTTTTGTTTTTTTTAATTTATTCCAAATTGTACATTCCATTATGAAATTTTGTACATTTATGAAATTGCCATTTTGTTTCTCATATTATTGTAAGAGATTATTTTTTCAAACCATTGGAAGAGTGTTCTCTTATGATAAATAAATACTAGTGTGTTTAATTGTATAGTGCTATCTACTGACGATTATAGTATAAACTCATTTTAATTATGTAATTACACCAAGGAAACAATGCTGTTATAACCCTTCACCCTGCTAGGTCTAGAAATGTTTCAGATGTATAATTCACCAGTTTATTCTATTATAAGCAATTTAAACAGGCCCCTGTGATCATTAGCATTTAAGAATCAAGATCAGAATGAAATTTAAAAAGTCAAATTATTATATTCTCCATTGTTTATCCTCATAAATTGAATATGTAATGTTAACTTGATAAAATTTGATAATGGACAGTTTCAAAAATGGAAGTTTTACAAGTCCAGTTTTAAAAAAAAAAGATGAAGCAGATCAAGGGTTAAAACCTCATGGAATGGCGGTCTGGCCAAATTGTTAATGCGTCAGACTAGTTATCTAAGGATTGCTGGCCACATTGGTTCGGACCCAGTCTGGGGAAAGCCATTGTTTCCTTGAGCAAAATACTTTACACTCATTGCTTCATACTCACTACTGGTTGGTTCCAGGAACAGATTCGAGAGTGTTTCAGTAAGCTTACAGCTTTCAACACAATCGAACTTAAATAAATTTGTATGAACTAATGAGGGATAAAGTTGATATGTGTATACATAATGCTATATGAAATGTAGAATAGCAGTATAAGTAAAAGTATAAGTAAATATTTGGTTTTACCTGGATCAGCATTATTACAATCAATAAAGCTTGGTTGTGAACTTTTCTCATCAAAATTTGTACATATGTTTATGTAATTATTTGTATATAGATATTGTGATATACTTCCTGCATGTTGCTCTAGGCTCATTCAATGTTGCCTCATCCTGTTTCACACTTTTATTAATGAGTGCATAATAGTATCACACTGATGTAACTGTTACTGCGCTCGTAAATTGTTATCACACTGTGGTAACTGTTACTGCACTTGTAAATTGATATCACACTGAGGTAACTGTTACTGCGCTTGTAAACTGTTATCACACTGAGGTAACTGTTACTGCGCTCGTAAATTGTTATCACACTGAGGTAACTGTTACTGCGCTCGTAAATTGTTATCACACTGTGGTAACTGTTACTGCGCTTGTAAATTGTTATCACACTGTGGTAACTGTTACTGTGCTTGTAAATTGTAAACACACTGAGGTAACTGTTACTGCGCTTGTTAATTGTTATCACACTGAGGTAACTCTTACTGCGCTTGTAAATTGTTATCACACTGTGGTAACTGTTACTGTGCTTGTAAATTGTAAACACACTGAGGTAGCTGTTACTGTGCTTGTAAATTGTTATCACACTGTGGTAATTGTTACTGCGCTTGTTAATTGTAAACACACTGAGGTAACTGTTACTGCGCTTGTTAATTGTAAACACACTGAGGTAACTTTTACTGCGCTTGTAAATTGTTAACACACTGTGGTAACTGTTACTGTGCTTGTTAATTGTAAACACACTGAGGTAGCTGTTACTGTGCTTGTAAATTGTAAACACACTGAGGTAACTTTTACTGCGCTTGTAAATTGTTATCACACTGAGGTAACTGTTACTGTGCTTGTAAATTGTTATCACACTGAGGTAACTGTTACTGTGCTTGTAAATTGTTATCACACTGTGGTAATTGTTACTGCGCTTGTTAATTGTAAACACACTGAGGTAACTGTTACTGCGCTTGTTAATTGTAAACACACTGAGGTAACTTTTACTGCGCTTGTAAATTGTTATCACACTGTGGTAACTGTTACTGTGCTTGTTAATTGTAAACACACTGAGGTAGCTGTTACTGTGCTTGTAAATTGTTATCACACTGTGGTAATTGTTACTGCGCTTGTTAATTGTAAACACACTGAGGTAACTGTTACTGCGCTTGTTAATTGTAAACACACTGAGGTAACTTTTACTGCGCTTGTAAATTGTTAACACACTGAGGTAACTTTTACTGTGCTTGTAAATTGTTATCACACTGAGGTAACTTTTACTGCGCTTGTAAATTGTTATCACACTGAGGTAACTGTTACTGTGCTTGTAAATTGTTATCACACTGTGGTAATTGTTACTGCGCTTGTTAATTGTAAACACACTGAGGTAACTGTTACAGATTATAGGTGTTATTCACAGAGCACAGAAAATGCAATCTTCCTATTACTTAAATTGATTTAAAATTGTGATAAAGTTAATGTCTTGAATACTATCTATAATCTTTAAAAGACTAGGAATCTATAATTTTGAAAATTCATTTGGTTTTATGCTCAAAATAGATGTGAACAGCTTACACTGTATAGCTGTCATGTTTCTGTATATTATCATAGCATAGTCCTAAGTACATATATATTTCTGAATACCCCTCATATGTCTGTTATTTAAAATATATAAAAAAAAATCTAATTTGCATTTCCTAGAAAAGATTGTCTCAAAGATTTTGTGTTAATCTTGCCATTCCTGTTTGAAACTCTTTTAGTTATGAAAATAAAGTTATATCTAAAAAGAATTCTCTAAAGTAAGCACAATAGAAAATATGAACTAAAAAAAGTGTAGGCTTACAGTTAAACCTCTGCACAATACCCTTGTTGAGACAATGATTTAGGATATTAAAGAGAGGTAGTTGGAGGGTTCCTCGGCAGAGGTGTTACTGTATCCTGATGTAATGAAAACTGCACAATTAAATGATTACGTAAAATGTTTTAATTTTTCTTTTTCTTATTTTCACTTTAAAAGTATCTGAGGAGGTCCTTCAAGGTTGTATGTTTTTGACTACCGGATGCTTTGATTGTGTGTTTAACTTGTATATTGCTGGGGATGTATGCATCTTTTTTTCTCTTGTTTGTTATTTTAGTGCTTGAATTCTAAAGCAAAGTGCTTGAAACAAATTGTCATTTTGTACTAAAGAAAAATTGACTTTACTTTTTTTTTAAAGTCTTTATTTTCGTAGAATTAGTTGCAATATTTTTGTAAGGGCATGAAAAACCTCCTTTTTTTGCATTTTAAGATTACCTCAAATAATAATTGTGTGAGATGATAAGATTTGTCAATTTTTTTAATTTTATGAAACAAATATGAGCTGCGCTATGACAAAACCAACATAGTGCGTTTGCAACCAGCATGGATCCAGACCAGCCTGCGGATACAAACCCTATAACAAGTAGAGAAATTGATAGCGAACAGCATGGATCCTGACCAGTAAGACTGCGCAGGAGCGCAGGCTGGTCTGGATCTATGCTGGTCGCAAACGCATGTTGGTTTTGTCATGGCGCGGCTCATATGATGTGTAGATTTAATTTGACTTTTTGAAAGCTTTTCTTTATTTTTTTAATGACAAATACACTCATCAACTACTTTTTTTGTTAAAGTGTAATAAAGTTAAAAACCTTTTTCATAAATTTTAATAAAATAAAAAACCTTTTTAATAAATGTAGATCGTTGTAATGGGTACGAAAATCAAAAATCACAAATTTTGATATTTTTACTACTTCAGATTCACAAGAACTGTATACATGTAATAGCAAAACTTGTATATTATGTAAAAAAAACATAATATATATGCTTAATTATTTAAAAGTTTTTATACTCGGTCGTTTGAAATTTTTTTCCTATGCTGGAACTGATGAAAGTGGTCAGCCTCTAAGGGCCAGTATAAAACCAAAAGAGAAAATAAGAATCCCTAAAGAACATCTAAAACAGCAAATGTTGCGGGCTTGGTGCTGTCAGACCTGGCTCTTTACTGTCGGCTGACTTTTTATTACTGTCGGCTGACCTTTTATTACTGTCGGCTAAAAATTCTCTGTAACCAATTTAAAGTCAGACACAAAGGCTTATCACTTTCGAATCTAGCAGGTTTAAGTGTACTGTGTTAAAGCAGGGCAGGTCTGCTATACAAATGCAAGTGCTATAACGGTTGTTTGAAAGTTTACTTTTTTCACCAAATTATTTTTTTTTTTTTTTTCGGGATAAATGTTATGTAAAGAGTGTAATGCATTATGGTATGCGTATACAGGTGTGTATGAACCAGACATGGTGTACTTCCGGTGGATACGGGGCATTTTTTCAGTTTGTTTATTTATTGTTTCTTTTATTCTCCTTATTTGATTTCCGACATGTATTTTAGTCAGGTAAATGATGTTTATTATATTTGGAGTATGTTTTTTTGAACTTTGGGCATTATCTTAAGAAAAGATGTATTCTTATTATATAAAACATATATCTACAATCGCATTGTCATAATACTTATGTTTTCTTTCTGTCATTTTGTTTTTATATTGACTCCTTGTTTTGCGTTATATTTCATATGTTCATATATATGTGATTCTATGAATAATGTATGATCATTGATTCCATGCTAGAACAAACAGACATATTCAGTTTTTCGTTCATAAAATTACACAAGAACGCAGCTATCATTGTCTGGTCAAATAGGTGTTTTGTGGAGCATGACAAATGTGGGTTTTTCAAGGCTAATTATAGCTTCACAATGGTTCACAATAAACTAGTTATTTACAAAGTTGTAATGGTAAAAGTTTTTCTGTATCCCCCCGGATCCCCTTGGAAAACATAAATATTCTAAAATCTGATTGAGGGGGAGAGGGGTTATCTATTGGTCTCTTATCATTTTGTGTTTCACTCATGTCACGGCTCTTTATAAAATCAGGTTTTAACTTCATTATTTTCAGAATTGTAATTACATTAAACACTTGGATATTTTATGCACTTGAGTTGTCATATGTTTCCCTTGCAGTTATTTATGATTTGTTTGGACACCTGATCTCAGTGTAATATTCTGCTATAAGGCATGGTTAGGTTCAGAAGCAAAGCTTGCCTAACGGATTTCTTTTTTATTTTCATGAAGTTAGTGCAGCTTAGCTATGGCCTATTTTTTTCTTCATTTTTTCGTAAAGTTTGATTATAATTCTAAGGTAGTGCATGCATGTTTGAAAAAAAGTGTTAAATATCTAATCGGAAAATACATGTATCACATTAATATGCCACCGTTAAGATTGTGACAGTTTTTGTTTTACATTGCAAATTTTCATAATATTTATGCTTTACATTAAAGTTTGTCAAATTAAATACATGTGAAATTGTCACATTCTGAACTTGAATCGTAACATACGACAATATTATCATGGAATGTGTCGCATCATGTCACACTAGAATTTGTCGTACTAGTATGTGTTACATTAATAAATTATCACACTACAAATTATCACGTTTGTCTAAAATTGTTATGATAAGCTACATTAGAAATCATCACTCGCAAAGTCATCTCACCAGCAAATCGTGACATGTCATAAAATAAATATCACATACTATCCTCTCATGTGTGTCACAAGAATAACCTTATCTTCCCTTGTATACAGTACCATCCCGATGTGATCTAACACCCTGTAGGAACGATTATTTAAAATCCTTAACCTGCTGGAATCTAAAGTAATCGGCGTTTGCCGCCAGTATAGAGCCAGGCCAGACTGAACATCCATGACGTCTGGCCAAGCCCTTTACTGTTGCCTGTCCTACTTCATATTTTCATCTTGATATCCCTCATATTGATAATGGAGAGGTCTTAAAATAGAAGCTGGACAAGTTCATTTAAGAAATTAAGCAGGTTAAAGGCGATCTTTTTTTTCTTTCAAATATTGTATTTGTATAACTTATTTCAATTGTTCATTGCAATAGTGCTGTTTGTGAGACTCTATAGTTTGAGGTATTTGCTCTTTCTAAATCTGAGAATTGCTCTATTGATCATGGTTCCAGATACATTTTTTGTATTTTTACATGTATGTGAAGGATATACATGTTTCTCTTCAATATTCTTATTGCTCAATATTTTCTTAATGTCTTGCTATTACACATTATTTAAACTTAACATATGTCTCTCATTTCAAGTCATTACTCATTATTACACATTACTTATAATTACACATGACTCATAATTACACATTATATTTTACATCGCTCATATTTACTCATTTCTCACTATTACACATTGCTCATTATTACACATGGATCATTATTACATATGAATCATTATTACATATTATCATAACATATTTTGTGTACAATGTATTTATCTTGAATCAAATGATGGAGTTTTTTTTATAGTATCTTCTGTAGTAAAATGTTCTTCAGTTAAACTGAAATAATTGTGGTAATAATTATTTTCCAATATTTGTGCATTTGTGTTTTCATACTGACATGTTTATTAAATGAGAATAAAACTGTTGTTAACATTTAATTGTCTTGTTATTTATGCTGACCACAGGCTGTCCAGGGTCCCAAATATTAAATTTAAAAAAAAATCCAATTTTTTAAGTTTGTTTTAAATTCCTAAACAAAATAGAAAATTTTAAGGGAATTTCTGAAAATGCCCTAATTATATAACTTAAATTCCTATTTCTTTTTTTTTTATCTTCTGTTATAAACATACCTATAACTTTGAAAATAGTTTCATTCTAGTTAACACTATTCTGGTAAAGTTTTAATGTAGTTTTTCAGCTCTTCCTATTCAGAAGGGGCAGTTAAAGGCAGTTGACCAGTGAATCCATTTATTATGCCCCCCTTCAAAAAAGAGTGGGTATTGTTTTGCTAATGTTCCTCTGTAGACCACCAAGGTTTCTGCCGATTATCTTAAAAACTTTTTATCACAGTCATATTTCACATACTGATTGGTTATAACTAGTAGGGGACCCCTTTTGATTTTGGGGTCACTACATCAAAGATCAAGGTCACAGAGGCCTTTAATGTCAGAATAGTTTCCACTCATTATCTTAAAAACTATTTTTTGCAAAGTCTTCATATTTCACATACTAATTGGTCATAAATAGAAGATGACCCCTATATTGATTTTAGGATCACTAGGTCAAAGGTCAAGGTCACATGGGCCTTAAATGTCAGAATGGTTTCCACTCATTATCTTGAAAACTATTTATCGCACAGTCTCAATATTTCAAATACTGATTGGTCATAACTAGTACATGACCCTATTGATTTTGGAGTCACTAGGGCAAAGGTCAATGTCACAAAAGCCTTAAATGTCAGAATGGTTTATGCTCATTTTTTTTTAATTTACGTCTTTATACTTCACATACTGATTGTTCATAACTAGAAGTTGACCCAATTTGATTTTTGCGTCACTAGGTCATCAAAGGTCAGTTTCACCAGGGCCTTATAATTATGTCGGAATGGTATTTGTTCCGTATCTTAAAAACTATCGCAAAGTCTTAATATTTCACATACTGATTGGTCATAACTATAGTAGATAACCCCTATTGATTTTGAGGTCAAGGTCATAGGGGTCTTAAATCTCATTATTTTGAAAACTATTTATTGCAGTCGTCATATTTCACATATTGATTGGACATATGTAGTTAATGACCCGTATGTATTTTTGGGTCACTAGGCCAAACGTCACAGGGGGCTAAAATGTCAGAATAGTTTCCGCTCATTATCTTGAAAACTTGGGCCTTAAATGTAAGAATGGTATTCGCTCCTTATCTTGAAAACTATTTATCCAAAGTCTTCATATTTCACATACTGCATGGTTGGTCATAACTAGTTGATGACCACTATTGATGTTGGGGTCACAAAGGTCGCCCATTACAATGTATCTTGAAAACTATTTATCACTACGTCTTTATATTTCACATATTGATTGGTTGTAACTAGTAGATGGCCACAAACAATTTTGGATTCTTTAGGTCAAGGTCACAGGAACCTTAAATGTAAGAATGGTTTCCACTCATAATCTTCAAAACTACTTGATATCAAGTCTTTGTGTTTCACATTTTGATTGATCATCACTAGTAGATGACCCCTATTGATATTGAGGTCAAGGTCACAAATAACGTTGAATGTTAAAATGGTTTCCGCTTATTCTTGTTACGCCAATTAGTTACCAAGTTTTCATATTTCACATATTGATTGGTTATAACTAAACACTTCTATGTTTATGGCATGTTTCTATAATAAAATTACCAATAGTATGAGTCAAGGTCTTGAAATGGGGGCATATGTGTCGTTCGACATTTCTTGTTCAGGTTGTTTTTGGTTGTGACTGATTAATAGAGATGTAATATCTTAAGGATGCAGCCAACCTGATTACTATGGAACACTGGTAGACATTTTTGCTATAATTAAACTGTAATGCATTAGTTGTTTCTTTCGTGTCAAATTTGCAGAGGTAAGCCCATATCACGGTTTTTGGGACATAGTTTTGTTATAAAATTCCAAATTTTAGCCCTAAAATCTCTTTTAAGTACCCTCAAATTCCTTATTTTAGCCCTTAAATTTCTTAGATTTGCCCTAATTGTCACCAGAAGGTGCTGGACAGTCCTGGACAAAACTGGCCTGGTAAGGCAGTTTTTTTTTTGCAGCGTTCATTCGTTTTTTTTTTTCATTCCATCTTTGTGTAGAAAGAGTTTTGGTCAATAGATGCGGAAAAATTTGACCAAATTTTTAATCGAAAGACTCATTGATCTGAGTTAATGGACTGATTTAAGTTGCTGATGGGACTTAAAATCGCAAGTCCTCCAATGTTGCTGTATATGTTTATGACCACAAAATAGTATCTATGTCTGAAATGCTTTATTGAGACCTGCGACGTAATCTTATGTCCCAATGTGACTTGATGGTAAAAGGCACTATTTTTATTTATGTGAAGATTTTAAAAAAAAACAAAAAAAAAAAACAAGTTAAATAGTTGATATTCGATCGTGTTCAAAACTTAAAATATTTTTTTATAGATATTTGGTAGAAATATAATATTGTAGGTCATTTTTTTTTAAATTTTCATCATTAAAAAACATCATAATTGCTGTATACAGTCAGTATTTATACATGTACAAATTTATTTACGAGGCGAGTGGCCCTACAAAGTAGACAGGGATGACGGGGAAAGCTCACGTACCCTAGCACAGATGGAGAGTTACGGCTTGAAAAACAGTCCTTTGATGGGCTATTGCCCCAGGATACTGTACATTTAGGTTCTCACTCGTCGTTATAAAGTGACATACTTTCGGCCCAAAATTAACATTTTTGGATATCCATGGCATGAAGGTAAATCATTACCACTTTGTGCTTCTCTAACCCTTTAAGGGCAAGACTGGTGATATCACGACACCAAAAGCTGTTTTTGTGCCTAAACGGCCGGATAGACCCACATACCACATAAACATAGAATACATACATTCCAAGGCATCAGCAAAAAATTGGAAGAACCCGGGAGTCCCCCGTACGATGTAAAAGAGAACCGAAAATTGTATCCTGCGGAACAGCAGCCGGTGTCCTGATTAAAGCCAGGAGGAGAGAGCAGAATCGACCAGGGGGGATGTCCGATAAAGAGGAATCGATAGGACACAGTCGATAATTTGAGAACGGAGAGAGAAACATTTCAATCATGACCGAGAACAAGTGGGTGGTCATTCACCCTCTGTGGTTAGGTAGACACTCGGATGGTTTCCGAAGGGTGCTCGCCCGGTAACCCGGTGAAAACCCTTGATATCTTTTTTCTGGACACCGATCGATATTCTTAAGGTAGTCGGCAGACTAACCGTGCGATAAATATTCAACTTCTGTAATACGGTCGGGTTGCAACCATCGTACGGTGACTTTAAAGTATACTGGTAAAATATATATTCGGTTGGGTGTCGGACGATACCGGTATTCGTATGGCTTGCTATCCCATTTCCGGTCGTTATTCACACCCCTCTTTTCCTGGTATTTTGCTTCCCTTCCTCCTCTCTGACTTCTCCTCCACACCTACTTTGATTGCTGTTTTAGAAGGTATACACACAGAATTTCGAATGAGAGAATGTGTGTGTGTGCGTGCGTGCGTGTGTGTGCCTGCGTGCGTGCTAGTGTGTGTCTAATTGAGTTTCTTTATACTCGCCATTGCTTCCTCGTACAGGCTAGTTCTCCAGAAGACTATTGGTCGTTTTATATTTTAGAATACAGCGCAAGATACAGATACAGAAACAGCAAGAAGCCCCAATTTCAGAGAAAAAAACACCAAAAAAAAACAGGACACCAAACAAAAAACAGGACAGTGCACAAGACAAAACTAAATAAGTTTCGTTTGCTTGTTTACCTATCCAAGTGTTTAAGCACTCATACACGGGACTTCGATTTAAGGTATCCCTAGTAACTTCAGATATGTCAGCCCGGGAATCTAACCCACAATGTCCAGATTACAAGTCTAGCGATTCAACCGATTTAGCTCTGTAGATTGGCTAATGAGAGAATGACAGTGGTATTTATGATTTACCATCAGGATTAAAGCAGTAAGCCAACTTAAATATACACATATATGAGGACAGTTCCGTTACAATATCGTTTCTCTGGACAGTCTGTCAAGCAGTTAAACAGTAATAATATGCTTTTCTTTCGCAAGGAACTGATAATTTCTGTATAACGAAAGTGACCTTTACCAGGAACTTTAAAACCATACGTGCAACGTATTGTGTCCATCCGGGTTATGGTCGGTAACCTGACAAGTCACCGTTGGAGCCCTCTCGGTTACTGCTCGGAAACTGGAGGATTATTTCGCGCTAAGGAGGTGAAAATTTTCATCGACATGCAACCGATATCAAAAGGTGTCCAGCCAGGTATCGGAGGGTATTTCACCGTGTTTGCTACAGTGAGCTAGCGATGTACCGGATGCCGCAAGAAAATAACTCCGTACGGTGCCCCAACGTTGACTTGACACCGGCCGGAGGGTCACCGGCCGGAGACTGTTAAAATTTGGCATTTTCAACCCGTTCAAACACCGGTACCCCGATCGTAAACCAGATCGGAGTGTTATGTGACGCAGGCTTAAGCTTAAGGCTGAAGTGGGGCGACGAGGAATGGAACAAGAGCATTAAACCCTAGCACGAAAGTGATGGCTTGAAAGGCATGCCTTTTGCATGGCACCAACATCCCTTTTTAGGGCTGCCTCCCTTTCAGTTTGCCCTAGATTACTGAACATTTAGGTTCTCATGCACCGTACGGTGACCTTCTATTTGGCCGAAAATTTCTATAATTAACTTATACTCCGTGGAAATTGCATGGCTACATTGTGCTTCAAAATCATGACTGGTGTCATGTCCGGGGTTCATAAAGATGCTTTTTGTGCCTAAATAATTGGGGGTTTGACCCTTATTTAACTTAGACTTCATACACACATACGTACCCTAAATATATATCCGTATCTATTTAGTTTTATTGTGACAAGAGCGTTGTTTCTTGACATGTATCAAAATAAAACTCAAATTACACCGATGATGGACCATTATGGATTTAAAACTGTTCACAAGGTCAAATGAAGAACAACAAACTTGTTAACATTCCAAATGTTATTTATAAAGCATTTTCCTCATTTTCCATATAATTCTTTTATTCTTTTTTTTTCTTACCAAAGAAAATATACACAGAAGTGACTGTTCAACATATTTTAACCATGCTTCAAGTTAGTCCTTCTTATGTCAGGTTACAATATAGGTAATTTGGATCAAAAACTATGTTATGTGATAATTAAGGAAACCTTGGTCGATTTCATCGAATTTATATGTCCCATTTATACTTTTTACAAGATTAAATTTTAGTCATTTTGAGTCAAAATAAGGTCTATGCAAACCATGCCATCCATCTGAAAAAGTAACTGTTTTGTTTGGATTTTGTCATTATTTTGTAAGAATGTATTCACAGTATAGAAACAAGTCTACTTCCTGTTATCGCAAGAAAGGTTCAAGTTGAAACTCGTATATGCTACACGTTCTTATAATCGCAAGACGGTACACATTTAATTGTAAAAGATCGCAAGACAAGGTGCAGTTTAAATACACTTGAGAAATAAGACTCGATAGGGGTGTTTGTATGTTTATTTATTTATTTATTTTTATCAGTTTCATAACGAAAGTACCATTCTTTATAATAATTCCCACTAAGTTATTTTTAGATTTAAATAAAAATTCTCAAAAATTACACTTGACAGTCAATATTAAGTAGATTAACATAGAAAAAAAATCCTGGATTGCCGTACATGGATCATTAGGCTTATCTTATATTACTTAGATAAAAGTTAAATACATGTACTTAAATGCATTTTAGGTAATCGTTAAACCTGTGAAGGGGCGGTACTTGTTGCAGGTTAAAGTTCAGTAAGTCACACATTGTTCTCAACGTTAAAATAAGGATGGGTTGTTGTGCTTACCTTATAAAAACTTATAAAAATGTACATGAATCGGGAAAAGGAGGACATATCATTTTTGTGTATAAATTTTAAGAAATACATGTATATCAATATCTAGGACATATAGAATCTAGTTCTAATTATAGTACCATTGATATTACTACGAGTAATTGTTATCAAATTTAAAAGGTAATTCGTTTTCTAAACAATTCTTCTTTTTATTCTCGACTTTTAAAATCATGACTTCAGTTTTTGTACACTTAAATGTTTTCAGAGAAAACACTTACATGAGCACACTTTTTTACGGTGATACAAAGAAGCAACGACTTTTATTTGGAATGAAGTGTATCATTGTTGTTTTTATAAAGTTCAGGGTCTATAATTCCTGTATATACTTATATTATTCATGGATTTCTTTTTTCAGGTGTCTTGGGAGGACAAACTTACAATGTCTATGTCAGATGTAAAAGGTAGGATTAGGGACTCCAAGACTCTCCAACTGAGTGAGGAGGAGCTGTCAAAGGTTAATAATATTATGACCTTAATGACGTCACATGTATTGCGTAATTTACATACCAAACGAACTGATGACCGAGATAGAAAAGTCGAATTGCCCATTCCAAGAAATCAATGGATACGGATGCTCCTGCTTAACTTATTTGATGCTTGTGCAATGAGCTTTCGAGTTTCAGATTTATTGAAAAATCATGAAGGTTTGGACTTAATGACAGCAGACCAACCCTGTGTTGGCTTTTATACAGGAAGTATGGCGGAGGGTGTCGGGTGTGCTACTTTGGGAGACTTTTCCGATACGGACCGGATGGATGTCTTAAAAGAATACAAAGCAGAATACCAAAGAAAGAACGGAAATGACAACAACGAGACGGAATCTAAAAAAACGTCTGAGCAACAGCAAGACCATTTGCCTAGAAGTAGTTCAGACGATAAATCGACCGTTGTGATAAATTTATCACAAGGATCATATCCAGGTTACACAAAATTGATAAAGAGTGAAGCAACAAGCGACTTATTGAAAATCACATCAGCACTGAATTATGGTCCAGTTATTCGCAGCTCTAAACAGGAGCAACTTCTTGCACATGAATTTGAATACGATCACGCCATTGCTGTACAGTGTGAAAGTTGGCCAACTGAGTCCCTCCAATGGGTAACTAGATTTCGTCCATCCGGTTGGCCCAGTGTTAAGCTTGTGGAGGAATGCTCATTTATACCATGTTACATTGTCGCCAAATCTCATGCAGCAAATGCAGATGATACACATGAATGGCGGTTTTCTTTTGCACGACAAGAGGGTATTCTATTTAGAAGTATTCCACTAAATGTCAAAATGGTATACATCCTATCTAAGTTGCTTGTAAAGGGTCTTCATATCAAAGAAAACTTGCTCTCAACATATCAACTGAAAACGATGTTTCTCTGGCATTGCGAGCTGAAATCTGAAGAAGAATTTAAGTCCAAAGAGTTGGAGATCAACCTTGAGGAGTTTCTTGTATTCGTAGCGCAAAGTTTTGAAGAACACAAGATACAAAATTATTTCATACCAACGAATAATATGATTGGTCATATTGCATCAGATATGGTCAAAGATGTGAAACAAAAAGTCGAATCTATTTTGCCAAGCTTTATGACCCTTTGTTCTTCATTAGAAATGGCAAAAACTTATCCATTTTCTGTCCAATGTATAGCAGCTTCTTTGGAAAGTGGATCAGATGCTGACTCTATGCTCTTTCGACGGATTCAGAGCAATTTCCTAGAAATCATTTCAGAATATATTCTATCGTCCTATATGCCTCATTCAGCATTCATTGAGATGTTGACACCATATATTCCAGCTCTAAATAATTTACACCCGACAAAAGAAGAAGAGATCATTCAGTGCCTTCAGCTGACGCATCTTCTTGCAAAGCATTCATCACTGGGTTACGATGTGTATGGGTTACCATTCGTCCAAATGGCGATACTGTACTCTGTCGATCAAGTAGAACATTCGTCAGATTACTTGCCCATATTCACGAAGGTTCTCCGGGATATTTTTGAATCAGTTAAAGATTTGGACGTTTCATATCTCTTGGCGAGCGTTTTCTGCTTTCTTGGAAATGAAAGACACGCGTCAGCAACAAAAACGTGTTGTTATCTCATCTGGGAATGGGCAAAACAGACTGAAAATAGAAACGACATCATTCTAAACACATGGCAAAAGGTTTCTACATCGATGCATCTTGTTGAGGATGGAAAACACAGCAAAATTTTGCTGTCAAGATTAAATGAAATTACAATTCTTCTTGATGTGTCTCCGTCTCAAATTGAGGTTACAATGGCAACCGTGCTTCGGCTTAAGCATGATAGATCCAATCTTGAAATTGTTGAAACATTTTGTAATATGAGAAAGGATGTCTCTTTAGATGGTACACAGAAACAGCTGGTGTATGGAACTTTCCTCTACCTCGAGGAAACTGAAAGCAGTTTGCAAAACGAAGCAGAGAACTTGTTAGAGGCATCAGGAGCACTATGTAAGTCAAAGATTTATTCTTCAGCCACTGCCACATTCAATTTTGTTACAGCCATAGTAGTGTATACAAAACTTTGCAATGGTAACAAGAAACTGGTACAGAAGTATCTGCAACTATTAAAGACCGCACAGACATCAGATAACTGTTCAGATATAAAAGAGCTTGAATCAGATATTGTTGATCTGCTAAGTACACCAGAACTTAATACTAACCAGGCATTTCAGTTTGTTGTATACTACACACGTCTGTGCATGGTAGCAACATCAGTCAAGTTTATTTTGAGCGTAATAGATGAACTGGTTCAACCCCATATCAACCTCGGAATACTCTCAGCATGTGGTATAGAGTTTTCTTCCACAAAAAAGATAGACCTTGCCCTCGAATGTCTTGAAACATGGATTCACCGTTCAACACAAGCAAATGTGGTACAGAACAAAGCTTTACCAGTTAAAATATACGGGAAAATAGGCCATCTATATCATGTTAAATCAAATGCAGCTAAAGAAAAAAATTTGAGTCGAATTTACAGGAACAAAGCAGAAGTATTTTTCCAAACCGCCTTAAAAGAAACTGAGGACGACCTGTCTGTCATTGGAGACTATCTCTTGTTTTGTAGAAAGCAAAGTGAGGAATTCAAAACATATGTCGATATTGCATGCTCTCAGAACGATGTTGATAAAGTGTCCGTTTATTTCCCCTCATCGCTGCCAGTCTTAGAAGGCATTCTTGGGCTTCGTGGAGAAATTGAGGCGAACGGCAACATTTACATCAGCTCATCTATTTTTGTTAGATGTTTGTATTTCGATAGTAGTGACAGTTCAAATGAAAACTTCACGAATAAAGTTCAGCAAATGAAGGAAATAGCTCGGCAATTAAAAGAAATTCTCCATAAACAGATGGAACTAGGAGAGGACGTTGAAGTGGGGAAAAACGTTCTATCGGATTCTTTGCGTGTCATTGCTTATTTCTCAGCAAAAGCAGAAATTGACTCTGAAGTCCTTGAAGCTCTATCAGAAGCAAAGGCGGTATCACCGGAAAGATGCACGTCTGATTATTTTACATCACTTTTTGAAAAATTTGAATCAAAGCAGTTGCAGTCAAATCAAGAAAAAACTTTATATTCTCGAACCTAGAGAAACATGACATAGAGCAGTGTAACTATGTGATCTTTTGGCAGCATTGCCTTGACAACTTTCATTATTAGTTGCCAGAAAGAAGTTGTTTACGAATATATGATAATTACACAACCACTAATTTTCCGCACCGCTACATGAACATGACCAAAGTGAAAATCAAGTATGTCTGATGCTGTGTTAATTATCTGCTGATAAGCCTTGTGATTCAACAGATAAGACTATAACAAGCACCACTTGTCTATTTATTACAAAATTTATTATTTGTGTAAATCAAACATAACATTAAAAAACAGAAGATTAACTTATCATGCATGAAAAAGTCAAAGGTGTAGCATATCGGTGAACGTTAAATTAGACAATGAAAGATAAAAACGAGAGAAATTACTTTGTCATCTCATCATTCAAAGGATTCGAAAGAACATCCAAAAAAGGGGAAGATGATAAAGATGCTATATAATATGAGTATATGTACTTTTGCTTACTTCATCAATGAAACTTATAAATAAGATACGAATTTTGTGAAACACATTTACTTTATTTGGCAACAAGTTTGTATGGCTAAGAGGTAAAAAAGCAGTACACGATTGATTGTTATGATAACCGATGGTGCAAAGTTTAAACAATTATTATGAAATTAGTTATTATACTACATGTATTAATATTTTAGTTAACCAGGAAAAATCTGGAAAAGAGTGTGATCCCGATGAGATGGACCGATCTACAAGATATATGACAACATGTGTTAAACGGCTTCAACACCAAAGAAACAAACTCTTTTGTGATATTTTAACTAGTGAATTTTTAACATTTGGGCATGTTTATTCAAGCGTAGTTGGAAATGTTGGCATTTAATCTAAAACATTGACATGGTCAGCTCCTCTTAAAGATGCTTTACATGCTAGTTCCTCATTGTAGTTCTGTATTTTAAAATGTACCTTTTCAATGTTATCTAGTTTTGGTCACAATTCTACATTCATATGAAATAAATAATGAATTTTTATATGTTTAAGAGAATTTTCCAAAAAGAGTAAACTGGTGTTCATCATTAAAAGACTTATGTACACTGGGTTTGAAAGTGTGTTGAAAGTGTGTTGGAAATGTTGACTTATTTTATGTGTTGTACAACAAAGAATCAGTTATTAATTTACAAAACTAGTAAATTAGATTTAATTAATCGAATAGAGCTTTATTTTACAAAAACTTTAACATAGTACGTGTTAATTAATTGTATTTGGGAGATGCTCTGAAGCTTAGAAATATACCATTTGTTGCTGTAAATTTGTATTAATATTTGATATTAACCTTTGTTTTTTTATATATACTATTCAGAAGATTAGAATATTATGGATTTGTATCATATAACATGAATAGAGGATATTCGATGAGTGTATGTTTAATACTGAATTTATTGAACAAGTTGAATAAAATCATATTATACGAGCCACTGACGAGCATATAATATTATTATCGAACGAGTTCGATAAATTCAGTAATATGAAACTAACACGAACTTAATATTCTTTTTATCACAAAGATGTACCATGAATAAAGACTGTTTACATTGCATTTCGATTTCATATTAGGTAAGGCATGACAATTAATGACAGTTTATTAATCTATTGTATACATGTGAAACTACCAATGCTGTCTTTATATGCAAAAAGTACATTGTCTTAGGCACTATCTATATTAATTTTTACGTGCTAGTTCTTACCTATTTACATTTAGATTTATTTATGAACGTATGGGTGTAACATTGTGTTTGTAAAGTTCTTGCACTGTTCTTTGTATGTTTTATATGCCATATATATATTCTTATAGGGTTTTCAGCCAAACAAACTTTTGACTATTATCTTCTCGTATATAAATATAAGGAATCAAATGCAGGTATAATTAATGTACTAGCTGTAATTACAGATGTTTTTCTAAATTAAACATGTATTTGATATTACCAAATTGAGATGTTGAAATGTTTTTTATCGGGATTTGTACTCAATCCTGATCGAAATTTATCTGTATTGTTATATTATATTATGTTGTAAACTTGGAATAAATTAAATATTGATTAAACAAATTATGCTTTAATGTGGTCAACATCAAAATACAACCTAATTTTGTGCTGGTAAGTAATATACTGTACCCAATATCACATAAACATAATGTAACAAACAAAAGACAAACAGAAGACAACACAATATTCACCAACACAACACAAAGTTACATAACAAAAAAAAAACGTAATTTTTATTAGCATTTAATACGGCCAGTGAGGTTAATACACACAGTGAGATCACATACACACATACATACACATACGCACACACAAACATACATGCAGGCCGACCTGGCTCTGTACTGGTGGCAACTTTAGAAATTAATCTCTTTTGGATATAACAGGTTTAAGGTTAAGCTAATGATTTAGCACTCAAAGACTTTTTATCCTAATGAGCAGCTTGCTCTTTATATCATTGATATATTTTGCATTTCTGATGGCCATTTTAACTAATTAAATCCCTATAAATGCATAAAGATCCATTTCCTGTTATCACAACACCAACGCAATCACCATGAACTGTTGTTCATAAATCAATATTAGATAAAGGCCTAACTCACAAAATAATCATAATAAAACAAAAAGGTTTTAACACTTTTAGTTTGTTTTGATTCCAGTTATTGATCTTTCTAAAATACTGATCAATGTTATTGATATTCAAGTTTATAATAAATTAGCCTGCACACAATGTATGTGTTCGATAAACTATTGAGTCATGTCCCACCGATGACATGTAACTATAATAGGGAGAAATCTACCCTGGCAAGTTTTCAGATAATGTTTAAATTGTGTTTACATTTAACGTCTTGTCTTCCACGAAAGGCACACCTTAGATTATATCAAAACTGAAACATGTTATCACCTATGACCTGAATTTCTGGAGTTATGTATTGATCAAATCAACAAGTCAATGTGAGTGATTAAAAATCATAATTCATTTGGATTAAATTATTTACCTGCATGAAAGGTAAAAGCTATTTTTGATTTTGCATTATTTTGTTATTGAATTTTACTGTTATAAAATTAAAGTTTTAAGAGTATTTAACAGCAAGGTTTAAGAATTCAAATTTAAAAAATTGTATGCTGATAAATTAATGTATATGTTCAGTATGTGTCCTATACAAACTGTGTGTGTTTGATCTTTGAGTTACTTAAAAAATCAGTTTAATTTCTCTAGAAAATAACTGTAACTGCTATTAAACTCTACTGATCAACATATTAGATTATACATATGTACAAACTTGTATGATAGAACATATCCGAATAAAGATCATCCTGTAAATAAAGGCCACTTTTTACTGATTAGAGTATATCTATGTAAATTCCAAATAAAGGCCACTTGTCTATAAAGGTCACATACTTATTATGTCGTTTGGATGGCCTTTGTTTACAGGTTTGGCTGTATGTACAAAGTACTTCCTGGCGGTATTAAAATTGTTTAGATAATTGTGATTATCTCATGGTGTCACTAACAGAAAATCAATGTTTATCTATGTTTGTTTATCTATTCATTCAACATTAGTTAAAATATGCATGCATCCGCTCTGTCTGGTTAATATAATGCATCCTCAAGGTAATGAATAATGTACTTTGTACCAGGAATATCCAAATATTACAAATAATGCTTTCATGGGTAATTTTGTTGTATGCAAGTGTTTTTCACATATATTTCATAGCAAAATATGCCACATTTTGAGAAAGTTACAAGTTTTAAATAAACCTATATTCACACAATTGCTTTCTACACAAATAAACTAGTTTTTTGATTCTTGTGCAAATGTAAATCAATGTGTGTTATAACTGAACTTTAGTTCAATAGCAGTATTGGACCACTTACATATGTTTTTAACTTTTGATTGATAATTAAAAAGTTATTCCCTAAAGATGGCTGCCACTCGTATGACGTTCTTTGTCGAACTATTTTTTCATGTTTAGTTAAAATTTCTTTCAAATCATGGTGATTTTTTTTATCTATCAATGGTAGCTTCTTCAGCAAATAATATAATTTCATTCTTGATTTAGTCTGTATTATATATTTGTTGAATGGCGAAATAAGGCTTACATTCCCAGTACAGCTACCACCAGGATGTATACAACAAGTTATGTAAGTGACTAAAGGTTCTTGTAATATAAGTAAATATCATACTATTCAAACTTTTATATTGAGTATTGATTTTTACATTTCATTTCTTATCTATTCTACTCTTGCTATTATTGTCACTACCAATCAATGTAAACTGTAAGGTGAATGACTACGAAGAAAAAATGATGATTAATTACCGCCTTCGCTTTGACAAAATTGTTTTCAGGTTGACGGGTTCTTTACAATGTAGAATGGTTTACAATTTCTATCATTTGTCAGGCTTGTTTTCCATTTTGTAATCTTAGGTTCAAAGTCTAAACAGACCATACAATTAAAGAAGTAATAAATTAAAAAAGATTTTTGTTTGCTTTTGTATAATCTCACAAATTCTCTCTTCTATAATAGAAAAATAAAAAATGACATTCATAACATTTTTAATAGCTTAGTAAGTTTTTTTTATATTATCTAATGACATTTTCAGGTGGAATCGAGCATGAAACTACGTTATGGAAATCCATCTCAAATAAATGTAATATTATAACACGGATTTGTATTGCAGTAATTTAAGTAATTAAGATCCGTGATTATGATAATTGTTAGAGTCACATTATGTCTCAGAAATAGATAAATTTTAATTACTTCTTTAGAAAGGGCAACATGAATTTGATAATATTTATATTCTGTAATGGTTTTAGAGAATGTTAGATGCTTGTTAGTTGTTAACTGAAAAAGTAGCAATGAATGTGAAATAATTTGTCGTAAAAGAAGTAAAATGTAAACAAAGCAGTAGTTTGTTTTCCATTTAAATTACTTATTCACTCTAGCTAACAGATGAAAAAGATAGTTCAGTTACATGTAAATGGCCAATGAGTAACTATTTGAATGCTATAAAAGCACACCAAATTTAAAAATCTTTAAAATAAAAATAAATGCACTTCTGTGGCATAGTGGGCCTAAACACTAAAACACAAGAAGTCAAGAAAAACTTTCATTCGAAAGAACCAGAAAAATATAACAACACTGAATCAATCACTGTTTATATTTCTTAATTTAAAATGTAAACAATTTAAAGAGCATGTACTGTAGTTGAACGGATGAATTGAGCATTCCATGCCTGCAATTGCACACTAGCTGCCAGTCCTACTGATTAATTATTATACAGATATTTTTTATGTTCCCCTATTTTTTGTTTTATTTATGTCCAACTTTCAGGGTGTGGTCTAAAATTAGGCAGAGATTTAACCATCAGGCTCAACATAACCATAATCCACACATTTCCTTACATGCCTTAGGGTTGAGGATTTTTTCTTTCAGTTTATTTTAGAAGAATTTTTAGCTTGGTTGTAAAAAGATAAATCCCGAAGAAATTAATTATTTCAGTAAGGTTTATATATTTATATAAAACCATTAATATGGTAACTTTATTAGCCTCAAAAGAGTCTTTCAGACATGAAGACTTTAAAATTTGTATTCATGATGACGGTTTTTCATTGTCCCATACATGTATGTTATGATAACAGACTTGCAGCTATATTGGTTAGTAATCAATTACTTTTCCAAATGTTGAATTATATATCACATAAAAATAGCAAGTGCATATTCTTGCAGCACGTCTGAATTTAATTTAGCATATTCTATTAATCTTGAATATTCTTATAAATCTAGGAAAATATTGGCTTTCTTTGTGTGTGCTTCTTGTGAATTTTCATAACAAAACTACCATTCTTTATAATCATATCCACTAAATAATTTCATTTCAAAATTTAGATAAAAATCCTGTCAATTCACGGTTGACAGTCGAGGAGAACATTCATCCGTGTTACCGTATATAGGTCATTAGACATATCTCGTACAGAATATACCGGATTAATGGAGTTTATCATATTTTAGATGAAAGTGAAAGTAGGTTATTCCCAAATATTTGTTACTCAACGTGTTGATTACATATTTATATAAATGCGTCATTTTTGGTTTAAATTTTCAAGAAATTGGAAGTATGTTAACTGAGGTAGTATTCATATCAATTTTTATAGAATAAGAATTTCATATTTGTTTATTGTTTGTTAATGTTGCAAGATTAAACATGCAGAAAACATGAAACAATTTTTTGTATGCTTTGGTAAATTATAGATATCAATTCTGAGCGATTGTTGTAGAATAACGCATGGTTCGAGTTCAAGTGAGAAGGAATATAATCACGAAGGCCGATATGCCTGATTGATTAATTACAAAGCATTTGAACGAAAATCCTAGTCCTGTACATGTAAATATGACGTGTTTTTTTTTGGTTTTTTTTAGATATTTTTACTTCTTGGCAACGAAAATCGGTGCACTATATACGACAATCAACATTGCAACATCAGTTCGGTTGAGTTTTTTTTATCCTTTACAGAACAGAGTCTACATTAGAAACTTTATGTGCCATGTTGAAAATATATCTTATCAATATCACTTAGTCAAAATATATTGACGTGCCAAAGCTTGATTCTGAGATATTTTCGTTCTGGGGCAGAATCTCGCTTTAACGTAGAGGCGAGATATTGCCCAGACACGAAAATAGCACAATATCTCGTCGCGCAGTACAATTAGTTGGACTACAATATCACTATACTTACAGAATTATTATATTCACTTTCTGAGGCAAGTAAATATACCGATCAATTTTCTTGTCATGCAATTCCTCCACTTCATAAATAAATTTGTAAAATTGCAGCGCTGACACCTGATTGGAAGAAAACACAGCGCCGTGCTAATCTTGGTTAATCCGTCCTGGCATATTTTTGGTCCCATGTCAAGATTAATCATGCATGTTAATAAATTTAAAAAAATTGTATACCAATCATGAAGGACCATAGGCCAGAGTGATTAATAACAAAGATTTGAAAGAAAAACCTACAGTAGTTCTATAAATATGACTGTTTAAGATATTTTTACTTCTTGTCGACGAAAAACAGAGCACTATTTAATGTCAATGCACAGAATAGATATAGAGCTATTACCATTCTAGCAGGCTAATAAAAACAAGAACTGATAAAAATATGTTGAACTACATTAAGCATAGAAGTGATAGTCCTGGAGTCTATATTATCCCAGCCCCAGGGGGTCATGGCTTTTCCGTATGTAGTATATACTTAAAAACTCTTCATCTTGAAAACTGTTAGTGGGATATAGCACCTATTGACCTTCCATAGCATCCAGTGACTTGTCGTAGCAACCATTGACTTCCATAGCAACCACTTAATTTCTGTAGCAACAATATACTTTCATAACAATCAGTGACTTTTTACAGCAACCATTGACTTCCACAGAAACAGTGACTTCGATAGTAATTATTGACTCCCATAGCAACCATTGACTTTCCATGGAAACAGCAATCAATTAATCCCATAGCAACATGTACTTTTAATAAAAAACATAAAAGATAGAAATGTATCCCACTTGTATCAACTTGACTTCAAGTAGCATTTACATAAAAATGTTTAATCAATGCCACTTTTAAAACCTTTTAAAATCTTTTATAAAGGACCTGACGCACATACCATTACTTGGGACTTAATATTAAACAATAAGCTCTATAAGCTGAGGCTCTGTTGTTTTAATCCTTGATTTTCAAGCATTTTAGATGGTTTGTAATAATCGCAATATATTGCAATATGTCTGTAAATATCGCAATGAGTGCAATATTATTGTTCTTTGCAATACCATACTTACCAGTTTAAGATTTACATTTTACATCTGATTTCGTTTATAGTTTACAATATTACTTTTTCTTTGTCATTTAGAGTATTTATATTCAGGTGAGCGATATTAGGGCCATCTTGGCCTTCTTGTTTTTCTATAATGATCACAACATATACTATTATAAGTATTTAAAGTCTATCTTCATACAAAGCTGGTTGATTCTGCTGTAGTTAGCAATACATCTAAATCAATATACAATGTAATTTACAATAATTACAGCTTTGAAATGTGGTTTATTTACCTTAAAACTGTGTTACAAAGAATTACTGATAATTGATAAATAAAACAAAACAGTTGTTTAACTGCCAATATCTAATCCAATAGATTCCAATGATATTCATGACGACAGCACAGTGTGTGAGAAAAACCAAGTATAATCATTCTATAAATAGAGCATATTGCTATAAATTTCCAGACTATTAAGTTTATCTGGACCATATTTACTTAAGACTGTTATCAAAAGGGCTTAATGTTTGGAAATAGATAAATTCCACAATTAACACTGAGGAATATTTTTTATGGTACTTGAACCATCATAAAATGAAAGTAACAGGTGTAATAAACATAAACTTGTGATGTTATAAAACTAGGGATCAATGAAAGGAATAGGTATGTAAATATTTTTTATGTTTACAAATAAAGGACACATGTGTTAATGTTAATAGGATATTTATACACACACAATTGGGATGACCGGGGCTCTAAAATGCCTTAAAATCTAAATAAATTGCGCATCATATATCAACAAAAACTAAATTATTTAGAAAATAGTAAAATGGTATAATATTTACTTGTATAGTAATAAAGACATTGTATGAAGGTGTTTTAGTGACAATACATGTTATATAATTCTAATGTGATAAGTTCTGCTGGTCAAAGTCACATTTCAATACTATCAAGTGAAGCAGAAACTTTATGGTAGCGGTTGATCTATAATTTTTCCATGCTCTCTGCCTTTAGAATGAAGATGCAAATTTCTTGCTGAAAAGGTATTTCTTGAAATTGAAATCGGAAGTATGATATTCTAAATCTAAAAAGAAATTATTTCAAAGGAAGATGTTGTAATAGCTGAATGTGTAGTGCTCAGTTGTTGGCTATTTAGATTTGTTGATTAATTGTCCAGTTTAACATGCATTAATAAGTTTTTAGACCACAGGTAATACATGTATATCAGCCAGGCTCAGAAAATCTTTCACTTTTAATCATAGAGTTATAATTGACTTTGCCTTTGTACAAGATTAAAAGTTGTAAAATTGCACTTACCTGTCAGGTAAGTGATAAAAGTGCCATGACAACTGTCTTATTAATGTTTAGGCATTAATATTTACAGCTCCCTGACTGTGGAGCCAGGTCGGTCTACATTTCAGTGCTTGCAATCTATAACTATTGATTCAAAAGCAGAACATTTCTTTGTTCAAGCAGCCTTTCCCTGTCTATATATTGTAAGAATTACAGAATATTAACGAGTAACGAGAAAACCCCCTCTGATTAATTCTGTATACCTGCAGCAATTAATCAATTTCAATATTCCATTATGGAAATCTCTCCTAATTGATAATAAACAGTTCTATTTGCAAAACAGGACAAATGGGACAAATGGCCAAGTATTGATGCTGATTCTGATGTATTTATCCCCTAGAATTCCTTTAGCTTTTTGGATCCCACAGGTTACGTTGCTATGACTCTCTTCCCCTCGGTTTGTGCACATTGCAGAGAACTTGCACTGGGCATGAGCAGAAGATTTGCGGCTTAGTCTGTAGAACAGCTATAAACTACATGATCCCTGGGTTGAGAGGCAGACACCTTAATCACAACGCCACTGCTCCTCTTCTAGAAAAACTGGTGAATTTATAACGAAATATTCAGACTTCACTTACAACTAAAAGGAATCTAAAAAAAAACCCAAAAAACAAATTGTTTGCAATGTACTATACTGTACAGGACATGGGTACCAAGAAAACACAGGGGCATAAAGCCTTAAATATGAGTAATTAAAAAAACACCAATTTACAATATGCCATCCCAAAATTAAGAGATAGGGAGTTGGGATCTGCATACACCCTATTATTAGATTGCATCATGTCTATTTATAACTATAGCTAAACCCCCTTCCCCACCTACTGCTATGTTATCATTACACATACCTAAACATTTCCAAAAGTGGTTCTTAATTGATCATTATCTGTACATTCTCTGTGTTACTTTAGAGTTTTAAACATACCATATTTTCTTAATTGATAATGAACATAAATATTATCATTGCAAAAGTATGTGACAATTGAAAAAAAATCTGTTTTCTGCAATATATTCATGATTTTTGTTTTTCAATGCACCTTTTTTCTAATTAGAGTTCAAGGAATTTTTTTCTGTACTCGTACATTGTGAATAATTATGAGTCACAATATGCCAAGGTAAATATTGGTGTGAACGTAGTACATGTGATATTAAAGTTGTATGACATTTACAGTGTGGGTGTGAAATATTGTGCTAGGGCAGTGCCGCAGTGGTATGGCCGGGGCAGTGGCAGGGGGAGAAGGAAGTGATGACTGTACTAGGTGTAGGGTCTATGAAAGGGGAGTTACACTACAAGAAATTTTCTCCACTTTTAGAAACAAGAAAAATGCTACTATGATTTTAATCCATCATTCTTTTAAACAATCTTTTTTTTCTCAAATGTTTGTGATGTTGTTTTATTAGCTCACCTGAGCACAAAGTGCTCAAGGGTGAGCTTTTGTCATCACTCTGCGTCCGTCATGCGTCGTGCGTCCTTCAAAAAATGGCGTCAAACTTTTCAAACAACATCTCCTCCTAAACCACATGGCCAATTGCAACCAAACTTTACAGAAATGATCCTTAGGTGGACCCCTTTCAAAGTTGTTCAAAAATTTAAATTCCATTAAAAACTCTGGTTGCCATGGCAACCAATAGGAAAAACTTAAAAATCTTCTTTTAAAAAACCCTAAGAGCTAGAGCTTAGATATTTGGCATGAAACATCTTCTAATGAGTGTCTTCCAAGTTTGTTCAAATCAAAACCCTGATATTAAGCATGAAACATCTTCTAGTGAGTGTCTACCAAGTTTGTTCAAATAAAAGCCCTGGGGTCAAAATTGGCCCGGCCCCAGGGTGTCTTTGATTTTCCCTATATGCATATAGTAAAAACTTAAACAATCTTCTTTTAAAGAACCCAAAGAGCTAGAGCTAAGATATTTAGCATGAAACATCTTCTAATGAGTGTCTACCAAGTTTGTTCAAATAAAAGCCCTAGGGTCAAAATTGGCCCGGCCCCAGGGGGTCATTGATTTTCCCTGTATGCATATAGTAAAAACTTAAAAAATCTTCTTTTAAAGAACTCAAAGAGCTAGAGCTAAGATATTTAGCATGAAACATGTTCTAATGGGTTTCTACCAAGTTTGTTCAAATAAAAGCCCTGGGGTCAAAATTGGCCCCGCCCCAGGGGGTCATTGATTTTCCTTATATGTGTATAGCAAAAACTTAAAAAATCTTCTTTGAAAAAACCCAAATAGCTGGAGTTTAGATATTAAGCATGAAACATCTTCTAGTGAGTGTCTACAAAGTTTGTTCAAATAAAAGCCCTGGGGTCAAAATTGGCCCCGCCCCAGGGGTGTCATTGTTTTTAACTATATGCATATAGTAACAACTTAAAAAATCTTCTTTTAAAAAACCCAATGAGCTAGAGCTTAGTTGTTTAGCATGAAACATCTTCTTATTGGGTGTCTACCAAGTTTGTTCAAATTAAAGCCCCTGGATTAAAATTGGCCCTGACGGGGGGGGGGGGGAAGAAGATCATTGTTTTTCATTATATGTGTGTAGTAAAAACTTAACATTGTGAAACATCTTCTAATGGGTGTCTTCCAAGTTTGTTCAAATAAAAGCCCTGGGTTTTAAACTGGCCCCGCTCCGGGTGCCTTTATACAGGTGAGCGACCTCAGGGCCATCATGGCCCTCTTGTTTTTTTTAAGACAAACATATACTCATTGATTGTTTTCAAGACTTATTACGCAAACCTTTGAAATATTCATGACTTTTTGTTTCTTCATTTCCGGCGTGAACAGGTAGAATTTTTCTTATATCTTCTGCTGTTTTGTTTTCATAAGATGGTTGAATTATTGATGACAACAAGACTGTGTATAAGTGGATAGTGCGGCCATGTTGATGGTTTACCTGAGTGCAGTTATTACCATGGTAACGGTTTCAACATCCACCAGTACAGCTTCATTGTGCAAGTGTTTTCAGCAATGTTGTGGAAATTACTGCGGCAAAGGTAACTTCACTGAAAATTTAATTTATTTATTTATTACGATATGTTTTGTTGTACATAGTAAAATTTTCTTGATTTTATATTTATATCTACATGTACTGTATATTTTTTTGTTATGAATATTTTATTATGCACCCAGAAGGGAGAGCACATTATCCTTGCCTTGTCTATTCAGCTGTTCGTCCAGCCTCGCCACATATTGTGGGGTCAGGTTGGTTTTTTTTGCAAGTTAAGTTTCAGGTTCATTCTATAAAAGACATATTTATTTGGTAAAAAATGTACCATGTGGGGTTGAAAAAATTTTGTTTGGTTACAAAAGATCAAAGGAATATCCCCATAACCTTATCATCTAAGAAAACCATTCTGTCTGACACTCTTGTCTGGAGATTATCTTGAAAAAAGTTGAAGGAATTGGATGAAAACATATGTAGTTCTTAGCTCTTATCTTCTATATAATAATAATTAATGATGTTTATACAAAGTATTGAGAGATTAGATTAAACCTCACAGTGATAGAGACTAGTAAGAGGAAGTGCATCATACAGAAATTCTGCCTTGCTGTATAATGCCTCCTGCATATTGTAATGGGGTCGGTACCTCTGCCTTGTTAGATGATTAATTTGAAAAGGAATAGGCCATGGTTTATGCTACTTGGTATCGACTTTGCCCATGGCCAGTAGATGACCTCCTTGATTAATAAGTCAAAGGTCAAGGTTACTCAGTGACCTTGATTTTTTAGCCTACAGCCATTATACTAAGTTTAGAGGTTCAGGTCATGACTAGTAAATGACCTGTATTGATTTTTTGATTAATAGGTCAAAGGTCAAGGTCAATATGAGGTCAATGTGACCTTGACTACTAAAAACTTGTCTTAGTAGTAACTAGAGAATGCTTGCAGTCCTAATGTTTGGTGTACATTGATCATGATGAGAAGTTGTCATTCACTTGAGAAGGGATAAAGCTCAGTATTTTAAAGATGTTTTCTGAAGTGGTGATTTTTTTTGCAATGTGTAAATGAGGAAAATTTTTACTTTTGAACTTTTTTTAGTGTAGTTTTTTACCCAATTGGAATGCCTTGGTTATTATCATAATAACCTCAGACTTAATACTGATTGAAGGTAGTTCTACTACGTGGTGTTTCTTTGAGAATTTTAAATGAATGTATATATTTGATATCGAAAGGAAAAAAACTTTAGTTGATTAGTGTAGGTTAGACCGAAATACTGTATAGGTTCTGTGTATTCGTACTGTTCTATTTGAGGTTCTTATTGAAAGTTTGACGGAGAGGGCATAGAAGAGGCGATTGTTTTTGGCCCTTTGAGGTCATTTTCAAGTCTGTCAGTGGCAAATATAAAGCCAAATTAATCTAACTTACTTCTGTATGTGTAAAGATTATGATATTAATGCGGTGGCGTAGCATTTTTTTTTCACAAATGCAATCTTGTTATTTTTGTGCCCCCACGTTAGTGGCGGGCATTTAGATTTACCCTTGTCCGTCCGGCCGGCCGTCCGTCCTTCCGTACGTCCTTCCGTCCATCCGTCCGTTCACTTTTGTGTCGCACGTAACTCAAAAAGTATTTGACCTAGAGTCATGAAACTTTACAGGAATGTTGATCAGCATGTGTAGTTGTGCACCTGGGTATTTTCGTCTGGATATTATTAGTATTTTCAGAGTTATTGCCCTTGACTTAGTAAAATTTTGCAATTTTCAACTTGTGTCGCACGTAACTCAAAAAGTACTTGACCTAGAGTCATGAAACTTTACAGGAATGTTGATCAGCATGTGTAGTTGTGCACCTGGGTATTTTCGTCTGGATATTTTTAGTATTTTCAGAGTTATTGCCCTTGACTTAGTAAAATTTTGCAATTTTCAACTTGTGTCGCACGTAACTCAAAAAGTATTTCACCTAGAGTCATGAAACTGTACAGGAATGTTGATCAGCATGTGTAGTTGTGCACCTGGGTATTTTCGTCTGGATATTTTTAGTATTTTTAGAGTTATTGCCCTTGACTTAGTAAAATTTTGCAATTTTCAACTTGTGTCGCACGTAACTCAAAAAGTATTTGACCTAGAGTCATGAAACTTTACAGGAATGTTGATCAGCATGTGTAGTTGTGCACCTGGGTATTTTAGTGTGTATTTTCTTAGTATTTTCAGAATTATTGCCCTTGAGTTAGTAAAATTTGGCAATTTTCAACTTGTGTCGCACATAACTCAAAAAGTATTTGACCTAGAGTCATGAAACTTTACAGGAATGTTGATCAGCATGTGTAGTTGTGCACCTGGGTATTTTCGTCTGGACATTTTTAGTATTTTCAGAGTTATTGCCCTTGAGTTAGTAAAATTTTGCAATTTTCAACATGTGTCGCACGTAACTCGAAAAGTATTTGATCTAGAGTCATGTAACTTTACAGGAATATTGATCAGCATGTGTAGTTGTGTACCAGGTATTTTCGTCTGGATTTATTTAGTATTTTTAGAGTTATTGCCCTTCACTTAGAAAATTTTTGCAATTTTCAACTTAAGTCGCAAGTTTCTCAAAAAGGATTTGACATAGTCTTTAAACCTTATGGGCAGGTTGCTCAGCATATTTTAGATTTGCACCTGGGGTTTCGCTTGTGGATTTATCCAGTATTTGTAGAGTTATTTCCCTTGACTTAGTAAAAAGATTGACAGAACAGTGGCGCAGTGGGGGCACCCGTGTCCTATGGACACATTTCTAGTTTACCTTGATGTCAACAAAATTGAGATAACGGAATGTTTCACAAATGGAAATTGAACAGACTAGTTAATCATGTTTGTGCTTGAGTGATGTTATTAAATATTTACTATGAATGTGTGCCCTAAGTTTTATCTTGCTGGTGCACTTGTGTAATACAAGGAAGTTTGGATGACAAAAATCTTATCACAAAAAAGATTAATTTCTTAAAATGTCTTTTTTATAAAACTCTTATATCTTCTTTTTTTTCTTTTTTTCTCTTTTTTTTTTTTAGAATGATTTTACATTTTTATAAGGAAGTTTGACCAGAAGTCACCAGTTTGTCTCTCTCAGCTGAATTTATCTCTCTCATTACATGTAAATATAACATCTATGCAAATCGTCCTGTAAAAATCTGCGAAGGTCTTAGTATATTTATAAATATTTATAAATATACGATAACAAAATATGCTTTCATTTTCAGAAACTTTAATTTTATTTACTTTTACATGATGAATATTTTCCGAAAAACTCATGTACTTTTAATAATGTAATGTTTAACACTTGATGAACCAGTTTTACAGCTTGTGGTATAAACGACTTACTTATGCCTTAATAAAAATACAACACTTAACTTGATGGAACTGAAAGTGATTAGTCTATGGCATTTTTTTGCCTTATTTTATAGCCAATAGTTGGTTATATTACCAATTGAAAATAGTATTACATTATTTTCCTAATCCACTAGAAAAAATTCCAAATTGAAAGTTACAAAATAAAAATATTGAATAACAAATTCCAAAATCTTTGAAAATAATGGCTTCTTCACTGTTATGATGTTTAAATGTTTGTAGATACCATCCTTATAGACAGTTATTCTTTATATTGATTTAATAACTGCAAAATTTAAATCATGCAATTTTTCCCAATTTTTAACAAAACATTGCTGAAATTCCCAATTCCATGGGTATGAGTCATATTCCCAAAATCTTGGAAAAAAATCCTGTGTCAGTAAAGGAAATCCTCTTTAACAGTAGTATCAATAATTCCCATTGTAAGGCCTCACAATAATTCTAACCCCTCTAGAGCATTATACCTCATTGTAACAATTAACCAAAAACATTTACTCCCTATGGATGTTGCTCTGAAAAGGTCTTACTGTATTACTAAAATGATATCAAAATACAAGCTTAGTGTTAAGTCTTGATACATGTATATGACAGTTTATATTAGGACATTGTAAAATAGTAATTATACTGATCAAAAATATATACAATATATATATATATAATGATTACTTGAACAATAGAAAATTCTATGCTTAATGACTCTATTTTCTGGTATGTAGGCAACTTGATCAGTGTACCAAAATGGATTTACTGGTTCAATAAGTATCACCTTTATTCAAAATAAGTGTTTGTTTTAAATACCACTATGTATTGATATACATTTGTAATAATTTGTCACCATAGTGCAATAACTAGTTAAGTCCTATTAAATTTAGAAGGACTTATTCCATTACTGCACCAAGGTGATGATATTATGTGTTCCTTGTATCATTATTATGAATTACTTGAAAATAATTTTGTAGACTTTGAGCATAGTAACATGATTTTTAGCTCGACTATTCAAAGAAGAGGGAGAGCTTTTGCACCGTAACTGGTTGGTGTCATACTAAGTTGTTTAAGTTTTTGCTAGCCTGTTGGTATTTCCAAAAATACTGAAGAGAATGGTTTGAAACTTCACACACTTGTTCACTGTGATTATCTTGTAAACATGATACATGAATATGGTGCAATTTGCATGCTGGCTGTATGATTCTCGGGTATTATGGTAGAAATTGTTTCAATCATAAAGGTCATAAAGTACTAAGCTAAAAAATAAAATGTACTATAACCCAATTGTTTAATCCAAAAGCACCATTATTCTTCAATAAATATTTTATTTATAACAACGCATCATTGCTGGTAACTGTACACAGAGCATAACTAGCTGACAATTATTAATTATTTATTGAAAGTTTCACTATCATTAGTGAACGTTAGGTCATTAAAGTCCCAACAGACCCTAAATGGCTCAGCCATCAGTCAAGGTCTACCTCAATCAGTTTATTGTGACGCATTTTATAAATGTAAAAGTACAACCTCTGAAGAGCAACCCTCCATGAGCAATGACCACTTTATAACAATAGTATTAGATATTCTTCCAAAAATAACACACTACAATAAATTAAGCCTGTTTATAGCAACACCTCTATGCAAAAACCAAAATATTTGTCTCTCACAAGTGGTGTTGTTACAGTGTTTGTAATGTATTGTATTTTACTCAATGAGATTGAGTCAATTTCAGCATTGTTGTGTTGTTTTGAACATATTTGGACAGGTTGTTCATATTTAATAAGATTGAATGAATTTTAACATGTTGTGATGTATTTAATAAGTCAAAGATTGAGGTAATTTAAAATGTTGTGTTGTAGTTAATTAGTTAAAGATTGAACATATTTTAATATGTTGTGTTGTATTTAATTAGTTAAAGATTGAACATATTTTAACATGTTGTGTTGTATTTAATTTGTTAAAGATTGAACATATTTTAATATGTTGTGTTGTATTTAATGAGTTAAAGATTGAACTTACTTTAACATGTTGTGTTGTATTAAATAAGTTAAAGATTGAACATATTTTAACATGTTGTGTTGCATTTGAAATGATTGAGTATATTTTAACATGTTGTGGTGAGTTAAATAAGATATTTTAACATTTTGTGTTATAAGTGTATTTGATTAATTTGAACATTCTTTGACATGCTGTCTTATATTGAATAAGATTGAACATGTTTTAATATGTTGTGTTGCATTTAATAAGATCCAGCCTAATCTTAACATGTTGTGTTGTATTTCAGTTTTGCTGTGCCTGATGCTTGTAACTGTGTGTTATAGTACTAATACTGGTATGAAAGACAAGAGGAAGTGTCATAGAGGGAGTAAGTCTGTTGTAACCATAGCAACTGTAGTGTTAATTGTAGAATGTTAACATTTGGTTTTCCTTAATAGCTTTACTCTGCTAACTTTCTAGCTATCATTTTTATATGTCCAAAGACTTTTGGGGACATACTATTGTATGGCATTGTCTAATCTAATTGATAATAAAGGTATATTGATTAACAGTTATTCTGCTGGACCTGCAACAGATTCTACCCATGCAACCAGCCCAGACTATAAGTCCCTGCTGGTAGCTACAGACTCTACCCATGCAACCAGCCCAGACCAGGTCCCTGCTGGTACCCTGAGTCCCTGCTGGTAGCTACAGATTCTACCCATGCAACCAGCCCAGACAAAGTCCCTGCTGGTAGCAACAGATTCTACCATGCAACCAGCCCAGACCAAGTCCCTGCTGCTAGCTATAGATTCTACCCATGCAACCAGCTCAGATCAATTCCCTGCTGGTAGCTACAGATTCTACATATGCAACCAGCCCAGACTAATAGTCCCTACTGGTAGCTACAGACTCTACCCATGCAACCAGCTCAGACCAGGTCCCTGCTGGTAGCTACAGATTCTACATATGCAACCAGCCCAGACTAATAGTCCCTGCTGGTAGCTACAGACTCTACCCATGCAACCAGCCCAGACCAATACTCCCTGCTGGTAGCTACAGATTCTACCCATGCAACCAGCCCAGACCAGGTCCCTGCTGGTACCTGCAGATTCTACCCATGCAACCAGCCCAGCCTGAGTCCCTGCTGGTAGCTACAGATTCTGCCCATGCAATCAGCCCAGACTGAGTCCCTGCTGGTAGCAACAGATTATACCAATGCAACCAGCCCAGACCTGAATTCCTTGCTGGTAGCAAACAGATTCTACCCATGCAACCAGCCCAGACTGAGTCCTTGCTTGTAGCAACAGATTCTACCCATGCAACCAGCTCAGACCAATTCTCAGCCTACAGTGCTGGTAGCAACATATTCTACCAATGCAACCAGCCCAAACCAAGTCCCTGTTGGTAGCCACAGATTCTACCCATGCAACCAGCCCAGAGCAAATGCCTGATGGTAGCAACAGATTCTTTCTGATCATAGTCTTCACTCTTTGATACATGTTTTTAAAATTTTCCTCAAGAATAATGAATGGTTTAGCCCAGACTGAAGGCTATTAGATATTCAGCATTGTAAAGATTAAGTGATACTTTTTACTATTGAAAATTCTTTGTAAAGAAATGACAAGTTTCGGCTTGTACAAGACTGGATTGTCAAGCACTTCTTGCTGATTCTGTGTCCCTCCTCCCCCCCCCACACACCTTCCTGTTTATAATATCAACTATAAATAGGTTCTTATTGATTGGACAGACAGATGTTAACAATATATGGTTTCCCAGTTAGTTTTTAAACTTCCTTGATTGATTTATTTGTAAACACACATTTCCTCAGAAACAAGATGATCTATCATATGATATTGAATATTTTATCTGTTAACCTTATTTTCCCTGTTTATAATTTATTGTACAGACATTCTGAGCAAGGTTACAATATATTTGGACAAACAAGGAGTTTCAGTTTCATTATTACTTCCTGACATTAAATGTATTCAGGTTTTATTAATAATATTAATGTTTACTATTTCTGAATTTTGTATTATAAACTTTTTTTGCAGTAGGTTTTCCAAAAACGTGCTTGCATCATTTCAATTTAATTGTGATCTGGTTACATCTATGTTTTATGTATGCGCAGTTTTGATAACGTTTTAATCCACATCTAAGAATACACAAACAATTGATACTTATTACCATTTACTTCTGGTTTTTGTAGGAATTTTAATGCATGTTAAGCATCATTAGCCTCAGGAAATTGTCTGGTTTTCAGAATTCTGAGGTTGCGGTATTTAGAGGACATTTTACTTACATTGATCTTGAGTCCTAAATGTCCTTGATTTTCAAGGTCAAGTTTTATTTTTTGCTGTAACTGGTTATAACATTAGGAATCACTTTGTCCTGTCCTGTCCCACCCAATCTCAGGAACCGATACAGATGTTAACTTTAAACTTGGAACATCAAGGCAATATAACATTGCAATAGTCTATGTCAAGTTTGATAACTCTGAAAGTAGTTTGATGTAATTATGCCCCTTTGTAAGTTAGAATATATCCAAAAATGTACCAAAGTGACTACATGTATATCTTAATGGTTGACTAATGAATTGAATTGTCTTCATACTTGGACATGATAATCCTTTGGAATGTTCCTTCAGGGTGACCAGACTGACCTTGACCTTGAGTTGTAAATGACCTTGACATTCAAAGTCTTAACTTAACCTTATTTAATTTTCAGTTCTTTGTAGTGATTGGCAGTAAAACTTTGATATAAATGTATGGAAATTATTGATACTGGGACAAACATAACATAGCAGACTGCAAAATTTCAATGCATCTGTGTATGTCAAGTTTCATAACAGTTTTATAGAAAATATCTTAAAAATATATCACTAAAGTTGACTCATACCCAAACCCTCCACCTTAACTTTTTGAGAAATAAGTGGTATTAAGCCAAATGTGGACATGACTTATATTTCATGATTCATCTGTGTACTAATAATAATTACAATTAATTGCCATGCTTAAAGTACTTAAAAATCTGTTAACCATTATTTATATAAAAGAGAAAAAGGAGATAACTATCTCCAGTCTAAACAAGACATGCCTATAGGCAGAATGTCAAGCATGCTCGTTCTAATTCAAACCTGAACTTATAAGCTTCAAATCAAGGAGAAAGATGTATACATAGGTGAGAAGTGCGCAAAACATCCTCTTTATACCCAAGGCAAAATCTTAACATTGCATCATCTTAGGTGACCTTGACCTCTGACCTTGTTTATGTGCATGACACAATGTCTCATGATGAAAATTTGTGCTTAAAAAAACAACTCAAGTTATTTTTTTTTTAAATTCCTTCATGCACAAAGAAGTGATCGTATGGACAAATTTAGATGTATGCTCACACACACAAACACTGGACAGCCATTTCAACAACTATGTCGAGCTCAGCGCATGTGGGCTTGACAAAAAAAACTCTGACCACTAAGCATGAGCAAGATACAGTACTGACAACCTTATTTTGAAATTTGTATTTGAACTTTGACCTTTATTTTTCGCAAGACAACTCAACTCACCAAGTTATATTAAAATCCATCTATGTATGTAGATGTATATAGAAGTTATACTCACAAATGAATGTTTTAATTTGTTATTTGACCTTTGAACCTGAAGTAAGACTTTGACCTTTGCAACAGACACCTGAATTTTCCGCATGAATCTCCATCTTACTATGGAGAACATTTGTCACAAGTTAAATTAAAATCCTGCCACACATGTACAAGTTACATTCTAGACACAGGTCTTGGGCTGACCCAACCCTGAGTGTGACCTTGACCTTTCAGTGAGGACCTGGCTTTTGTATGTGACACACCACCCCATCATGGTGAACATTTGTATCAAACTATTTTTTAATCCTTCTAAGAATAAAATATTATAGACCAGAAAACTCTAAACAAATGCATGGACTGACAGACGCACATACGCAGAACTGCCAAAATTGAAAAGTGGCGACTTAGTCAACCTCACCATTAGCTGGCTCAACAATTTAAAAATCCATGAACAACTTAGCATAATACTTCAAAGCAAAAGCAAGATACAGCGCCAACAAACAAATTTTTCAATATTTTTATTTGACCTTTGACCTTTTGTAACCTTGACCTTCATTTTCAGTGAGACAACTCAACTCAACATGGAGAACATTTTTGCTAAGTAATATTAAAATGCATTTATGTCTATAAAAGTTATACTCGACAAATGAATGTTTTATTTTGTTATTTGACTTTGACACCTAATAGTGACCTTGACCACAGACCTGAATATTTCAAGCGACACTCCACTTCACTATGGAGAACATTTGTCCTGAGTTATATAATAATCTTTCCATGCATGTGGAAGTTACGCTCTGGACACAGGTTTTGCGCTGACCCCCAAGTGTGACCTTGACCTTTGAGCGGCTCACCTGGGTTTTGCATGTTACACACCACCCCATCATGGTGAACATTTGTACCAAATTATTCTGTAATCCTTTAACGAATGAGCAAGATATAGACCGGACAAATCTGGACGGACGAACGGTTTTACATACACCAAACTATATGCCAAAAGTGGCAACTAATTTAGTCAAGCTCACTGCAAGCAGGCTTGACAAAGAATAGTCTTCTGAAGTCAATTTTAATTAAAGGGACTAAATTATGTCAAACTACCTGTTAAAGTAATCAAACTTAAAATACGCAGCAATTGTAATGTTTTAGATTTTAGGGTCTCAGCAAAATAATCAAAATTTTAAATTTCATACAATTTTTCAGCTATTTCGCCAAGAGAGCCATATTTTTTGGAAGGAGAGGACATAAACCTAATTTGTAATCGAAGAAAAGGTCGAGCAAAACATTTGACCTTTGTTCGTGGTAGAAATTCTGAGGAGGTACCAAGAAAATACATAACAAAGATCAATGGAACTGCAATACAGGTATTTGTTAAAGATTTTAGAATAGAAATAAATGTTTTTTTATTGTCCCTATATAGAAATGGGCTGTGTTCGCCTGTCTGTCTGTCCATCCATCTGTCCATCACATTTCATGTGACGTCTGGTTCATAAGGTATTTTAAAAACTTGGCACCACTGTTGGTCATAATAAGAAACGTTTAATGCACAATAACCAGACCCTGACCAACAAGGTCAAGGTCACATTTGGAGGTCAGAGGTAAACATTGTCTGATGAAGGATGTATTTTGTGTCCAGTCCATCAGTTTTTTTTTATATTCATCAAAGGATTTTGAAATTACTTGGCATTAATGACCACTATGACAAGAAGACATGTCATGCACAACACCTAGATCCCCTACCTCCAAGGTCAGGGTCACACTGTTATTTTATTTGGCATTTTTTGTGTCCAGTCTATTCATTCATTCATCAGAGGATTTTAAAATAGGTTAGCACAAAAAGTCACCATTCTTAGTGATTTTATTAATCTAAATATGACCTTTTTTTGAACTTAACTACAAGGTCAAATATTGAATTCAGCTTAGACTATCATAACTTTGTTTTTTATATACGGATTTGATTTATACTTGGACAAAAGGGTGTGTGTTAATCACGTTAAAGTGTGATTTGATAAATGTTTTTTACAGCTGAAGATTCCTAATATAACAGCAGAAGATATAGATGCCTTGGAATATAACATACAATATAGATGTGTAGATAGAAGAAAACATTCCAAGTGTTTCGACAATGTTTATGTGCAGCTGGAATGTAAGTTATTATTACACATATATTATGCTGGAGTTGTTACTAATATGAATAAATATATTCTGGAATATTATGCCTCTGTAGCCATGTTGTTAAGATTACTGACTTCATATCACTTGCCTCTCAAGCTAGCTTATGGAACGTCGGTGGTTCTACTCAGGTGCCCGTTCGTGCCTGAAATAATGCAAAAAAATTATAAAAAAAAATCTCTTGCCTCTAACTATGATGGATGTGAATTCCGTTAAGGATGTTGAGTGTTCTTTCGAGTGAGGAAGCTGTCCCTCCCGATAGCTTACAGAATGTCAGTAGTTCTGTGTTGGTGCCGCCTTGTGCCTGAAATACTGCAAAAAAGATTATCGCATGTCTTTCTTTGCTAATAAAACAGTTGGTTTGAGTTTAAATACAACAAAACAAATGTAAAAATACATACACATGTTATATATGTATATATATAATTATACACACATATATGTTAACATATTCACAATTGTGGCGGAACATACACATATGCCAGAATATTCATGCATACAGTAATAAACCATACACTGTTCTAGTACACACTATACGTCATGTTTTCAACTTTTTGCTTATTATGATGCTGCTATAGTATCAAAGTGACATTTTACTCATATTTTTCCAGTGTCAAATTCACCTGCTTTAGCAATATATTTTGAAAGATTGACTTTTATAATGATCATTGATTAATAATTAATAATGAAAAATGTTCAGAATAAAATATAAAAACAGCCTTTATTATAATAAGACTGTCCCACTCTTTTTTTTAAGAAATTGAACGCTACCGATACCTTCCGAATGATATGAAATATAGAAATTTTTGTAGGTCACATTGATTATTGATTATATTTTCATAAGTTACCATGAACACAATTATGGCAAAATGTAAAGTTATGTTAGTGAGGATAGAAACTCTCTGCAGCATTTACCTCCCCTGATCCGTATGGTAAGGTAGTATTCACTGAGCAGATAGGCTTTAAAGTAGAATTGAGACTCTTCTGTGAATGAGAAAATATCAAACATATTCCTAGTCAGGTGTCTGTTCATGCCTGAAATAATGCACAAATTGTGAATCTGAAAGTTACCAGAATTATGGCCCTTGCAGTGTTTAACCTTTTCCCTGATACATCCCCCTTAATTTACTGCTTTACACCCCATAATACAGTAGCCCGATAGATAATCAATAATCAATATCCTACTGATAAGGAGTCACACACTATCTCCATATAGGGTATGATAAAATGTAGGTAAAATGGGTCAAATTAGATACCTATATACTTTAAGTGATGTCAAGCCCAATGTTTAAAAGATAAAAAAAATTAATGAACCTATTTTTCTCTAGCATAATGTTATTTTCAATAAATAATCTGCTAACAAACCTCCTTCAATAATTACTAAAAATACTTTAATATGTTCTAGGGGATTATTTTTCTGTTTCAGACCTCAAAGACCACCATTTGAAAAATTGTGGTAACATAATTTACACTCACAGTTTTCACAAAGTTTGATGTTCTTCTAGGTCAATGGAACTAATAAAAGACTACACAAGACTTCACTTCACATATAATTCTACAGTGCCCTTACTAGTACATTTGTATGTTCCAATATAAAAGTTGAATATTAAATGCACTTTTGATAAGATTTCATATTGTCATTTGATGTGTTGGTGGTCTTGCTTACATCTTTAATGTTTCGGAAATCTACATGTATCTACACCTTTAATCTGGTCACAGTGGTAATGGGCACATGTTTTTTTATACCACCAATCAATAGATAGGGTGGGTATATTGATTGTGGTCTTTCTGTCTATTTTACAAAAAAAACAAACATTTCTTTTAACTTAAACCATAACACGGAAGTCATTCCATCTAAAATTTCCAAATTTTACTGCTGCATGCACCTTGTACAGAATGAGCTCTTAGAGCCTTCACAATATTGAAAGTTTTGTCTTTTGAAATTTATTTATTTGTTCATATTTCTTTGCACATTTGACAGAATATATATTATGAAAGGAAAATAACAATTTTGTTATTCTTGTAGACTGAATCACTAGTGTTAGTATCCTGAAGATATTTTTGTTGGAGTAGAAATGGTCACAGTCTGGTGAATTGGATCAGTCTCATTGACAGGCAAATTAAGATGCTTTCTTGTCTCTTGGGATTAAAAATTTACACCATTAACACATAACATGCATGCAACCTATAAAAACAGCACACTAGTGAAATATTCCTTATTTGTAAAATGAATAGCACTGATCCCTGTCTATAATCCTTACCCCACTTATTATCTGTGATGGACTTGTCAATTTTTATATCTGGAGAAAACTCAACAATTTTAGAAAATATTTCACAGTATGCACTGACTGAATAGCAAATAGTGTATAGACCATACGATATATGCCTGTTGAATATCAAACTGTGCAGACCATGCAGTCTGTACAAAAAGTGTAGACCATGCAGTTTATGCATGCTTAATAGCAAAAAGGGGAGACCATTCAGCCCTACATTGGTTGCATTGGAAGTTAAATTGCCACATGCAAGCTACATGATTGTAAAGGGATTAATCACAGCCTTGTTTTATTTACAGATGCACTGCGTAAACCTGAAAATTTACAATGCCGGGATTATAACTTTAACAAGATGAAGTGCACATGGTCTCACGGGGTGGAGTATCACTTGCCACATGATATGAATATCACATGTGAATACAGGTTGGATAAAACAGAAGTACTGTATCATACGTAAGTTATTTTATCACATAAACCATGGCGCAGGAGTGAAATAAAGCCATGTTATAAAATTGATATTACACTAGTATTATAAAACTTTGATGTGATGTCATTAGCGTTATAAAGAAACAAAGTGTTAAAACGCGCTTATGTTAGTGTTACACTATATAGGACCTTCAATGAAAAAGGGATCTACTGAACGGTTAACAGTGGTATTTTGAATATTTGTTAAATAGAATATCATATAAGTGTACATTTAATACTAGATTTATTGAACTTATTGAATAAAACAATATTATGCTTACCAGAGGCTGACATAATATGATTTTATTTAAATTTGTTTAATATACAAATATAGTAATAAATCTACACTCATTCAATATCCCTGTACAATTAAAAAAAAATGTGTACCGCTAATTTTTTTATATTAAATAGTTTTATTTAAATTTACCTGTCAGATAAAATAAAAGAATTTTGTCCTTCAAAACTTAATTTATGGTTTGCAAATTTTCAAATTCTAAAGTATTGATTGATACTTGATATGAATGGATATTTGATAATCTAACAGTTAATAAAATGCTGTTTAAAAAAATGGTCTGATAAAAAATGCTAGATGTTATCATACACTGATTATTATAAAATGAAAAGTGAATTAAATGTTAAAAAATTAATACTTTAAAATAAGGGGATAATTGATTTATAAGTTTTATTCTTTTATGTTTTCTTTTATGTTTTTATTTATGTATGACACAGTTTTGGTGGATTTTGGATGTCATGTGAAAATCTGACATCAACTTCTTGTTATTGGGACGCAGAAAACTACCCGGCACCAGAATCAACAATAGATGTCCGAGTGTCTGTCACCAATACCATTCGCAATGTGACAAAAACAATAACTCAAACATTTTACAAGTTCGACATAGGTAAGAACAAATATTTCTTTTTATCACACACCAGGGCCACTTTTGCAACTCTGTAAAAATACTTTTGCACAGCTGTACTTATATTTTGACAGGACGTCATTTGCGTCATGCAAACATAGGGTAAAGATGTGCTAAATGCATGCGTTACACTATAGAAGTGTCAATGGAATAGAACTTCCTTTGTACCGTACACTTTGCTTATTTTGGATATGTGATAAATAGAATATCATATTTATATAGGTTCAATACTGAATTTATCTAACTTGTTGAATATAATAATCTGAATTAGCAGATGCTTGTAAACACAAGACATGGTACACATTTAATTGTATAGACTTGCATAACATTCATATATAATTATTCATATATGTTTTACTTATGCATTAAGTTGAACCAGGGCCAGTGACTAAACTCAGTTTAGACATATCAAAACCTAGATGTGTGGAACTTACATGGGAACCACCTATCAGCACCCGATCATTTGAATTTATTGTGACATACGAATCATACGAATCAAATTGCTCATCACAACAGGTTAGGTTTACCTTTTATGGAATAAGTTTTAATATGCATTAATCTTTTTATGAACTTTAACAATAGTTTGTGTTGTAATTTCAGTGGTAAAATAATCACAGGAATTTTTGTTGTGTTAGGGTATCTTTAATTGTAAATTCAAAGCATTTTATTTATTTATTCTTTAATATGGTCTTCTTTCAGATGTGACCTTTAGTGACACTGGTTTTCTTTGTCATTTAAGAGGTTTTTTGGTCTCAACTGACATACATGTACTTGTGGTTTCTATTGAGATTTGACCTGTTGTTTTTTTAGGGCCCTTGTAAAGTTTTACATGTAATCTTTGTTAAGTGTAGGCCTTAAATCGACTGTTTTTAATGGTCTTAGTTTTGGCTTAAAGTTTGCAGATTTCATTGATTTTTGTAAAGTGTTGGGCTTAGATTGACAGTATTTTATGGTCTTGTAAAGTGTTGGCATTAAATTGGCAGTTATTGTCTGTTTTTCATGATCTTTGTTAAGTGTTGACCTTAAATCGACAGTTTTTCATGGTTTTTGTTTATAATCAATCTTTAACAACATGTTTCATGTTCTTTTACTTTTGAAGTTAATAACTAAATAGCAACTTTACTTTATACTTGGTTAATTGTAGAATCTAATATATATATCAATATATTTATTTATCATTTGATTCTTTTTCAGGTGAAAAGTGTATTATATGATGGAGGAAATGAATCGTCAAAAATCAGCATGGAAATTTGTGATCTAGTACCAAAAACTGAGTACACATTTAGTGTAAAGGGGCATGTCATTAGGAAGGAAAGTAACGGAACATTTACAAGGTGGGGTCACTGGAGCAAACCAAATTTTCGGCATATCATAACAAAAGAAGATGGTTTGTACATTTTTATCACATTAAGTTTCATGAATTTTTTAAGTTATATTTTTAATACCTACATAGATAACTGTTATGGACTTACTTTAGGTACTATTAGAAACTTAATTTCACCAGAACATATAAGGCCAGTTTTTTATATGTAAATTAGCTATTAGGTATCTGACATAATTGCAGTAAGAAGTAATCTGAAATATTGCAGGACTAAACTGTTTGTACATCACAGGGTCTTCATTATTAACAGATTGGCGATTCATATCATCAATTAAAATGCTGTTAAAATTGGTTGTATGTTCAGCCTGTAGATTAAAATATTCCCTTCACATGTGGCCAAATGGGTTGTTTTTATTGCCAGATTTGTTGCCTCAACTGAAAACCCTGTTATCAGGGAAAAAATATGTGAATAGATGAGTCACTCAGTTTGTAGAGCTAAGGAAGGTATTTGAGGGTGCAACATTTTCACATGCTGTGACAACTCTATAAGCAAAGAAAGGACTGAGATGCTTTAGGGTCATTGCAAAGTTCCCTCTGTACACTTAGGACATCGAGAATGAATATTTAGAGACATTTTAATAAGATATAATGGGGTAGTATGTCATGGTACAGACCTATTCACTATTTAAGGGAGAAAATGTGTCTGTGGCTCCGTAGCTCGATCAGAAGAGCTGAGGAACATTATTCCAATGGTCGTAGATTCAGTAAGGCTACACATTTTTCTTACAATGTGACATAAAATTGCTAAATGCTTAACCCTACATTGTACCCTGTTGTCATAGTAACATACATGTATATAATTTCAGTACCTGATATAAATCCAAAAACATCACCAGGACTATATGAGTTATCAAACAGCACAAGTCAAATGTCAGACGAAGATGATTATTCTTTGCGAATATACTGGGTTGTAAGTAGTTCTATAAGACCTTGATGGTTAAGGTCAAAATTATTGAAATTTTCTTAAAAATATTCTTTGTTTTTATTTACAGATTTGATTCATACTTGGGCAAAAGAACATATATGCCAAAACAGACGTGTTGAATTACAAGTATTCTGATATGACCTTGAGCTTTAATTGACTTTGATTGTCAAAGTCGAATTATTGAAATTTGTTTGAATTGTCATAGCTTTGTTATTCATTTATGAATTTGATTCAATCTTGAACAAAGGAACACATATGACAGAATGTAACGCAATATTTATGTCAAATGTGATCTTGACCTTTGCTTGACCTTGACTGTCAAGGTCAGATATGAAATTTGTATTTTATTTGTTACAAAAAATTATGTTTTGTAGGCGTAGTTATTATCATAATATTCTTTCTCTGGTGTGTTGACTTTAGAATATAAGTAATGATTGAGTGTTACCCCCTGTCGGTTGAGTGTGGCCCCCTTCGAGGTGGTGGCTCTAGCTTATATTCTATATTTTAAATGTGTAATTATTGTTGGATTGTTTCAGCCACAAAATGAATGTCAACTACATGATTTAGCTGATCATGTGACATACACTATATCCACTAGCAATAGAAGTAAACAAGTGAATCACCCTGAGTTTATGGCAGAAATGAAAGTCCCAAAGCAAAAGGTTTTCAATGTAACCTTACAAGCAGCTAACAGTGTTGGCGTTTCATCCTCCTCAAGTGTTATTACAGTGTATCAATCATCTATGATGGGTAAGAAAGGTTTTTATTTCCTTACAATTTTTAGTTTTGGGATATTGCTTCTCAACCCTAACTCCCCTGAATTTCTGAATAAAAACTTGTCTAGCTTCTATTTTAGGAACTGTACATTATCAATCGGTAGGGATATCAAATGAAAATTAAAGTATGTCACAGATATACCAACAGGCTTACCTGTAAACTCTACAGGTAGCAAAGATAAAACAATTTTGTTTGCAGCATGTGAAGGGTTATTTTGTTTATCAAATATGTTGGTTTTGGTTTCTGCCATTAAATCATGGCCTTCTCCTATCAAAACCATGTTTCCTCGTATGACACCTAGGTCTGAGGTTACTAAGAAATTTTCTAAGCTCAAACTCAGATCACAGCTATTTGATTGGTCAGAAACTGTCGCCTAATGAACACTGGCCAATGAAAATCCTAAGATCTGAGGGAGAACTGAGAAAAAAGCATTATAACCTCATGTAAGTTTTGGTTAGTTCAAGAAAGCATGCTGAGTAGAGATTTAAATAAAGTTTTAACAATTAACTTGTTTCAAAGCCCAACAAATAATTATATGTTTAAACTGTGTTTACAATATGTTTATTTTTAGGTTTGCATGGATCAAAGCTCATAATTCAGTATAATAAAACAAGTGAAAATTGTGTGACATATGCTGATATAGAGATTGTGGAAACAAGTACCGACTTTACCGACTTACACCATACTTTGGTCTGGTGTGAAGGAAAACATATTTGTGACTTCAAACTTTCGGTAATTATTGTAACCAAATTTTCAAGGTAACCAAGGTTAAATTCAAGGATGTAAGATGGTAGGTCAGTTTTGTGGTTTCAAGATGATAACTCTTTAATGAGGGAATGGACTTTAATCATAATGTACACATATGTAACATCATAAAATGCAGGTCAAGTTTGAATATGGCTTTAGAGTACTAAATTTACACATAATTGAAGGTTGGATTATGAATTATCTTCAGAATAGATCTGTTGTTTTTTTTTTCTAGGTAAAAGAAATCTTTTGAGTGAGAAAGCAAGTGACATTTAATTTTCTGTCTTTAATTTATTTGAAATAATGATAAAACTAATAAAATTATTGTAATTGTTATAATTTCAGAAAGCAGTACTTAAAAATAAAACATCGTTTGTGTTTCCTGGTGACTTATGCAAGATTGACTATCGCTATGGTTTAGTAACCCATGGTTACCATAGGGGTCTAGGTCAATATGTGAATACTGGAATTCAATGGGAAACATGCACTTATCAGTCTGGAAATGGTGATTATAGCTGTTTGTATATTAAAGATTAAAATTGTGAATATACTCCAGTGAAAAGGGAGAATTTGAAAAGAATTTCAAGAGTGAGATATGTTTAATAGTTACTCCAAACAAAATTTTTTTTAAATCCCCTTCAGTCTGTCTCTTCGTAACACTTTCGTGTCCGCTCCATAACTTTTAAACCGCAGAACATTTTAATGCCCCTGAAGGGCGGCATATTAAAATCACTCCGTTCGTCTGTCTGTCTTGTGTCTCCACTTCATTTGTGTCTGGACTGTAACTTTGTCATACATTAAGGATTTTGAAATAGCTTGGCACAAATGTCTACCACATCAAGATGATATGTTGCGGCTAATGCTTATGTCCATCTGTCTGTCCATGTGTCCCCACTTACACAACAAACATTGAGTGATTTTGAAATAACTTTGCACAAATGTTTATCATATGACAATGTTGTGTCGCATCCAAGAACCATGTCCCTTCTTCAAAGGCCAAGGTCACAGTTATATTTTGAAGGTTCAAGCTATCACAATTAGAGATGATAGGTACACACATTTGTATCTGGAGTATAACTTTGTCATGCATTTAAAAAAATTTAAATTACTTGGCACAGATATCTACCTTACTAAGATCATGTGTTGTGTGTAAGACCCATGTTCCTACCTCCAAGGTCAAGGTCACTCTAATAGTTTGAAGGTACTTATGCTCATAAGAAGAGTTTGAAAGTACACATTAGTTTCCAAACTGTAACATTGACATGCATTGAAGGATTTTAAAATAACTTGGCATAAATGTATACCACATCAAGATGGTGTGTCACATCCAAGGCCCTTGTCCCAAGGTGTTAGGTTTGCTATCTATAGCACTTCATCTCACAAGCACAATATCAAGCAATTAGTTATTTTCATTCTGTTCTTTTCCTTTTCATAATACCTGCATGCTAAAAAAAAGTTTACAGTGGCATTTGTCACTTGCGTGACAGCTTTTGTTGTCTTATTTATTTGGTCAAATTTTATGTTTATTTAAAAGAAGTACAATTTTTTAAAGGCACACTGATGCAATTTTTGTAATACAGAATTTTGGTTGGATTTAAATAATCAGTTCATTATGTAATCATGTATTAATACTATTAATGTATTCTACATCATTTTATACAATGTAACATGATTGTTTTTGTCTGCACTGCCGGGTATATATCTGCTAATACAGAGCATACTGGTTTCAGGGCACCAACATAAGGCCTGAGGATTATAAACATCTTCCAGTACTACTTCACTGTCTTTACAGTCACCTCTTACTTTCAGAATGCGATTTTTTTCATATTCACTCACAAAGAGGGATCCATCATCCAGCAGTGTAATGCCCCTTGGTTGCCTAATCCCACCATGCCTGCCTATCATCTCTCCCTGCCAGGATAAACATATAACTTTGCCCTTGTCGTTATCGCATACATATATTGATTGGCTGTTTGTGCAGACATAATCAGGTCGTCTTAAAATATCGTCACCATTGGAATCTTTTTCAACCTTTATGAGAACATTACCTTTTAAGTCCATAATAAGGAGTTTACCAGGTGTTATGCATGTTACTGCAAGTTTTCTCTGATGATGACTGATACCATAACAATTTCCATCCACTTGAAGTTTGTGTTTCAGTGTAAGTGTGTGAGAGGCGAAGGAAATATACTGTATTGTTTTGATAGTGGTAAAAGCAAGTGTACCGCTGTTGATTAATGTGATATCATGAGGGCCCGATTCAAGTTGTAGTTGTTGAATGACTTCTCCACTTGTCTTGTTTATCATTTTAATTGATTTGTTGTTGTAATCAGCTACAATTATTTGGTTTTTAGGAGAAACGGCTATCCCAGTGATCATACAATTACTTTCATATAAAGATGCTTTTACATTGATATTTGTCGGGGTCGGCACTTTCGTTGCAAGCGCAACTTTTTTGGTTGATTTCGCTTGCTGTTTGTGACGTTTACTTATCAAAGTTCCCAGTGATATCTCATCCTGTAGGAATGTTTTAAAAGCTTGATTGGGTTTAAAGGTATAATCATCAACAGCATTGACTTCTGATAATTTAGATATTCTTTTATCACTATCTGAAATCAGTTGCTGGGATAGTTTAAGTTCAATGAAAACTTGGTCAGCTTTCTTGGTGTTATTGAGCTGTTTTAGTTTATCAGCACATGCTTGAAGAGATTTGTTGATGTCTGCACATGTAATTTCTGTTGTTTTCAACTTTTGGTTGTTGTCATGTTTGATTGTTGTTGCAATGTTTTTAGCCTCCTTTTCTAGAACATCTAATCTTTTGTTTATCTCTTTTCGAAATTTTTCTATTTCAGCTTCAACATCTTTAAGTGAAGTTGTTGATTCAGCTACTCTTTGTTTTAGATCTTTTGTAACCTTGCAGCATTTTTCTTTCAATTTGTCCAGTACTTTCTGAGTATTGTAAAACTCCATGCTGTCTAAAGCCTGTCCTGATATATCAGGTATGTAGTCCACATGGCAGGAGGATAATGGGTGTTGAACGGCAACACATGTACTGCAAATAAGTGCATTATGATCATGACAATACAGCATGATCACTTCTTTTGTGTGTTAAGAACACGGCGTTGTTAGACTATCAGCCTGTTTAGTAGGAGAAGATTGTGATGCAACCTGAAGGTTTTGTTTCACGGGCATGTGCTCTTTGTCAAGAAGCTGATGATGCTGTGATGGTTTAGGTTTCCTGTGGGTGACGAAACATGCTTGGCATAAATGCTCCTTACAGTCCACACAGTATCCAAAGGCAGGTTGTCTGACATCAGCTCTGTCACATGGCTGACAGTAATCTTCATAATCTTCATCAGAAGCCATAGACTGGCTTGTTGTTAATTTCTGAGATACCCTTTTTCCGGGCACAGCCATAATTAACCTGAAATGTTCAAATAATTTGTAATATAAAGCATTATATAATTTGAGGCTCACATACCCTGATAATCAGCTTCTTGTCAGATGATATTAAGTGGATGTGGGAATGCATAGATCCCTGACCTGTCCAGTTCTTATAATCAGATTAGTGGATACAATAAGAAATTTCAACACAACATATTTGTTAACAAAAGAGCACATGTTTATGAATGTTTGTGGGTAAATCTATTGTTATTTTGTTATTCAAATGAAAGGTAAGAGTAAGCATCTATAGAGATTTGTCCTTCTCCATATGTGTCTGCTTTTCCATGTTGTGTCACATGTAGCTCTAAAAGTACTTGAGCTGGTGTCAACAAACTTTACAGGAATCTTGATCAGCATAATTATGTAGTTGTGCATCTGCGTTTTCGCGTTTTGATTGATTATGTTTTGTTAGAGATATTGCCATTTTCAACTTATATCATGCATAGCCCAAATAGTATTTGACCAAGAGTCATGAAACTTTACAGAAATGTAATGACAAAACCTGCAGAGATTAATGATGAAATATACACAGAATTAAATTTGAAATTTGGATATCTGCTTTTTTGTATTTGATTCTTAGTCTGATTTTAAATTTGAATGTTATTTTTTTGTATTTGATTCCTAATAATCTTTCTGTGAAAACTATTGGAAGGCTTTTCATTTTTTGGTCATTTTGTGCACAAAAAAAGATTATTCTGGAAAAATGGGGTGAGAGAATGATCTGAAAATTTGCACACAAGTTATTGGTCTAGACCTTTATCAAGATGTACACAAATATTAATATTGGAAATATATTTCCAGTCCTGTCATGTCAAAAAAAACCACAGTTGAGTCCCTTTAAAGGTAAAATTAATACAAGAGATTAGTATCATGTGTTTTTGGAAAGGAAAATTGTTTCTTCTTTATCATTTTGTTCTAGTTTTATCATACTTTGAAAGTTAGCTTGCTAACTTTCTCCACTTAAATATTTTGGTATCATATTCTAATATCATGAAGTCAGGCTAAATGAAATTTATTCGATAGTTTTCATTTCTCCATATTATGTCTATGAATTATGTTTTTATAGCAAAGGCCTTTAAATCAGCATGCTTCCAGGTTCATGCTAGTTTTCATGAAAATTTTGAAGATGTATTTAAATGTAAAATATTTTAAAATGAACCAAGAAAGGACTTGACTCATATTGCAAATGGCACTTACAATCTATGTAAATGATAAATAGAGGTTAAAATATGCAAAAATGACCATTTTTATGTAAGCCAGTGATAAATACTGCAAGGTCAGTTATTACATGTGTATTTGAATCTTTTTACTTTCTTAAAATCTTAGAACATTTTTTCTCAAGTTTAATTTTCTTGAAATAGTTTGGCCCATCTGGAGGCATGCAGCTTTAATTTATCACTTTTTGAACTACCTTTATGAATATGAAAAATTTAAAGATCCTATATCAAAAAAATATATTAAATACATATAATACTTAAATAAATGTGAAATAAGAAGAAAAAATACATAAAAATAACTTACTGTCCTGCTGAATATCTAGAACATAATAGAGTTTATTGTTGGATAAACAAATTCCCTAACAACTGTGCGTGTACATGTATATTGTAGCTGATCAAAGTTACGGTAGAGTTAATTTAAATGTTAAGGTTGTGCATAATTAATTTATTGCAGTAGGTATTTTGAAAATCGATACATCAAGAGTATAAACAATTGTAATGTGATAGAACATATTTAGATTGATAAAATGTCATTTTGAGTTCTTTCAAATTTTGGTTAATATAAACCTTTGTTTTAAGGCAATCTTATTAAACCATTGGCTGTCTGATTGTCTGTCTGTTTAAAGTCTGTCTGTTTAAAGTTAGCAATAACATGTCTACTTTATATCTTTGCTTGATTGTATATTGCTGGCTTTATTTCGAGGTTAAAATGCCAAAATTTTAAATTCCTAATTTCAAGGTCACAAATCAAAATTTTAACCAATAAAATTACATTTTCATAATCGTTTAAAATTTCTTTCTTTTCAAAAATGGTATTATATATTTTTTGATAATCTTTCAAAGTCGTTTGACACAAATTGCCTTAGCCACTCTGGGCCACCACAGCTGAAATGACAGATTTTTCAAAAATACTTTTTATTAACTTTTATGCTGTTGTAGTCATGAAACTTAGTTGTGAGCACCCCTGAAGGAATCTTTGTCCATATTGTTTAAATAAGATTTTTTTTATGTAATATAAAGTTTTTGAAAAGATAATTCTCCTCATACACAAATAATTACTATCAAGGCCATGGTTTGTTAAAAGTCAAGGAGTACACATTCATGTCCACTGCAGAAGGGAATTAAGCTGTCCTTCAGACTGACCTTGTTATATCTTATAAGAGATATTCTATACTGTTTTATTTAATTTGGTATGACATGATCAAAACTGATGCCAAATGCTGCTTGTCTATATAATGTCCTGATGATCCTTGTATATTATGTTTCCTATAATTTGCAATAAAGCTGACAGATATGCCTATTGGGTATCAGTGGCCATGTTTCTTAGGCTAGCGTCAAGTGCCTTAAATTGACGTGAATGTGAATCTTCAAGCCAAAGTCTTATTCACAAAGAAAATGGGACTAATGAGTAGGTTATGGTGGGTACCAGATAATAGTGCTTTTTACTTATGTTTGTAGAGTTTATTATAGGGAAAGAATGAATCCCCCCCACTGACTTATGCCCATGACATGCCGGCATTTACATGTTTTTTTACGCCAGAGCAAAGTGCCTTAAATTTCTTGAAACCTACTCTTCCAAGCTATGTAAAACTGGACACAAACATTATACATACATGCACATATACTTTCAAAGTGAGCGATATAATTTATATCTCATTGATATTTAAGTTTTTGTGCAACTAGTATCGATATCTTTCTATTATAAAAAGGTTATTTACGTTTATTCTTCGTTTCAGTGCCAGACAAACCATTGCAGAATTTTAAAGTTGGATCGCAGAGAGAAAAGGAATTTGTGGTCGAATGGACACCTGATGATTGTAAAGTGACAGAAGCTTATATCTTAGAGTACATGATCTCTTTCTGTAAAACTGATAGAAAAGACAGATGTGATTGTGAGTACAATATTAGCATTATAAGCATATAAAATTTATTGTTAGCTTGACCATTTGGCTCCCAACACTTAACCCTCTAAAGTATATGTTAGTGATAGATATATTCCTCTGCCAACAAGTTGTACAGCCTGACTAGGTGCCATACCATATAAACTATTTAGTTTTAGTTTATTTTTTCAACCTTTTACACTTGCCATGCTTTATCTTGAATAGATTTGCCTTTTTGGTAATCTTGAAAAAATTATTCATTAATTTTTAGGGAAAACTTTGAAAAATATGTACTAAAAGAGTAGCGAACAGTCTTGATCAGATATTATGTACCTTGCACTGTTCTTATGTAAACTGGTACATGAATATGATTTTCTTATGTAAATTGATATATGGTTTTGTTGTGTAAATTTAATCATGATTTTTTCTCATGTAAATTGATGATTATTTTATTCAAACAGGTAAATATGAGAATAGATATGTGTCACGAGAAACCAGAAGTTACAAAGTAACAGAGTTACAGGCTGGTTCCCATTATTGTGTGCAGGTGAGAGCTGTCAGTAAAGCTGGATTGGGACCAGTCAATTCATCCACTGTACTAATAGAAACCGGTGAGAAATGCTATTTATATTGTCTCCTTTCAGGGGAGAGGTTATTAATATGTGTATATCAAAGTTAGAATTCAAAACAAAATATTTTACCATTATTATGGAAAAGAGATTTACATATACATTGTATGTACATGTACGTCACACTTGACTTGTTTTTCAATCCATGAAATTTGAACAATTTGGAAATAAAATTTTGATTAAATTTATATTATTATGACTTAAAATATTTAACACCCTCGAGCTCAGCTATTAGAGGATTATTGGTAATATCCTTGGAACCTTGAACTTGGATTTATAAATTTTCTAATAAATGCCCCTATGTGGCACATATTTTCTGAAGGGGGTGGGGGGGCATTTATTAAATCACAAAAAAATATATATAAATCATCCAAATAAAACGAATGTTTACTATTTTTGTGTAACTTTCCACCTGATTATGTATACTGAAAAAACAAGCTGTGTTAAAATTTATGCTTATTTCCTTGGACGTTTAATAAACTGCTATTTAAATGGCATTTATTAGGCGAGGGGCATTTATTATAGATTATGTGGTGTTTCATTAATCCCTTATGGTATCTTCTTTCAAATTTAAACATGTTTATAAGGACATAAAAAGGTGTTATTGTAGATTGCTTTCCCGGACCTTTAACTGGCTGGATTGTATACCTCTCTGAACTATTAAAACTAACATATCTGCATTTTCTGGTTCAATGATTTTTGTCAGAGTAATGGTCTTTTAATGATTTTTATATTGAAAGTTTTTTTGGACTACTCCTCTTATACCACAAATGCAGTTTCAATGAACTTTTACAGGATTGATCTGTAGCTCAAGTAGTTGCGCATATTACACGGGTTTCAATTTCAACGGTTCGAATGAGGCTAAACATGTGATCACTGATGGCCCTTGTGTAATTTGCTGGGTTTTTTATATGATTTTTTCAGGTGATCCAGATTTTGCAGTTATAGGTGGTTGTATGGCTGGTGTTTGTTTCGTTTTGGCTTTAATTTTCATCATCATTTTCAGGTATTGTATACATTAAAGCACATCTTTTCTTATATAATCTTAAAGATTTATGCCTCCAAATGAGTTTTAAAAATAAATTTAAACTTAAAATAATGTGTTAACATATACCACTACAGCTTGACAGTGCACAACTTCTTTCACAGTGTATAAATTACTTTCATAGTTCATTTGACAATGATTTCCTTTTTAATACATTTTAAAAAAATTCATGAAAATCAACAGGAATCTGGAGGCATGCTGCTTTAATAATTTAAATATTAGGTTAGAAATTCAATGTCAGAAATTCCCTGAATTTATATTAAAATTTTTTTAACAATTATGTCTCATGAATACTTTTAATATATTTACTTTGATTGTATAATATCATTTTTAGGTTTCGCAAATGGTTTAAGGATGCTATCACAAAATTAAGTGTCAAAGTACCAGAGGTTTGTGCTTTACTTTACCTTGCAAACAGATATCAGTGTTTTTATATATATTTTCTTTGAAAATATTCCTTAGAGTAATAGATGTACACTAATACTTTATCAAAGTACTAAAAATACCAATGGAAAGATCATTTATTAATGAATGTAGTTTATAATTCTGGCTTGAAGATCATTTTCTGTTGGAGGGAAAAAACATTCCAAAAAAGCATCTATACTTTCGCCTTGTCCACGCAATGACTATGTCAAGCTTATTAATGTAACTGTACTGACCAGGGGACTTAACTATTGTGAATATTTTATATTCTAGCTAGATAAGGATTAATTCCTCTAAAAAACAAATATTACAAATACAGTTTAATTGTTTTTATCAAACACACAAAAATGTTTTCAAAGAAAGTAATTACTTAGTACTTATGGTTTAAAATCACCTGGTTATGACTTACTTAAAATACATCAAACTGTTTTACTACATATACACATGGTAATTTTTGTTATGGGGGGATATGCAAGAAGAAACTAAGACATTATGTAAGAAGTTAGGAGAATACTGTTTGGGGTCTAATTTGAAGAGAAATTAAGACAAAGTGCTATCTTTGATAAACAGAAAGAGTCGATTGAGTGTATAACTTGTCAATGAGGGCTGGTTTTCCTCACAACACATAAATGTTGTTTTTCTGTCAATACATTGTGTAGGTCATGTGATTAAACAGTTTCATGGCAGCATTGTTGTTGCCGTTGTTGTCCCCTAAACCAGTTAAAGTGCTCTGTTTGATGGTTTAAATAAAAATGTTGTTTTTCTGTCCATTCATCATATCAGTTATGTGATTGAAGAGTTTTTAAATGTATAATGATTAACATAATAACTATAGAAACATATCAGTGATGATTTTTTGGGCAAAGCGAAATTTATCCATGACAATTGATCTCAGACATTGAGTCTTCTGGTCATTAAAGTGATATTATGCTCATCTAAGGGTATATAGTGAGTGAATAGGTGAAAGTCAAAATAAGTTTTCCATTTTGCCATAATTCCTTTTAATTTAATAATTGACTGCATAAATGATTAAAAACTCACTTGGCCCAAGGAAATTTCTGTAGATATCCATGGGAATTCAACTGTTACATTTAGTTTATAAAAAGGGTCTTAAATGTTTTATGAAGATTTAGATTTTATCATAAAAATTGTCCAATATCAACTGTTGATCAGTCAACATTTAAACAGTCAATTTTTTGCAATATATAGTCAATTCAACTCAATATGACAATGAAAAATTGAGCATAATGTCACTTTATTACCTGCCACTCACTGCTGATTCAGAAATCATGAAAGATTGGTAGTTGGATACATGTGCAGAAATTGTCAATAATATTATCTGGGAAAGCCAGCTTGGTGGATCATCCGCAAAGATATGACCAAGAGTAATATAAACTGACAACTTAGACAAAGTTTTGGTCTTTCTTGATATCGAATGGGAAAGAAAAACTTTGGTCTTTCTTGATATCTAATGGGAAAGAAAAACAACTAAAGGCCCTTTTAAGAAATAAGGGATCATGGTTTATTTGTTTTCTTGATGGTTTTTCATATCTATTCAACCATCTGTTAACCCATTGCTTCATGAGCATTTTGTGAAAAATGGCTGTTTTCATTGAAAAGTCTCCCGTTACAAGTTCAAATTGCTATAATACTATAAAAACTGCTCCAACACTAATCAAACTTGGCACAAATGTTGACTGGACCATTGCCCTTGCAACAACATGCTCAGGCTTAAATTTTCTGTTACCATGGCAACGAGGGGACATCTCAAAATTGCCAAAAATCACTATTTTGCGTTGATTTTTTCCATCAAAATTGATTTCAAAGTGCTGCAACTTCTCAATGGATTGAGATAGAGTCAAATGCTTTTCAGCGTTGGTTACAAGTTACCTTATGATCAATCTGGGGTCATTTACAGCCTCTCACAAGTCCAAAATTTTCTTGGCGATGAGGGGGACTCCGCCCCCCTTCAAACCCCCCCAAACAGAAGGGGGCACATCCCCCTTCTGGCAACCCCCTGATGTATCTTTTGGTTGGGGGGCCGCGCCAAAAAAGAGGTCACTTTTTTTAACAACATTTCTCAAATAAAAACAAGTGTTTGGGGCCTAAATAAGGCATTTTTTCATCATTTGAGACAACAAAAAGGGGGGGGGGGTGAAAAAGGCGTTAAAAGGCGTGTATATGAAGTAATGGGTTAACAGAAAATGATGAAAATACTTGAAATTACCCTTAATCGCGTTTTTTTCATGTTTAAACATGGTCTGTCATATAAATTTGAAGAAAAATTGTTGTTTTGTAGATTTTTTTATTTTTTTCATTAACCCATTACTTCATGAGCATTTTGTGAAAAATGGCTGTTTTCATTGAAAAGTCTCCCGTTACAAGTTCAAATTGCTATAATACTATAAAAACTGCTCCAACACTAATCAAACTTGGCACAAATGTTGACTGGACCATTGCCCTTGCAACAACATGCTCAGGCTTAAATTTTCTGTTACCATGGCAACGAGGGGACATCTCAAAATTGCCAAAAATCACTATTTTGCGTTGATTTTTTCCATCAAAATTGATTTCAAAGTGCTGCAACTTCTCAATGGATTGAGATAGAGTCAAATGCTTTTCAGCGTTGGTTACAAGTTACCTTATGATCAATCTGGGGTCATTTACAGCCTCTCACAAGTCCAAAATTTTCTTGGCGATGAGGGGGACTCCGCCCCCCTTCAAACCCCCCAAACAGAAGGGGGCACATCCCCCTTCTGGCAACCCCCTGATGTATCTTTTGGTTGGGGGGCCGCGCCGAAAAAGAGGTCACTTTTTTTAACAACATTTCTCAAACAAAAACAAGTGTTTGGGGCCTAAATAAGGCATTTTTTCATCATTTGAGACAACAAAAAGGGGGGGGGGGTGAAAAAGGCGTTAAAAGGCGTGTATATGAAGTAATGGGTTAACAGAAAATGATGAAAATACTTGAAATTACCCTAAATCGCGTTTTTTTCATGTTTAAACATGGTCTGTCATATAAATTTGAAGAAAAATTGTTGTTTTGTAGATTTTTTTTATTTTTTTCATTAACCCATTGCTTCATGAGCATTTTGTGAAAAATGGCTGTTTTCATTGAAAAGTCTCCCGTTACAAGTTCAAATTGCTATAATACTATAAAAACTGCTCCAACACTAATCAAACTTGGCACAAATGTTGACTGGACCATTGCCCTTGCAACAACATGCTCAGGCTTAAATTTTCTGTTACCATGGCAACGAGGGGACATCTCAAAATTGCCAAAAATCACTATTTTGCGTTGATTTTTTCCATCAAAATTGATTTCAAAGTGCTGCAACTTCTCAATGGATTGAGATAGAGTCAAATGCTTTTCAGCGTTGGTTACAAGTTACCTTATGATCAATCTGGGGTCATTTACAGCCTCTCACAAGTCCAAAATTTTCTTGGCGATGAGGGGGACTCCGCCACCCTTCAAACCCCCCCAAACAGAAGGGGGCACATTCCCCTTCTGGCAACCCCCTGATGTATCTTTTGGTTGGGGGGCCGCGCCAAGAAAGAGGTCACTTTTTTTAACAACATTTCTCAAACAAAAACAAGTGTTTGGGGCCTAAATAAGGCATTTTTTCATCATTTGAGACAACAAAAAGGGGGGGGGTGAAAAAGGCGTTAAAAGGCGTGTATATGAAGTAATGGGTTAACAGAAAATGATGAAAATACTTGAAATTACCCTTAATCGCGTTTTTTTCATGTTTAAACATGGTCTGTCATATAAATTTGAAGAAAAATTGTTGTTTTGTAGATTTTTTTATTTTTTTCATTAACCCATTGCTTCATGAGCATTTTGTGAAAAATGGCTGTTTTCATTGAAAAGTCTCCCGTTACAAGTTCAAATTGCTATAATACTATAAAAACTGCTCCAACACTAATCAAACTTGGCACAAATGTTGACTGGACCATTGCCCTTGCAACAACATGCTCAGGCTTAAATTTTCTGTTACCATGGCAACGAGGGGACATCTCAAAATTGCCAAAAATCACTATTTTGCGTTGATTTTTTCCATCAAAATTGATTTCAAAGTGCTGCAACTTCTCAATGGATTGAGATAGAGTCAAATGCTTTTCAGCGTTGGTTACAAGTTACCTTATGATCAATCTGGGGTCATTTACAGCCTCTCACAAGTCCAAAATTTTCTTGGCGATGAGGGGGACTCCGCCACCCTTCAAACCCCCCCAAACAGAAGGGGGCACATCCCCCTTCTGGCAACCCCCTGATGTATCTTTTGGTTGGGGGGCCGCGCCGAAAAAGAGGTCACTTTTTTTAACAACATTTCTCAAACAAAAACAAGTGTTTGGGGCCTAAATAAGGCATTTTTTCATCATTTGAGACAACAAAAAGGGGGGGGGGGTGAAAAAGGCGTTAAAAGGCGTGTATATGAAGTAATGGGTTAACAGAAAATGATGAAAATACTTGAAATTACCCTTAATCGCGTTTTTTTCATGTTTAAACATGGTCTGTCATATAAATTTGAAGAAAAATTGTTGTTTTGTAGATTTTTTTATTTTTTTCATTAACCCATTGCTTCATGAGCATTTTGTGAAAAATGGCTGTTTTCATTGAAAAGTCTCCCGTTACAAGTTCAAATTGCTATAATACTATAAAAATTGCTCCAACACTAATCAAACTTGGCACAAATGTTGACTGGACCATTGCCCTTGCAACAACATGCTCAGGCTTAAATTTTCTGTTACCATGGCAACGAGGGGACATCTCAAAATTGCCAAAAATCACTATTTTGCGTTGATTTTTTCCATCAAAATTGATTTCAAAGTGCTGCAACTTCTCAATGGATTGAGATAGAGTCAAATGCTTTTCAGCGTTGGTTACAAGTTACCTTATGATCAATCTGGGGTCATTTACAGCCTCTCACAAGTCCAAAATTTTCTTGGCGATGAGGGGGACTCCGCCCCCCTTCAAACCCCCCCAAACAGAAGGGGGCACATCCCCCTTCTGGCAACCCCCTGATGTATCTTTTGGTTGGGGGGCCGCGCCAAAAAAGAGGTCACTTTTTTTAACAACATTTCTCAAACAAAAACAAGTGTTTGGGGCCTAAATAAGGCATTTTTTCATCATTTGAGACAACAACAGGATACCAGGAAGAAAGTGTACCTGAACAAATCTCGGAATCATCACCTATGTTGTCATCTGCAGATAGTGGTGAAGAATCTCTTAGAAAAGTTCAGAAACTACAGACACCTGAATCTCATGTTGGGTATAATGTTAGTGCAATTAATGAGAAACACTACAGTGCCAATTTATCAAACAATGCCAATAAACATGAAATCATTAATATCGAAGAGGATGGAGTGTTTGATGAAGATTTACAAGATGTAAGGGACAATGAAGACATGGAAATGCTGTGTATGTCATTAAAACATAACAACCATCAGACTACAGATAATTCTGTATCAGCTGGATCTGATGAGATAAGTTTAAATGAATTTATTGAACAGAGAGAAGGTTCGGGAGAGATTTATCAAGAACTCCATAGTGGTTCAACAGTATCTGATGAAAGTGACATGGAAGACATTGAAACAGAACTTAATGAAAATCTTTCCCCTGAAAAAGAAATTAATAGTCTAGAATTACCTCAATCAAATAAAACTAATATAGACACGGAAATGTCTGACAATAGTGATGATTTAGCTCAAAATGGAACTTGTCAGTCACCTGTGATACAAAAATGTGCAATAAATGATCAGAAAGACTTTGAACAAAGCAATACCGCAAATGGTATACTTGAATCAAAGTTTAGTCAATCCTATTTTACCTCTTTCCTTGACACTGATTCGGATGTAGAGTGTATCGAGGATATTGAGGTTGATACTGTTGACAATATAGGTGGGTATAAGGGAACAGACGATGTAGGGGTGGAGGTGAGTGAAAGTGAATGTGAAAGAGAGTCAGATGAGGACTCTGAAATAGATATTGGATATGATATGGGAGGGTACAAAAAATCAGAAGAAGTAGAGGGAATGAGTGAGCACTCAAGTGAGGAGGAACTGGAAAATGATAATGTTATAGAAGAAGCTGCTAGTCATAATAAACCTACTGATTCTGTAGAAATATCTGAAGCTCCTGATAAGAAAGACGACTTACTTGTGAACAAAAATGGTATTGTTAGGAATGGCTTTATTCCCAAGTTATCTGATACAGATAAGATTAGAAACAATAGCTTGAGTGGTAGTGATAACTCTCTAGCCAGTACTGCAGGCAGTAGTCATGGCAACAGTTCTAGTGCAGTTAGTTATGTTAAAGCTGGAGCTGGTGATGAATTGAATGTAAAGGAAGATGACGAAAGTGAAGTTCGAGATTTGAAAAGTTTAAAAGTCAATCTTAAAAACCATACTGAGAATGATCGGAAAAAGACCGAATTGATAAGTGACATTCCTGCACTAGAAAACTGAGTAACAAATTGTTTGCTAAAAAATTTTTTATTCATATTTTGAATTAAATTTCATTCCATGGTTACTTCATTCCTACCATTTTCCATCTTCTGATTATAAGTCATTCCAGATCAGATATGTTTAAATTAGGTACATGTACTACCTAATGAACAGATTTTGGATTACAATTTAATTGAGATACAAATGGATCTGTCTATGAAGTTTTATATTTTATATTATTTAGTATGAGTTTTAAGAGGAACAAATTTTTTGTGGAACAAAATACAAAATGATTGTATTACTTTCTTTTTTCCTATGACTAACAATCTTAAGTAACTTAAACCCATTGCACTAATTGTTCATTTATTAGAGATATTATATCATTTACAATATTTATTTATATTTTCTCTGTATTAGATCTGTTTTTAAAATTTTGAAAAATGTTTGAAAACATAAAATTGCTGCCTATGCAAAAAAATAATTAGGCCAGTGACCAGTTTTTAGGAAGATTTAATGCATAACTGCTCCTAAACTGGGCCAATTACTATATTACCTATTTATTTTCCACTGGTCACAATATCATCTGAAGCGCCATGTAGTCAAGTAAAAGATTTGTATGTGTATGTATTCTAGGCTTAATGAGGGTCCATTTGCCCTTTCAGGCACTAAGAGTATGGACCTTAGACATGTCATCATTCATGTCCTCAAGTAAAGGATTAAATTCAAATCGGCTATTTAACACTAGCCTTAATATATATTTCAACTAATCAAATTTGCTGTTACAAGAAGAAAGTAAATTTATTTTACGATACAGAGATCATTATTTAATAGTGTAAAATAACAGAGGTTTATGTAAATGTTGAAAGATCTGCTCACCATATTGTTTTTTATAATTGTTCATTATGCATTATAAATAGGGTTCTTTTGTTTTTTTTCCAAAAGGCCCATGAAGTTTCATAAATGCTTAAATTTTTGTGCCCCCACTATAGGGGGCGGGGAGCATTTACATTTACCCTTGTCCATCCATCCGTCCGTCCGTTCTATTTTTATGTCGCATGTAGCTCAAAAAGTAATTGACCTAGAGTCATGAAACCTTACAAGAATGATGCTCAGCATGTGTTGTTGTGCACCCGGGTATTTTCGTGTGGATACTTTTAGTTTTTTTGGAGTTATTGCCCTTGACTTAGTAAAAATTTGCAATATTCAACTTGTGTCGCACGTAACTCAAAAAATATTTGACCTAGAGTCATGTGTAGTTGTGCACCTGGGTATTTTTGTGTGGATATATTTAGTATTTTTAGAGTTATTGCCCCTTGATTTAGTAAAAATTTCCAATTTTCAACTTGTGTTGCATGTAACTAAAAAAGTATTTGACCTAGAGTCATGAAACTTTACAGGGATGTTGCTCAGCATGTAAAGTTGTGCATTTGGGTATTTTCGTGTGGATATTTTTAGAGTTATTGCCCTTGACTCAGTAAAAATTTACAATATTCAACTTGTGTTGCACGTAATTCAAAAAGTATTTGACCTGTAGACCTGAAAGTTTACGAGAATGTTGGTTAGCATGTGTACTTATGCACCTTGAGGTTTTCTTGTGGATTTATTCAGTATTTGTAGTATTTGCCCTTTACTTAATAAAAGATTTTTAGTTTTCAACTTGGGCACATGTAGCCAAAAAAAAAAAATTTGACCTAAAGACATAAGATTGACAAATCGGAGGAGTGTGGGGGCACCCATGTCCTATGGACACATTTCTAGTTAATCTTCAAATGCTTTTCATTTCTGATGTCCTTTTACAGTTTCTAAAATGTTACTAATTTGCCATTTATTTGAATGATCTTTTTTTTCTTTTGTGCTCTCAACTGGCAATTAATACAGTTATGTTTATTTAGCATTTTATATGGAAATAAAAATATTACTTTGTTTACATTTTGCTCACTTTATCACAAATTTTTTCACATTCACCACTTTATGTTATCACTCCAGATCAGGGCAGTATGTTTATATATATAAGCCACATTGAATTTACCAGAGAACAGTTTACCACTGTACTAGTTACCTTCACTTTCACAAAGAATCTATAACTTCTGTATATGCCAGAGCAGAGGTACAGTGTGAATGACCATAGAAAAGATTTCATGATCTATTACATTAAAATTGACCTGTACGTCCTGGAATCTAACACTTTACCTATTTTGAGCTAACCAGACGGTTCCAAGATACAGTTTACACTTTCTACAAAAAGAAAAATTATTTATTTTTAAGGTTCATGGGCCTTTAATATGCAAAGCATTGAAGTCATATTGTAATTTTTCAGGAAACATTAGTCAAGAACACTTTTAACATTGTTATATACTGATGCATGTGGTTGTTGGATTTAAATGTTTACATTATAGCTAAATGTAATGATTTTACAGCAATCATTTAATTCTTCTTCTTTCATCTAGTAAATTAACATAATAACATTTTTGTGTATTAAGAAATATAGAAATTTAGCCTTAAAATATTTTAAGTGTATAAAGCTACATATCTGCTGCCTTTAGTTTACAAAATTATTGTTTAATGTTGAAAAAGATTAATTCCAAAATACCTGTATAAAAGAACTTTGTTTGCATATTTCCTTTAGTGCATGAATGATTTCACTGTTATTAAACTGTAAAAACCCTACATAAATAGCAGCAATTGTACCAGTATTTTGTTCTAGTTATGTGCAATATTCATGATTATAAAATACCTGTGCCACTTTTGTGACTCTGTATGCAATGGTATATATACGGCCTTGCATATATTTTGATGTTAACATAACACAATAGGCGTGTAAATGAAAAAGTGATTATTTTTCAATTTAAACATTATTTACTTTGGGGTTATTGATAAATAGAATATTATATTCCTTGTAGTACTTTTTTAATCAATTTATTAGTTCAATAAAATAAACTCATTTAATTAATTTAGTATTGGACCTTGACACTCATTCAATATCCTCTATTTGTTAAATAACAGACATTATATGTACAACAATCAGATGATGAAAATTATTTTACTGTTAATACATTTTATACAATAAAATTTCATTTGATATAGCTCTTTACCCTTTAAGGCAGTACATGTAGTTTTGTCTGTTTTCTCTTTGTTGTTTTGGGGTTTTTTTTCTTTGTTTTGTTTTTTGTTGGGTTTTTTTTGTCAATAGTAAAAAAAATGAGAAGAAATCTTTACAATAGTTGCATGAGAAATACTTACATATAAACCCTGTAAGTGCTTGTACCTACCCCTTTGCTATAAATATAAATCCAATTTGAAGTTTGGATTGATAAGCTTTCAACTTTTGACTGCTCATTTTTTAGATAATTTTGACTTTAAACCCATGAAATTTATAATGGACACACCCAAGGTCAAAGCACGAAGACAGTGTATTATAAATCATGATAGAATTAGATATGTTACCATGGTAAAATAAAGAGATAAAATCAGTTCTACCTGGAAGAAATTAAATGTCTTCTCTCATTTTTCTAAGATATCAAAGTACATTGAAATATGCAATTGGTTAACTGCAATGTTTTTACAATAATATATTTTTTTATTTTTTTTTTGGGGGGGGGGGGGGTTATTAAAAATTATTTTATCGTTCACATGTTTTTAATTTGTTATTTTAAGAATTCTTGTTTAATTATACCCCCACTAAACATACCACATGTTTTTAATTGTTATTTTAAGAATTCTTGTTTATTTATACCCCCACCAAACATAGTTTTGTGAGAATTCGAAAGGAGCTACTAATTGTTTCTTCAAGTTCTTTCACATCCACATCATCTTTTGTTGTTGACACTGAGGCTTAAGAAAATTTAAATACATATTGTCAACTTAGTACAGTTACATGTTAACTCATATTGAATTATATAAGGAATTAACCTGTTATTGCACTAAGGTGACAGTATGAAGGGTCAGAAAGCAAGATTTCATAATATTATTCAAGCTGAATTCTATCAAGGATATTGATGGGGGTATGATTTGTATTAAGGCATAGTTTGTGTTTATATTATTGGTCAAGTATAGATTATTATGATATTTTTATAATTATTTTTATTTTTAGCTCACCTGTCACAAAGTGACAGGGTGAGCTTTTGTGATCGCTTTTCGTCCGTCGTCCGTCCGTCGTCCGTCCATCCGTCCGTAAACTTTTGCTTTAAATGACATCTCCTCATAAACCACTTGGCCAATTTCATCCAAACTTCACAGGAATGTTCCTTTGGTGATCACCTTTAAAAATTGTTCAAAGAATTTAATTCCATGCAGAACTCTGGTTGCCATGGCAACCAAAAGAAAAAACTTTAAATATCTTCTTTTAAAAATCATAAGAGCTAGAGCTTAGATATTTGGCATGAAACATCTTCTAGTGAGTGTCTACCAAGTGTGTTGAAATAAAAGCCCTGGGGTCAAAATTGGCCCCGCCCCTGGGGGTCATTGATTTTCCCTATATGCATATAGTAAAAACTTAAAAAATCTTCTTTTAAAGAACCATAAGAGCTAGAGCTTAGATATTTGGCATGAAACATCTTCTAGTGTATGTCTACCAAGTTTGTTCAAATAAAAGCCCTAGGGTCAAAATTGGCCCCGACCCAGGGGGTCATTGATTTTCCCTATATGCATATAGTAAAAACTTAAAAAATCTTCTTTTAAAGAACCCAAAGAGCTAGAGCTAAGATATTAAGCATGAAACATCTTCTAGTGAGTGTCTACCAAGTTTGTTCAAATTAAAGCCCTGGGGTCAAAATTGGCCCCGCCCCGGGGGTCATTGATTTTCCCTATATGCATATAGTAAAAACTTAAAAAATCTTCTTTTAAAGAACCATAAGAGCTAGAGCTTAGATATTTGGCATGAAACATCTTCTAGTGAATGTCTACCAAGTTTGTTCAAATAAAAGCCCTGGGGTCAAAATTGACCCTGCCCCAGGGGGTCATAGATTTTCCCTATATGCATATAGTAAAAACTTTAAAAAATTTCTTTTAAAGAACCCAAAGAG